AAAAAATTAATAAAGTTTCTTTTGTTGGTTTCTACTTCGTCCACGTGAATGGATGAATCTAATGGAATTTGATCTTGTTTATCCGGTTGCGATGTTTACTCTGAGTGTATAGTAAACGTTAGTTGTTTTCATGCTGGTCTACCCCAGACGCGATAACCCTATGGTATTCTATAATGAATTTTATTCTTGAGTGTTTGTAATATAATTAAAACATTTATGGGCCTATAAATTGCTATAACTTTTAATTTTTTCGAGAAAAAAAACGAAAATGTTAAATATCAAATGCACGATGGTGGATGTCGTAAATGTCTATTATTGTAAAAGAACAGACGAGTTATAGCTAAAAAAAATTGTTATTTTTAAAAAATATCTATCAAAAGAAATATCATTTAACAAAAAATGAATTTAATCTTATATCAACTGGTATCTTTCTCAAAATGACTATTTCCAAATATTGCCTACGTTTTACACCTTAATAAATGCCGGTACCTATAAACTCAAGGCCTTCAATTATTCAACTAAGTACATAATAGTCTTGACCCTCAACCATCGTTTTGCATCACAAAAAAAAAAAAAAAATAGTCGCGATTTTGAACATACTTTAATAGTAAAAAAAACTCGTTTGTATATATTACAATCACTTTTTCTCATCTCCGTACCGAAGCTAAAATAGCTACAGTTGCGAAAACGGATTTGTTCCATCAAAAAAATTACTCAATAGAAAAAAAAGTAAATGACACCGTACAATAATTGTACTAGTATTCATAAAATGTAAATTCGTCAGCCGCTACCCATACTTAAATCCGAAACTACGACGAATGAACAAGAATTGCGTTGCTTATTCTAATTAACAGCTAGCGAATTCGGAAGTCAAGTTGAAGACTTTTTTTACATTTTAAATCCAAGTCGACGCATATGGCGCAGTCGTATAAGGCGTCGAGTTTTAGCACTTAAGGTATCCGGGTTCCATTATTACAACACCTCGAAACATACAGTAGTCGCCGGTGGTGCAACCAAGGAGGGGTCCTGGGGTCCAGACCCCCCCCTTGAGTATTTCTAAAATGAAAAATTGGGTAAGGTAATTTTTAGTTATTGTCTAATTATATTTTACAATAAACAATATTTATTCATTTTGGCAGTATAATAATTTTGTTTTGGCCTGCTTTGCGGCAGATAACAAATCGTTATCACATATTGTCATTTTCTTATATTACACATGGACCTTATACCTAAAACCCGTACTTTGGACCTCCCCCACACATCTCTGCTAATTTTTTTGAAAGGGAGCGGGTAGATAATATGGGTGCCTTTAAGTGTGTCCATTAGGGTTGTTCTTATTTGCACGATTTCCGAATTTCAATTGTGCCACCCCCCATTCGATTAAAAAAAAAAATTTAAGCCAACTTTGAACTTTCTAATCCGATCCTAATCATTCCATGTAACGAGGAGAAAATTTGCGTTAAAAATACATGCATTTCCTTATTTTAACTTGTTTATGGTATACAAAGGCAAATTATTGATGCAAAAAATTTAATTTAGATGAAATTTTGGAGGATCAGAGTTACTTTTAAGCATGAATTAATAAATTATCTTAATTCGTGCTTTTAGGTAAAAAAATGTTAGATTCTGCTAATACCGTATAGTTTAATAATAACAAAGAATGAGGAACAAAATCAATACCTGGTACAGATTGTGTCGGAATTCCGGAAGGTATACCAAAAAAGAAACGATTATGAAGAATTTTTAAAGCACTCAATAAATTTCAATTACTTTATAATTCTAATAAAAATTTACCGTGCTAGTATTTTTGTTCTTCTATTTTTTTTATTACTAATTTAGCTCAGAGTTTTAGATATGAATATAAGTTTATATCTTTTTGTCTGTAAATTAATCATAAAAATTGTTTTATTTAAAGAAAACGGAATGGTTTTTTAAGTTATTATTAAATAACCTAAATAATAGCACTAGGGACTCAAATATTTGATTTGATTTTTTTTTTTTTTATAAAGAATAAATACTTTTTATTCTAAAATGTAGTTTAATTATTTTGATAGAGTTGTGAAATACTCAATGCTTTATTAATGTTGAACACGTTTAGAATATTATATGATGAAGGGCACAGGGGGAAAACGGTAGTAGTCACATTATGAAAATTTTAGAGTATAGCAAAAACAAAGTTCGTGAATTCCTCTCCTTTTTACATAAGAACAAAAAAAACACGTTGAATGCTATTCTAATAAAAAATGTATTTATTTAAACAATCTATTGACATAAATAAAAACAATAAATGGCATAAAATTATTGAAAACAACTATTTGAAAACAAAAATGTTCATAATGTACTACCGTTTTTCCCCTGTGCCCTTCATATGTAAGAATTCGTCTTTTATATTTTCAGTAAAAAAAGTTTAAAAATCGTAATTGTGTAGTGTAAAAAATACATAAAATTACCCATACATTTTTTTGCAAAACTTGTGACAATTTTATTATTATTGTGATAATTTTTTGCGTCAATAATTTGCCCTTGTAATACAATAATCAACTTAAAATAGAGAAATTGCATGTATTTTTAACGAAAAACTTCTCGTTACAGCCTACAGGGAATGATTAGGATCGGATTAGAAAGTAAAAAGTTGGCTTGAAATTTTTTTTTTTTTATTGAATGGGAGGGCGCACAATTGAAATTCGGAAATCGTGCAAATAAGAACTACCCTAGTGTCTATACAAATAAAGAACGTTAAAAAATAAATCAATTTATTTAAAGAAAATCTATACATATTCTCATCATTGATTCAGTAGCGACGACTTAAAGATGTATAGTAAACACAATGTATAATTTAATATTAATAATTGAAACCTATAAAAATTAAAAATATTTATAAATTTATTCATAAAACTAGAACGCTCGACCTTTACGAAGTTCATACAGTAGAGCGAAGAAGTAGGGACAACAAATGAGTAGTTAATTTTTTTCATTACCATAAGCTTTTAGCAAGAATTGTGAGTAGGTATAGTATAGTACAATGTATACCACTTTTGAATAAGATAATCATAACCATAGGTAGACTGTGTTGACCTCGAAAACGAACAAAAAAAAACTTGCAATAATAATTATAACGCATAATGCCAATTAGCAATTATCATAACAAGAATGCTGCTTAGAAAAATTAAACAAAAAAAAATAATAATTAGGAAATACGAAAATCGGCATACGTGTATAACATATTAACCAAAGTGCATGTATATATATATATATATATATATAGTACAGACTTTTTTCTGTTTGAAACACTTGACACCAATATTTTTCTTTATTATCATATTAAGCTGACTATCGATTTTCAGAGCAATCAAAAATTGACTTTGAAAGCTAATTAGAGATTGAAGTATTGGTATAACTAAAAATTAATACAAATACGTGTTGCGAGGTATTGTATCCTGCGTGTTTTGGTGTTGATCTCATTGTTCTATCATAAAAACTGTGCATTATAATGTCCAAGTGGACTGAATGAATTAAAATAAGACTGGAATAATATGATAAATGTTGATTTCTTAACTATCTTTTTCGTATTATAATGCATATTTAACATTTGCTTCAAATGGCCTTTTTATTACAGCATGTCACTTACCATGAATTAAATGTAGTACTATACAGGGGGATTTTATTACGATCCACTTAATTTTTCATAAGGTTTAGTAGTAATTACATTTTTATTTTTTTGATAGTGTTTTTATACAACGTGATCTTATTTCTTCAAAAACTTGTTTCTTTTTACCCACCTCTTAAATTAATTATTTTTAAATGCATTTTTGAAACTTAAATGGTTACGTAGATCTTTTATAAACTTTTTAAATTTAGTTTAATTTAATACAAATGTTGACTAATATTTTATTTACCTATGAATAATTATATATAATAAAATATGTATTTAATTTTAATTTATTCATTGCTAAATGAAAAATAATCAAATCGTAGAATAAAAACTTGTGTCTCACTGTTGTGTGTGTCATTATGTTTGTCTCGACTCTCGTACAATAGTTGCATCCATATTAATAAACATTTGATGACAGTTAAATTACAGTTTGTAAAACAAAATTTATTTTGTAAATTATAGTGTTTATAATATACATTTTATAACAATTAGTTTGTTGATAATATTGATGCTCTTGTGTACCCGGTTATCGGACTATTAATATGTGATATACATAATGACATGCGGATGATTATCATGCATACAAATTATTTAACTATTATAATATCATAACAGGTCAAGTGCAGATTAACAATATTATAATATTTAAGTACAAACACTATGTCACAAATGATTGTTCATCAAGTTTTCAAAATAGGTAGGATTTTTTTTGCAAAACGGCGTCTCATATAGGCAATTTAGCTACATAAACGAATCTGCTCAATGCAAAAAAAGGTCTTGTATTAAAGGATGAGATTTTTACTCTCATATAAACTGTTTTTTTTTTTAATTAAATTTTATTGTTTCATTTTAATCTAATTGTATCGTGTTTAATCTAGATTACTTTTGTGTTATAATGATTGCATAAATTACCAAACGGCAATAATTATATTTAATAATAAAAGGAAAAACATGTATATAGTGTCTTTAGACACGAAAAAACGCATCACGTCATCGAAGCTAAAAATAAACTACTTTAATATTTTGAGTTATCAACCAGATCAACAGCTTCGCAGCATTATTGTAATTTTCGGCACAAAACAATAGCTTCAGTGATTGATATTTCCAATACCGGTCAAAAGACCAGTCCCATTTTAATATAACACTGTATTAAAGGTAGAGGAGTAGCAACCGGTGATAACTCAATTTTTCAAAATTTAGACATGCCCATTTCTGAAATTAGTGATTCATATAATCTGACTTAAAAACAAAATGGTTTCTATATAAATCTAATATAAAAATAAACACATTAAAATGGTTACTTTTAAAACCAGTTTACGTTTGCACAATTGAATATTTATTAAGTAAAAATTAACGAAATACAAAAAAAAATCAAATATTAAAACGATAATTATAGGAACACAATAATTAAGAAACAATTAACTATACCTACTAGATTATAACAATTGTTAAGCATCACATCCGTGCCTAATAAACATTGTAACTTGTACTATAGGCAATAATAATCTAGACTAACAGTACATAGTAATTGTTGATTTCAGGTATAATATTAGGTTAACGTCAGCTATACAATAATTAATTATTCACATGGACGCTGACGACTAGATAAATGTTAAACGGAACAGCCCTTGTAATTAATCAGACTCAACTCCGTTATTATCCAAAAGATTTGAACATGAGTGGGCTTTGGCCGATCTAAAAAAAAAAATGCAAAATAATTAATCATTTTTCTAAATTATTATTTATGTAACTCTTTATTACACAGTATAAATATTACATATTGGTAACCCTCTTTGATTTTGTAGACATTATTCTTTAATCTAAGCTTAAACGATGTTCCGGGGTGGGTGCGAAGTTAGAGATTACAACATGTTTTACACTCTACTTTGAATCATTAGGTGTACTGCGGTGTTATATTTTAAGTAATTTTACCTATTAGATACTTTGGATCTGCGACAAACGTGAAGGGCGATAGATCCACTTTTAAACGATTTAAACAGTGTAATGGCTTCCGAGTGTGTAAGATCTTGACAATCTTTACCGTTAACGGCTAAAATTTCATCACCTGTAATAACCAAAAACATATATTACATGAATATATAATTTTAATGTTTATAATATAATAATAGTATAATAACTATATAATAACTAATATTATAACTATAATATAGTTTATATGTGTATATCATTTTAGATCGGTTACTATACATTTTTTTATGTGTAGTTAGATTAATATGTTATTATAAATAACTAAGAAATATTATCAAGTAAAATATATAATTATAGAAATCATATTGTGGTATATTTTAGTAAATCATACAATTGCCACAGCCTACACCTTGGAGTTAAGAGTTATACAATTACAGAAGTATATAATACTTATAGTAACGTATAATACTCATATTAGTGTATAGGAATACTGTAATACTTCTACATACCTAAATAAGTCAACGATTTTTTTTATGAAAAATATGACATACCTTAACCCATTATGTCCGAAGGTTATTTTTTTCATAATTTCTAATTTAGACTCCTTTTTATCTTATTGTTACCCCTCGGTAAGTTTAAATCTCTAGTTACCATATGGTAACATGACGACATAATGGACTAGATAATCCAAAATAATGAAGGGTATATTTGTTTACCTGGCCTCAATCTGCCGTCATCAGCCGCTTGTCCATTGTCCAAAATACTTTTAATGAATATACCCATTGCGCCTTTAGGGGAATCTTTGCCGCCGACGATTGTGAAGCCCAATCCTTTTTTCCCAGGGCCTTTTTCTAGCACAAACGTGTGAAAGGTACATTTGGCGGACTTGGGTCGCCTAGGCAACGTACAGAAGGTCACGCAGTCGGTCTCCAAATAGTGTCTATCGCTATTTAAGTACACGGTAGAAACGTTATTCTTAGTGGAAAGTTGCTGCGAACTAGACGTCGGAGGTGGTGTTACACAAACAATCGTACATCCGGTTTTGTTGTGGTTTTGTAACGCGCTAAAGGACTCGTTATTTTCATAGTCTACCGACGTTTCGGGCATTCTCAACCGGGTTTTCCGATCGAATTTAGACTCTGTGGGTTTTTGTTTGGCTATTATCAAGTTCACAGAGCTACTGCCGTCGTTAAGCAAACGATTAGCTTCCGAGGGGTCGACTCCTTCCAGGCGGTGGCCATTTACGTTGATAATATGATCGCCTACTTCTAAATCGCTTGTTCTGAAAACGAAAAAGAAATAATATCTTTAAAAAGTAAGCAACAATCACCAACTGGCAAAACATTTATTCATACAATAGAAATCTTGTACTTCGTCTTATCTCACGTAGGTAGTGTCGGTCACTTTAATCCTTTCTCCACATTTTTTTTCACAATTCTCTATTAACATTTGCATCTACTACACATCCGCTCACTCTTCTTTCGCTTCTAAATCTTTTTACAATAATCTGTATTACTCTTTTTATCATTCCTCTCCTTTTTTGTAAACAGTTCCAAAATCATCTTAATTGATTTCTATGATTCTTGCCACTCTCAAACTATATCTTACACTCTCTATTAACTCCTGCAACTGGTTGTTCATTTTCTTTTTATCTATCTTTTTCAATATACCCAACACCCACCTCCATTTTTCATTTCCGATCTCATTAACCTCCTATACAATTTTTTTTTCATTCTGAATAACACCTTTTTGCTACACAATTTTGTGCTGTTGTTTCTTTCCCCTCATCCAATCATACTTTGGTTCTATTAGTCATAGCTTCTTGAACTCATCAAGCCTTCTGTATAACCGATCCTAAATACTTAATTTCTCTACATTTTTTACCTCTTCTTCTCCGAGCATAACATTTTTTTCTACCTATCTTCTTTCTTACCCCCTCGATAGCCAGATCTAGTCAGATCTACCTATTCTTAAGGTGTTTCTCTCCGATACCTTCCTTCGTTGCTCTCATTGAACTCATAATACTCCTGTACTCTAATCCACTAAAACTACCAGCAGCCAACAATACATTTTAAGGTGATTTACCTTGGTGTATGTCATTTATTACAATCTCGTCTATTTTGGATAAAAAAGAGTTTAGGTCCTCCACGAACTTGGCCTTAGTACTTACTGGTCAGCTACTCCACCTGGGATTACATTAATAACGGTATAGCTAAAACTGTCTTCTACTCGTACTTCTTTGATCTTAACGCCGAGAACCTGTTTTGGGTAGTCCCTACACAGCTGCACTGTTCTGTAATCCCAGTAATCGCCAGGATTGGATGTTTGGTCTGCCAGCGAAGATGCCGCATTATGTTGACTATCTGGTGGTAAACTAAATATGCAATTTCGTTTTTTGCCATACTGAGAGGCACTCCTTAAATAACGGTTGGGACTACAAAACTCAGAGCAAGCTGTTGTTAATTCATTTGGTGGGTCGTTCAAAAGTATTCCACTATCGTCGTCCTCAGGTGCCATATGTGTTTTGTCTATCAACTGGTGGTTGGGTGCTTTTTTTCGAAATTCTTCTACACCCGGTAGGGCCCCATAAGATAGGCTCCTCAACTTCACCTACAACAAATGACAAAGTTACGTGTTTCCCATAAGTGAATATTAAAATGTATGAAGACCACAAGGCAAAAACGATGAAACCCACATGATAGTCGAAAACGAGTTGGCAACAACTTCCCAAGACCTTGTAGTTTCAGTAGAAATTAACTCCCATGCAAAAACGATGGTTTCTTCGCCACAACCGGGCTGTAAAGTTTTAGACTACAATTCACAAACACTGAGACTGGAACTTTGAAAATTGTTTTTTCAGTTTAAGAAAAATGAGGGTTTCATCGTTTAAGTCTTGTGGTCTCATATACAATACAATTCAACAACTAATTAGTATAACTATTTAGTAAACAAAAGCTCAAAAAAAGATAATTAAAAATATATTGTTTTTTTTTTTATAAAATATTTTCTTGTTGTTCTTAATTTTAACGGGTTTATAAAAAAATTGACTTATTAGTCAATTTAGTTAATGTAATAAACATGAAAGAAAATATTAATATTAATTATTAACTAATAATAATAGTAGCATGCATACATTTAATTTTACACATTTTGTACGTATTTTGTAATTGAGATTGACTTAATGTTTTACCAACCTTAGTATCTTCATGTCTCGCATCCATCGAAGGTTCTACTTCCGTTTGAGTATTATTAGTCTTATTTGATGAGTTCTTATAAAGTTTCGCTAAAAATCTATGTGTGGCCGTCTTGAGATATTTATCTGATATGGTTTTCAATCTACTTGTCTTGGTTTCCCCGTTGTCTTCTTCTACATTCTCCACCTTACACACCGAGTCCACGTGAATTTCATTGTTGGTAGTATGAGGCTTAAAGTGTGTGAGACCCGTGTGCTTAATTTGATCCAGTAATGGATTACGTTTCTCTTTGATTGGTCTACTACGTACGCTTTGCACTACAATGGTACGGTCTCGCAAATTATAACAGCTGACGTCTCTGTTATAGTCTGAGCTCTCCCATCGAGTCGTAGGAGTATCTAAAAAAACAAACAACATTAGGCCAGAAGTATATAGAACTATTTCTAGGGCAAATTTTGTTATGAATGCAAAAGTAACCGCATTAAAACCACTATATTAACATAAAGTTAGAATATTTCTGTTACTCGTTTAAACTTTGTAAAGATTGAAATTATCGCAAATGATAGTAAAAGTAAAATGATCTTGGAAGCTTTGTTCTAGTCTTCTAAGGAAAGTGATTAGTTACTTGGTGATAAAAATAAATATACATATAAAGGAGTTCATAAAATTTACATCATATAGCCCTTGATAAATAAAATAAATTTAAAGTAATACGGAAGCGTGCACTGGAGAAAGTGGTTAGAAATTTGTTTTTATAATATCAGAAAATACTTATTTGTGAATAATTATAGTTCTCGAATTCCCCTGGTGTATCACTATTATAAGATAAACTAATAACTTTTATCGTTATGCTGATTTAAATAAAATAGAAATTGTATAGAATAAAAAATATAATTTACATATACACATGTTTAATACATGTTTATGCATATATGTTTTTGGTGTACAATTTCCCGAAATGTCATTGTTTTTAATAAATATTTATTTATTTATTTCTATTAGAAATAGGAGTTATTGGTTGACTTGTTTAAGGGGATACCTTTACAACAATTTGTTGAAGTAAAATTATAAATAGGTGGAATTTAGAATTCGTTCAGTAACGGTTTAAATTTCATACAGTATCAATAGTTTTTATTGTTTGAAGAATAAATAATTTACTATTAAGAGGTCTGAAGTTTAAGACTATTGAACCCGATTTAAAAATATATCTTCCTAATAGCATATAAAGTACATATATTTATTAGAATACGAATTTTATATTGATTTGTTGATCATGGACACACAAATACTTTGAACATTATCTATAAGAGATATAATATTATACCTATATAAATAAAAATGTATCAGTTTCAGTGGCTATTATAGTTAAATAATTTTTACTCATTTCCGTAAAATAATTCAAAGTATACTTTTGGAAATTACAAAAAAAATTGTAAAAGTGTCCTTTTTGCAGAAATAGTAAAAAAAAGAAAAGAAATAAATTACTTAATTGTTACAGAAAGCTGTTTAATTTGTATTTTAATTACTAATTAGTAAAACCTAACTACTAAAAGTATACTTTAAACAATTCTGATCTCATAACAAAATATGTCAGAAAAATGCAAGGTACATAAGTCATATGGGGTACTATTTGTAGTAAAAATGTCCCTATATATAATATCCGTTATAGCCTCTTTAGTTCCTTTGCGTAGGGCACTGGTTGTTTGGATAGCCGAATTCGTATAGCTGCTATTAAAAAAACTGTCAACCAACCAGTTTTTAAAAATGTGTACGTTTCATAAAATGTTAAATGAAAAAATTCCAAAGAAAAATAATATGTAAACAGATAATTATTATAAGTGATTGTTTATGTTATACATAAATTAAACTAACGTTATTAAATATCAACTAACGTTCTAAGGTGGTTTCGAATTCGTTTCTGTTGTTTTTAATATTTACTAGGCCGTGTTGTGGCTGAATCGTTTTGAAAATTTGTGTGTGAACAAAAACCAATGGTAATATATATATTTTTTTTTAATCACAGTTCTTGTTTTACTACATAACATTTGAGTTTATCAAAAAAATTAGGTTTTAAGTATTTTGTATGGGCAAAATAAAATAAAAAATAAAAGTGACGTACATACGTATATATGTTCTAATATTTTATGTATAGACCTATAATAGGTATTATAGGTATTATATGTACAATGACTTTTGTTTTTCTATAACATAGTCTCGCAGTCAAACCATTAGATAGAAGCTACCGAAGTGATGGTGTGTATGTTGGTCGTGTACTGATGTTGCAACATCTGACCTGGTTCTCACGAATATTTTAAGTAATATATAATCTACACGCTCATCAAATGATAATTGTACTTACAAAATAAACAATTACCATATTAAATTTACAATTATATGCACTAGCTAATTGTAAAGATTATGTTTTTAGATGTTCCTATAAGGTACCCAGAATATTCAACCTCTAAAATATTGTTATTAAAAAAAATATATATTTAATAATTAACATTTTTTTACTCAAATACGTTAATATGATACAGGTATTATTATCGGTATAAATAATAAATATAACAATGTTTAAATTATCAAGAATGATATAAGAGGGCATATTTCATTTTTATATTTTATGTTTCGTTTCTCATAAGACTCACTTGCAAATTGTAACATTTGTACATAATAATTAATAATATATACTATTATTATACTACTATACTATTTTAAATACTAATATCTTCTCAGTAAACATTAAAAAATACTTAGGCAATTTTTAATTTTGCTGCATCGAAAAAACAAACTCCTTTTGCAAAACTGCACTCACTTGTATTTTTTTCTTTATAATTTCACATTCTTATTAGAAACGTTAACGAGGAATGCCTTTCTACCTCCAAGGCACGTCTCTGTTTATTCGACTAGTTTGTATCAAGATCAGACAGATCTACATCATACCGTTTTATACGCACAGAATTTAAAGGGTCGACTTTATTTCTATGCAATACAAATTATAAGCCTTAAATAATTTTATTTTTACGCACCTTATGATGTACGACATTATGTTAGTTAAAAAAAATTATATCAATTTTTATAGATGGAAATGGTTTTTTTTTAATTACCTAATTCTAAAACCTCTGGTGTTTATCCGTGTACCTAAACTAATGCTAGACAGTCACTATATACATATTTTTAAGCTATAACAAAGCTATCAAAGGGAAATGATTATTGAGTAAAATATTACTCAACTATTATGTTTTATACATTTTATATATACTAAGTACAAGTTACACGTTATGTGGACTACAGAAACCATAGTAAAGTTAATAGGTATTAATAATTTTACAACAATAATAAAACACATTATCTTTTAAAAAAGATCTTATGTGTCGCTTTGTTTTCGTGTTGAGATACGAAAGTGATGAGTTGTATTGTAATTGGAAGAGAGAGCTAGTCATAGATACCATGACTGCATGACTTAGTCACCAACACAGTGTATTTCAGCGTTTTTTTTTTTGTAGTATATACCTATAGTAACCAAAATATGAATTGCGAAAGAGTTTGCAACGTCCATAGGTATGCGCGTGACGCGATCAAGACGGATGTATGAAATAAAAAACAATTATATTTTCAGATATTGCTTACCTATTCTCGATCTCCTCGGTCCTGGTGGTATCTGATAATACCGTTCTGAATAATCAGGAGTTCCGGTTTCACCGTTTCTTATTGGCGACAAGCTGAGTAAACGAGGCGATGCCGCGTCTTCGCCGTTTTTTTGAAACCACTTCATATTTTTATAATCTAAATTAAAAACATCCAGTGTTATCGAAATTCTTTACTAAAGATAACAATATGTTTTAATTGTACGACTATTATCAAGTAAATCGGTTGTTTTATACTTTATAAAACCATCAGACAATAACTATCAGCAACACTTGTCTCGGTACTACAAACTAAAACAAACTCCTATGGTGTTATAATATGTATAACAGATTATTTGTTCGGGTCTTTATGTACATTATTTCAACGTAAATGCTATCTGTCGGGTTTACAAACATATTTTATATTTACTAAAGTTAACATTTCGCTAAATCAGGGAGCTATATATTTGTACAGATGTTCTCCGCGTCATTATAATACAGCTATAACATATAGCTAGCATTTATTTATTGTATAAAATTATTATACATATTTTAGTGGATAAAATATAAAATGTATACAGTTTAACGCGTAATGAATATGTTTTATGATTGCGGTCAGTACAAAATTTGAGTAACATTTTTCAGTAAAATCAAAATCTGTCTCACCGTTGACCTAATAATGTCTAGGCCGATGTGTCTCCTTGTCACCACTCCTTATCTCTTATCACTTCTCCTTATCAGTCAATCTTGCTATAAACTATTAGGTGAATCGTGTGATATGTCCAGTTAAGATTAGAAGTAGAACTTCAAAGGGTGCCATAAAATATATTTGTGATTTATATGCTTCTCCTCAAAGAGGATGAAATTCATTTTTATAAATATTTATAAGTTCCCCACTTACTACTTAATATTTTATATATATTTTTTATAATTTTTTCTTTGACTTACAAATAGGACGAGTCAGTAAATACTGTTTAATGTACTTTACTCGTGTAAAGATTTAAAAACAAATCATTTTGTAAAACTGTAGACTTAAAATAAGAGTATTAAGTATAGGTACAAAACCACAAGCCTTTAGAACACTTGCTTTAAAAATAAATTGATGACAGCACACAGCATTAAGTGCGTTTTTTTCCAATTTTACAGTAACGACGTTTGATAGTGTATATGTAAAGCCATAATTTTGTTACTTCGGTTTCCTAAATATTTTGTACATAAACAATGTATAGAAATCTACAATGTATTTATGTTAAACACAATTTCTTAAAAAAATGCACTCATCACACCTGGGCCCTAACGAATAATTTTATAACACAAATAATAACAATAATAATAATAATCGGTTATTGTTCGAGAAACAATTCAAACAACTTAAAACGCATTAGTCATACAAAAAAATGTTTTATATTTTTGTTGTATGGTGGTAGTATTTCAATATTAGGACTTTCACTATTATTTTATTGAACGAATGTATACAGTAAAGTACATATACCTAAATTATAAGTAGGTATTAACTATTAACTATTAAAATTCAATAACACAATTATTGGAGACATAATAGTGCAAAAAAGGCGGGTACCTAGCACACACTAATGTACGTAATACCTGTCGTGTATGTAAGACAAATCAAACACAGGTGATTTAAAATATAAACTGTTGTTATGACAACAATGTAAAAACAACATGTTCAAATTTTTTGTTAGCACATCATTATGTATATATATATTATATGTACATAATTCTACAATATTCTGTGACATGGACATTTTCTGGGTTTTATACACACAACGGTAAACTGAAAAAAATGTACATATATAATACATTTATTTGCCTCACATGTAGAAGACATATTCATAATATAAAAAAATGTTTATAATGACGTTTTTAATTGAGATGCTCGTACCAAAACCTGAGGTGGGGTTAAAACAATGCAATGCATAATAACAATATAATCATAGATCTTAGATTTAGATCTCGGCTCTAGATTTAGAGCCGAGTACAATATTATAATACTCTTGCAACATGATTTAACAATATAATAAGTATTAGCATTTGCATTTTGGCAACATATTTTGGAATTTAGACGTCACAACTAACAGATTATTAAATTCTCATATAAAAATATAAAATATAAGTACACATTTTTCAAGTCAAATAAAAAAAATATTAACATTAATGTGTTTTGGATTAGTTAGTTAATATAAACAACACAAATATCTTACATATGTCATATCTTGTATATGCCTACTTATGTGAATGTCTCACAGTACCTAGCATGTTCCCGTAAATGTTGACGACGTTCTTAAACAAACAATTAGGCTAATAAAATAAACCTTTTTAAATAAACTTAAACAGTTGGTAAGTGTTAATTAGGATAAAAAAGATAATTAAACATTTTTTAAGTACATTTCAAACGCTTTTAAATAGCTTATACTATTTTATTTATGTTTAGTTTAGCTTAATAAATAAATAAAATGTAAAAACGAAGGCATTTAAATAATTGACATAACGTTTTTTTGAAAATTAAAACCTTTTAATAATTTATATTATACTTTTAAATATTTAATTATTTTAATTTCTACACTCACACATTACAGTAAATTGTAATTAGGTCAAACAATTTAATGATTAATAGACATGTAATACAGATGATATATTTTTCACTAAATGGAAACCAGTTAATTTATTACAAATGTTGTTTCGGTTTATAATTTTTTAATTGCCAATTAGAAACTTTTGAAATAACAATTTTCGAAACAATTTTGAAATATAAGCAAGATTTAAAACCATTGTATTTTTAATTTATTTTAAAATACATTTTAAAAGTAATGATTAATGCCACCATTTATATAATCGATTAATTGTGATGTAATATGATACATAAAAGTTATATAAATTATCTGATCTCATAATCAAGGCTTGCTCGATTAAGATGAATATTGATATGTCTTATACGTGTGACTGGCAGTTGGAATCAAACATTCGTACATCGTTGTACCTAAATAGTCCAATGTTAATTTTAAACGTTACAGTGCCAAATATTGCATAGACAAAAGTTGAAAACATTAAAATTACTTATATGTGAAATTTAATAACATATATAAGTTATATATTTTTTTTAAATTATTTTTATCAAATCCATCAATTGCTATAGGTATAAAACAGTTTTTATTTAACTTATTTTTGTACACATTTTTATTTTTTAACTTGTTTGGATTATTGGTGGTTGTACATTTAACTTTATTGATTCTATAAAATATAAACCTTTATTGAAGCAACGTAAGGAGCATCTTCAAATACAATTTATGGAACTAATAAAATTGTGTGCAACCCGTCATAACAATTTTAAAGTTAAATCTGATTAATTTAAGAGTTGCTTTTTTGTGTAAGGATATTGAGGCGTAGATATTATTTTTAAAAAATAGGATTGGGTTTCCGGTCAGTAATCAGTTGTGTGTGATTGATTTAAACTTGAATTTTAGTACCTATTAAGTATTAACGTTGTACAATCAAAGACGGTATACAGCTAATGAAAGTATATTATTGCGGAGGAACATTTTAAAAATCGTTCAAATTTGAATGGTACTAATAAATATTGTCGGTCACGAGAAATCGTTTTCCGCTCATCTTCGACGATTCACGGCCGATTTGTGATGTTTGTCACCGTGTTCCGAATCGCTTTCGTTTGATCGAGGAAATGAAAACGTACCACTCTTTACTACCGTATAGATAAAATATATGTTAAAAAACAGCGGATCGTTCACGTTTTTAATTAAAATCGTGAAAATAACCGAAAAGACCGTTATATAGACGACGGTGCTGTCAAGGCACTCTTAATAATGTTAAACCAAATAAATACATTTTAGTAAAACTCGAATTGTTATTCTCTGTATTTATACGCAGGGTTGAAAGACATACGGTAGGTTGCTATGGTGAGCAGGTGCACCTAGAACCATATCAGTAGTATCCACCTATTGAAAACGCATGCAACTGGTGTCGTGTCACGCCAACCAGAACAATAACAATAAGTAAAAACATTGTGTCCGTTAAACGTAACACGGATGCTAACGAACATTTTGTTAACGCCAATATACAAATAACTCTAATTATTCAGTTTTAATTAATATAAAGACTTAATAATTAATACCTACAATATGTACATTTCAGTTTTCATTGTTACTTGATAATTTTAGGAGTACAATGACTATTATTATTATGATTAATAATCCACTGGTGTTTATATAATCATATCGATAGCATAGTGCACAGGGAGCGTGAGTGCATTTTTTATTTTTACATAAGAATTCCGTTTAAAAATGTATGATGCTATATCATTCCATGTATGAAGCGGACTAGACAAGCCATCAAGTGCAGCAAAATGTTTTAAATCCTTGGTTTCCATAAGTTATGTGTGTAGAAATCTATTAGATAGGTATATATGTTATACTGCGATACATTACTCAATTTCTAAAAAAATGAACTTATTACACCTTGTTCACTCTGCCACTACCATAGATTTGTTTTGTTTGTGTACTTATACGCGTCTAGGCTTACAATATATATTTGGATGTGTTCAAAATAATCAGTGAAGTATAAAAATAAAAATATTAATGTTATCTTATAGTATTTTTAAATTAGAGAAAAAGGTAAACCAAACATCATACGGTTTTGTATGAATTTAAAACAGTTAAAGCCTTTTACCACCAGGATAAATTTTCAAGAGATATCAGAATAGAATCATTAGGTTTAGATGTTTAAGATATTTTAGACGATATAAGCAAGTTGATTGTTTTACGAAAAAATCCTCTTTGACTTTGCCCTTGACCGGCGTTTAAACTTATTAATTAATATGTATGCTTACATAAATACGACTTTGAACAAATTTAAAGGTTGAAAAATTTAAGGGGGGTTTTCAAATAATCTACCAACTTCCACTGGGCTCCTGTTGTTTTTCTTAAATATTATTTCAAAGTAGGTAATTTAGCCAAATGAGAATTGCATACGTCGCTTATGCGCTTAATACCTAGATAAGGTAAAAATATAAATATTCAGCCAATTTTACATTGTAACGGTGGTAACCTAAAACACTTTTTTCTTTAGTTTGTAATACAATTTTTAACTTGCGGAAATTTCGATTAAAATAAAATATATGTTGCAATAGTATTCCATTACGTTAACTGCATGTAATTTCGTTAAAATCAGTCCAGCATTCCACAAAATATGTGAGACGCTTTTATATATGTAATAAATGCAACCGCGGGTCTCATACATTTGTAGGCATTTTAAAAATTAATTCGAAAACAACAGACCATAAAAACAGAAACCTCTTATATTACCTAAAGTATCAGCAGATGATCTGGTTTTAAAAGCAAAAGTGGTGTTATGTATTAAAAAACATTATTATTATTAAAATGTGTCTCTTTGTTGTAGTTATACGCAAAATTTAATAAACTTCAACTATTTTACATGTGTTTTATACGTAAAAGTTATTAAAAAACTATTGCTTTGCTTGAGTATATGTTTTTATAAACATAGAGAAACAAAAATATCCGTGTGTAAATTACTTGTTACGTTATAGTTCAGTTTCACCTCGAAGCTGAAAAATGTTTTGTTCAGCAATTATAAAAATGAATAGCCATAAAGGTAAAAATTATACAATTTTAGATGTAAATAAGTATAAAGTTCGTAAATAAATCAATGATTAATGTTTATTGACTTTACAAATTGTAAAATAATGTGTCTAATTAATATTATACTTATTTTACGCTTAAAAACACAACAATTTAGAAAACCTATCATTGCCCATTTGTTGACAAATATTTTTGTTTACATTTACAGTTGGTTTTCGTGACTTGAATAACCCAAATTCAGTGTCAATTAGCCATCATTGATATTATTACATCATTACCACTGAAAAATATGTAAAATCTACCGAATTAGATATTGTGTTTTTAGACATAATATTTTCCATATCACAATCGTTGTAAAAAAATTTTAAAAAAATTGAATGCTTTTTAATTTTAAGTGCGTTAAACAAAATATATAAACGAGCGTCACAGTACATAATATTTTATCATCCTGTAATACAGCGATAATTCTATTGTGTCTGGTAATTTCTAGTATCATATTATAGTATTTTTTTCATGAACTCGTCATTCTTTTACTGTAAACAGATAAAACAAAATATTTACTTTGATTATACATTCAACACACGTACCTACCATATATTTTTTTGTTACAACTACATAATATATACATAAGAACGATTGGCTTGCAAAAAGCTGGTTAAAAAAAAGGAGTTCCTAGTTCCTTCTGGTGTCACCATACGTTAATAAATTGAAGGAGAAATAGAATTCAAACAATATATTTATACTATAGAAAAACAATGTTATTATGCTCGTTAGGTTTGACCTAGGAAACATTGTAGAAAAAAATACACAAGCCAGTGTTATTATCATTTATACAGGCGGAGTCTTACATGGTCATTGAAGCTGATGTGCACACATCATAGGAGTAATAAATAATTGTTTTGTTAGTATTATTGCCAATCACGTGCAATCGGCTGGCGATTGAAATATACATGATTTTTATGAAGTTACGTTGAATAATCTCACGATTTATTGTGACCTTACATGGATATAATGGATCATTTACAAACTTCAATCGAACTATGGAATGCATTAAATACTTCTATTCTGTCGAGGCTCGAGTGGACTTCGCATCAATCAAAAGTTAGTTAAATAGGCATTTTTTATTTTAACTATTGTAGTCCATAAACAGTGTCGCTGTTCGAATAGTTAAACTATTATTATTATTGTTCATTGCACTTTTTAAATAATAGTTGAAGATTGAAATCATTGGAATGTTACGATAGTAAAATATTAATAAAAATATGACAGAGCCGCTGTCTCTCAAATGATATGTGTCTGTATCGAATTAAATTTCAATATCCAAATTTTCTTGGCCTATAAAACACATTTTTAAGAGGACCCTAGACACCCAATTTTCCTGCGTTAAAACGAACACGTACCTACGTTGTATGCGTTTTATTCGCTCCATGAAGATTTCGGAGACAATGCGATCACTTTTTTTGATAAGCTTTTTTTGATAGCATTTAAAAATCGCGCTTTTTTACTTAATAATAACATATTATTTTAATATCTGAGTAATAGTTAGATTTAAGTAACGTGTGTCAAAATTATTGACCAGATATAATGAACATAATGCTACTAAAATTTAAATCAATATCCTTAACTTATTAAAATAATTAAATAAAAAAGGACGAACATTTTAATGGTCGATTAAAAACTAATATAAATATTTACATTTAATATAAATTATATGATAATATTGATTTTGGTAAATTTTGTATGGTAGGTATATAAACGCATTGAGAGTTTTAACCAAAAACATTTTGACATTACACAATAGTTTAGACCAACACTCGGCTGTAGTCGACTAAACATTTTTGTTTAAATGTAATTATTATCAGGAAAAAAATACAATAAGTAAAGATTTTTCTACAACTATAACATACCAATTCTGTACAAACATCAATATTAATCCGGTAACGTTTTCTTTCTCAATTCCAAATAAGGTTTTCCCGATTTTATCACAGCACTTATATATAATAATAATATATTATTAAATTATCATTATCGCATCAAGATTATAATTTATAACCGTTAAAACTCGATTGAAAACACGGAGCGAGCAAGAACGAAACGACCAGACTGCCATCACGGAACTAACTAACGCGTGGTTCGCGGCGTTCGTGTCACCGCTTGGCGCTCGACGCTCACGTACACTGTCATGCAATAATAACATACATATTTTATACAAGTTAGTGGGTAATGTGGTCACAGTCAGGTTTGGAAGGCGAGTGTTAGCCACCAGTCAATGACACGACTTTCTGACCGCATTACACATTATTGGATTTAAATACACATATTTATATGTTTATATATTGTAATAAAATATATACACATATTTCTATGTGTATATATATTGTAATAAAAAATAATTTATAGATGGATACCGATATAAAAATAGCTTGTAACGTTGATGCAGGTAAAACATTATTAATATGATAGTACAGACATTAAACTCTACATGAAATGCATACCGCATAACGTTAATAGATTTTTAATTGTTCTTTAATGCACGTTGAAATTCAAAATACTTATTTATTATAACGTACGTATTATATTTTTTTAAGAAACCGTTAAAGTAATAACGTTTACCCTAGTTTTTGTCGAAATGAACGTGCCTGTCTATTAGTGCAATTTTATTTTGGTGAAATTTCGTATAGCTGTCCAGATAACATAATATTTATAGATGCCAAAACTGGTTTTCGACTAAAACGTTGTACTCGTACACCTATAGGCTATAACGTATTAAAAACTGAACAAGTATAGGTATATGTACTAAGCCAAACATTTTATTTAAGTGCTAGATTCCAATGTTATCAACTTCACAATATTGAGCGGCTAAATAACTTTTGCTGTTTATATTCCAAGATTCTAATACTACATTTTATAATAAATGCATATAATACACCGTTGCAAGCTGCAAGGTAATTTTAGCTTGAATGCGGATCTGACCAGCAGTATTGATTTACGATGAGGTCTGGTTTAATGTCTGGCTCTAGGTATTAGGTTTAAGGTGTAATCACTTTTTAATGTATTTTCCCGAGGTTCAATTCTATCGATTTATTTGTCAGGGTTGACTATAAAAACATAATTACAGTTTACATTTACATTGAATTGTTAAAAATCTAAGTACTTACTCATATGTAGGACACATTTTGTATGAGATAATAAAAATAAATAAATAATGAATAATTCGACGACACACACACATATATTATTATATATATATTTATTATTACTAATAAATGTAATTTTTTTACCTAATTACGATTTGACTGATTAAGAAGTATCTAGTCTTATCACTGACGAACCCAATTAAAACTTAAGTAATGCTATTAACTATACAATTAATTATGTTATAACCTAAAATTTAGGTTACTATATTACCGAAATTACTATATAATCCTAAATATACCGAAAAATTGTGTAATTATACAGTTGAAATAATTTTTTTTTCATTTTTTAGTGATTTTATGCAGATGCCAATTTGAAATTTACACATTTCAGGTGACAATTTTCTCAGCTTTCTGAAAAAAATCCGAGGGGAAGTCGCTCCAAACGTTCATTCGTATTTAGCGTTTAGAGATATGTATATATATATATACATACTGTACAGAATAGATATTAAATCTTAACGTGTAAGATATGTAGAAAATACATTCAAAGTATGCTCGCCTAGAAGTGTTGTAAGTCATTTTTTAAATATATGCATACCAATTGTATAAACTTTTAAATCTATATCTTATACCTCCCTTTACCGAAAAAATACCTCTCAGTGCATCGGACCCAAAATAATATATATATGTGTGTTATAGTTATTATTTACTCTTATATATTTTATTACTTTACAGTTTACTATTATTATAATAACTTACAATATTTAAAATAGGTTTTTAATTTTTAAGTCCAATTTTGCAGAATGAATAGGATATTTATTCATTTGTAAACCTAATGTATGATTAAAATTAAAGGCCTAAAATATCACATTTATATCGGATGCGTGAAGAGTAGAGAACATCTGTCATATTTATTAAGACCTTGAAATGTATCTATATCAGTCTGGTATAAATATTTACATTATCCACTAACAAAAGCTCTTAATGGAACATATGAGTAAAAATATATATTTATAATACAAATTTGTGTATGATGATTATAGGTACACTATGTACACCAAGGTTGTTGTCGTCATCAAAAAATAATAATGGTTTTTCACGGGAAAACGTTATTAAAATGTAAAATGTACAATTAAATGAGGCATGTATGATGTAAACCATTGCGAAGGTGAGCAAGTGGTAGTGGATTAAAAAACCTCATAGCACTAACAACTGTCATATTATCTTTTATGATATAACACAGTTTTAATTATCATAATAATATGAACAAACAATAACAGTAACTTTTAATTTTAGATGTACAAAATATATTATGGGGGGAAATAATACTCGTAATTAATAATGTATATATTGTAATGCAAAAATAAGTAGCATTGTAACCGTTGGGGGTTACTTTTTTGTACTACAAGTACTATTAATTTTTTAATAATCAACTACTTTTTTTGTTTTAGTAATTTCTTAATTTTTCCAAAAAAAAAAAATGTACCAAAAATATGGTCGCTTTAATATCGTTAAATTGTTTTTATAATTTACAATATTTGTTTGGTTATAATTCACCAACTTGCCTCTAAAATCTACATTTTGTGAAATAAACTATCAAACAGGCTCCAAATTAAATTCCATAAATAAACATTTTAATAGATTTCTAAAACGTATTAAAGCCGATTGAGTTCAAAGTTGGTATCTCTAAAAATTCCATACGATTAAATTTTTAATTATTAATAGTATATTATACTTAATTTAATACTTAGGATTTTAAAACACTAAAGTAATTTCAATTTATAATAAATCAACAGGTTTCCGAAACAATGATTTCATGGAAAAACTACTGTGTCATAAAATTCTGTAGACCTGTATGTATTAAATACCTCAGTCATAAAAATGTATGTCATAAAGATTTTAATAGATCTTATTGTTATAAATGTGGATTAAAAGCGTATTGTTAAAATGAAGTATTTAAACATTTAGCATGACTATTTTCTACATTTTTAGTTTCATAATTATAGTATAATACTGCTATTATTAATGTTAATTTACTTTTACCGGATCTACGAGCAAAAAAAGTCCACCTTACAAATTAAATATATGTGACTTTAGTTTAGTTAAGTAACATTATTGAAATTTGATGTAATATAGTAACATATGTACAGAAATTAAACCGATCCTAACAACGTTACAGCTATAATATAAAGTTGAGCTTATTTTGTATTAAAAAAACAAAATAATATTCGTCAATTGTTGTAAAATAAAAAATCAACAAAAAAAAAAATGTGCAACCTCAACTGGGTCGTCAAATATTTTGTGTGTGCTACATAAGTACCCACATCAAATATAAAAAAAATGCGGGCACGATCAGATGATACCTACGCGGAAGCGACAAGTGAGAACTGACATTTTATAACCATTTACGTTTTATACAGTTTCATTATACCTGTGTCACAACATACTTTAACTGTACGGGTAGTTTTATTAACCATACAGGTTTATAATTAAATATTAAATCATATTATACATAGCATATGACATACCTATCTACAGTTAGCGTTAACTGTAAACTCAGCAAACGTCATAGTAAGTATACAACACATTTAAAGTTAAAACGTAGGTAGGTAATGATATGATATTTTCTGCCGTTACGTTACAACAAGACTTTGTATTCACAAAACACATATTTAAAAGAAATGCTTAAATTATGCAAATGGAACTTATGGCCGGGAGTAGGAACTGGTTTAGTAGACCTAGTTCAGTCGCCAATGTGGCAGAATTTTTAGTTTGCACCATTTAGATTTCTGTCATGTTGAAATTTAATGCTTAAGTGATAATTAATATGTAAGAGAAAAGAGGAGAAGAATAGACGCGTTTGAAATATGGTGTTATAGAACGACGCAGAAGGTAAGTTGACATTGGCAGATATGTTCTCACTAATGAAGAAGTTTTAGAAATAGGTTTGGAAATACGATTATTGTAGAAAAATATAAAAAAAAGACAAAACAAAACGATAACAAAAAAAAAAATTTTAATAAATCTTACCATTAAAAAAAACGACTTTTTACACGGCTCTCCCCAATTAAATTAAAATTTAAAAGATCAAAAATGCTATTTATACCAAGAAATTAAGAGGAAATAGAGAATCATGAATAAATTGCTGCAAACTAATCATTGGATTCACAACTGTAAAAGAAAGAAGAGACTTTTTGTTATTGTTAGAAAAAAAAATTACTTCTCGATTTTAGAGATAAATCACTATTTGACTATTAGCCTCAATTTTGTTTATCAAAGAACATATTTATTTTTTGAAATCAGAAAATCTTTTCTTAATTTGGACCGCTTAAATAGAAACCACTCTTCTCCTTTCACACTTTCTTTCCGAGGATTATATTTATGTACCAATAATGGGTTCTATAGAGGTTATGATATTTTATTAATTCAATTATACACCAATCACACTATATTTTGAATTACCCATTCTTGGTACTTAATATTAAAAACATTGTTTTAAAAGATAATAGAAAATATGGATCCGGTTTGAACTTTTTTAATAATAGTTTTTGATTGTTAAAACATGACAAAAATACAACTACACCTATGTAATATTTACATAAATATATAGGTAATACCTATATATGGTATCGAGTAACTTCTGATTTTTTTGGAATAGCCACCGCCCATAATTAAATATATCATGTGAATTTTACATGAAATTGATCCAGTATTGTAAACTCTGAACGGTTCGATTGAAATTCATAGTTTATGTAAGTGCGAAGATATATAATATTATATTATAGTCTAATTTGCGATGAAATACTTATCGAACTAAGTCACATATTTTGTAAAGAAAAATGGATCGTGACACTTTCTAGACCGACCAACTAGTGAATACAATACACATAGTTAGTGTATCAACTCTTCACAATGAAAACAATTTAATGTCATTGTCGCATATAATACACAAAACATGTCACGTTCTCAACTATCGAATAGCTATGCTTTTGATGATGCCCAGAATAACCAAGTAGGCTTTAGCCGGCAACACTAATATGAAACAAGAGAAATTTGTTATGCATAATATTATAATAGGTATACTATTATACTTTTTATTCGTGTAGGTACACAAACACTTAGCGCAACTAGGTATTTTGGGCGAACAAACAAAACCGTCAATACAACTTCAGGTATGTTCAATTTACATTCCAATTGTTTTAAAGAAAAGTCAAGAATGTATAGTTAGGTAGGGACATGTAAAAGTCAGTGACATGCATATTCATATGCATTGTAACAGCCGACAGGTATATTGTATAGATTTACCTATACATAGTACCCAAAGTGATACAGAGTGAACACATAACTAGATAGTAGATACATAATACATATTACTAGGCTAATATCGTTTACTTTATTTAATACCACGCATACATGAAGGTTCATAATAAGTACATACTTAATTATAATACTTAAAAATGTCTATATTATTGATATTCACATAATAATTTTTTCTAATTTATAGTAAAAATAATATAACCATAAAGTTTAATTCTGTAGCGTCATTTCAATTTGTTACGTTTGTACTAGTTGTTGAGAAAGCTAATAATTATATTTCATATTGTCACTTAAATCATTTTATGTTACACTTTTTTTTTTTTAAATATTGTTACCTACTATAATATAATATAGCTGCCATAATATTCTTAAAAATCACTTTTGTCATAATACGTACATAAATAATTTATCTATACGCATAAAATAATTAGTACACAATTGAGTATGAACAGCTAACCAATTTTGTTTTAACTAATTTTGTGTGGCCAGGCACTTTCGTAACAGTTAATGATGATAAGCGAAATGTTAGGGGGTACTAAAGCCAAGAAATATTTAAACACACAAGTCCTAAAACTTTATATTAGAACAGTCACGACAAGCCTAAATTTTTTAATTTACTTTTTTAGATATGGCTAATTTATTATTATTAATTCAAGCTTACAGAGTTTTTAAAATAGAATGCACCCCCCCAAATTGTGCCAATGTTTATGATAAACGTACTCTTGCGTTTAATTAGTCATTAACCCTGAAAACGTAGATAACACTGAATTTAGGGTCTGCAACTTTTCTTTTAAAAAAAAATAAGTACAGAATTTATAAATCAAATATTATAATTATCTAATAAAAAAAAAGCTAAATATAATGTAATTAAATAGGTTTCATTTCTTAAAACTGTATATATAATATAAAATCTGTTAAAATTCATAATAATCACACTAGACTCGAAAGGCAACATGCATTGCCGATTGCCATAAGATATTTTTTAACAAAAACACTTTTATCATCTACAAACATTTGTTTTAGAATCATTATTAGAACGATAAACCAATTAAAGAGACTCTGTAAATAATGGTGCGTTGTGCTATTAAATAATAAAATCGTAGTTGATTACACATATAATGAATTAAAATATTTTCTCTTATTCTCAATAGTTATATTTGGTTAAACCACGACTTTAAAATAAATTTGTAGCTGACCATTTTGAATTTATTTACTTACTTTTTATTTATCTTCATAGTTATTAATAAATTCTAAATGTTGGAATATTCAAGAACGATATACTTACAATAATAGTATACAATTTAAAAAAATATATATATTCTTTTAACACATACGGCCTAATACGTAATAACATAATAACAGTAGTAATAAATAAATAATGAACGGTATTTTTCACACCCTCCGTCTATGTCTATTTCTCCTATATAATTTCTTACCAATATAACATTTAGAAAACTAATATTGCAGGTAGGTGAAGAGTAGAGTGACAATTGACATATTAATTATACAATTACATAACTAATTGTCAATATATCTATGGCTACATGCCTACATAGCATAAAACATGATTTTTTAAAAAATGCAAATATTAATTACAATTGTACTGTTTGTAATCTAGTATGTATTTCTTATTTTTTAAATTAAACAATCGTATGTATAATCATAAGTTACAGGAATGTGCCTTTCTCTGTTCAGGGATACGCAGGAAATTTAATTTTATGAACAGTAGTTTTTCAGAAACAAGGTCATCTATATATTTTCATAAAGTAAATATTTAAAAAAGATGTTTGAAGGCAAATATGTGTAGAGCGATTTTGCATCTTATAGCTGAATATATTTTTAAATACATTAAAATTATTGGAATTTTAATTACTTATAGCAATAACTATATTTAAGCAGAAACATATATAACATGTATATTATGCGTTTATTTATTTAATTTTAACATTTTTTAATGACTGTGAGACTACAATTCCTTTGTCTGCAACCTTCCACGGAGTTCCCTTGTAAGTAGCCTGATTATGGTCGTCTGTCTTCAAGTCTTGTGCAATTTCTTCAAAAACTTTTAGCACCTTGTCAGGAGACCTAGTGTATCCCTCTACGGTAATATAATCACCGGGTATAGCCCCACTAGGAGGTTCTAGTATTTCGACATTGTCAGGTGTACTGGCGCACATGACCATTGCTTCGGATAGTATTCCTCTAATTTTAGATGGTTTTAAGTTGCACAACAGTATGGCCAAACGGTCAGACATCTTTTCTAGTGGTACGTACTTTACCAATCCGCTAACCTGAAATTAGCCACCAACAATATAAATAATATTTCAAACACACAAAGTATAAAATCTATCCCTATTAAATATGTGATAAAATTACAAAAGTTGATTCTTTTTTTTTAAATACTTCTTAAGAATATAATTATTATTAGGTACACTTTTAAGTACTAATATCATATTTACAAAGCGACATACAAATGGACAAAAAATGACTTATATCACTTATATCTCACTATAAATGGAAAACATCCAAGTGAATATTATACGTACGACTGTTCTGGGTTTCTCTTCTCCGACGTCCACGACTTCCACATAAAGAGCGTCGGCATTAGGATGTTTAGAGGCACTGATAATTTTTCCCACCCGTAAATCCAATCGACCAAAATCAACAGGAGTATCAACTTTTTTACTGTCCGCAACTACGCAAAAATTATAACATTATTAGAATTATAACACCAACTATTTGAAAAAACAATTCAATATAATATGAAAATAAGTCATTCTGCAGTATTTTTTGTAATTAATTAGCATTATTAATTTTGTAACTAATTAATATTGAAAAAAATATCGTTAGTAAGTTAGCACGTTAACAGTGCTCGTGTTATTTTACAGGTATTTCAAGAGGGTTAACAAACATTTTTTTTAATTATCTAGTAAACGAGAGCAACAAATCGTTAAAAATAATTGTTCGAGAGTAATTAAAAAAAAATACCGGTCAGTATCTAACCAGTTAAAAAAAAACAAAATTAAAAACAGAAGGGAAGAAAATTAACAGCTATAATATTTTTATTTAAGGTCATCACTCAAATAAAACATACCTAATTAACAACATATGACAAAGTAGAGCAAGGTTGCGTATTAGGTTTTAAATCGCCGCTTAAGGGGACGTTGCACCTCAAAATAATAGCACCAAAATAGTATTTTTGTACTTCCAATAGTGTAAAGTCTACAATGCATGCAGGGATATGAATTATAAATTGTTTGAAAGATGAGAAACTATGCTTTGTTGTAATTAGATTTAAAAAATTAGATTTTAATTTTAAGATATATACATTTGAATAATTAAAAATATGCCATTTCTTTATGCCATACTCGTATTGTTCCATATCCAAACCAACTATCGAAAATTGGTTTCCAACAAAATATAGAAAAAGTACTCACCTACAACATTTGTAATTGGGTTTTTTACTCTAAAACCACCCAGTAAGCTGTGATTTTGTAATTAGAAAACTATGTTTAGATGGAAAAAAATATTTAAAATCGATGACAAAGATGCTGCGATAGTACGAAAAATAAATTAACTGCCTAAAAAGAATTCTTATTACTAATAATTACAAATTACAATTTCAGCTTTAAATTGAGATTTTGCAAAAAATTGCCTATACCTACCCTTAATACATAGCAGTACGACGTCTCCTTAAGACACAACACTACGTATTTAATTATTATCAATTTTACAAAAGACACACGTTTTCATATAGGTGCCTGAGCTTGTGTCAGCCCAAATGTAGATATATATACATTAATGTATATATATTAGGCTGGTCCTTAAATTTTATATGGCGTTGGAGGGCCGTCATTCGCTCCAAATATTGAAAACATATTTCTCCAATTTTTTCAGTTTTCTATTTCATTTCCTTGGTCTTCCTATTTGCATAATATCATACGTATAATGTATATACTAGGCGCGGGCCGCCGGGCCAGGCCAAGTGACAGTATAGATTTGATGTGCAAACAGGAAGACTTTAAGGGAATGAAATTAAAATCTCAGAAAATTGGAGCGATTTTTTTCAACATGTGGAGCCACTCCAACGCCATGTTAAATTTAAGGACACCCTAATATATACATTTGACTTGACTAACATTAGTGATTGTAAAGAACTTGTGCATTTTAAATGTAATTGTGGTTCTGATATTTTTCATCCGTTATAAATCGTCGTAACTCATTTACGAGCTAGTAGCTAGATAACCTATTACTATTTATAAATGTATGGAAGGTGGGAGCCGGAGACATAAAATTATTCTGAAACTACTTTCAGTGGCCCACCCATAAATATAGTTCTGGAGTCTGGACCAATCACTGAAAGCGGCCAAGCTCAAGAGACAAAAAAAAACAGAATGCGCAGAAGAAATTTCTATGGATAATGTATTTAAAAGTTGAGGTTTTTATGAGGCGCATGGCGCCAGAAATGATAACCCACAAAAAATGTAATAATTAATTTCTTACTTGAAACATTTTAGAATAATATACTATTTCAATACCAAAAATCGACAGACTTTATCGTAAATCTGAGCCAGCCAGCGGATCTCCGCGAAATTGTCAATTTAACAGTGAGAACTGAAATAGGTGGTGTTGCTACTAAAGCGTCGGAATAAATCTTATATAAATTTAATATATACATTTGATTTATGACGGCGTTAAAAAAACTGGTCGCCTACATAGTATACTTGTGTTGTATAATACGTAGACATTTTATAGTTTAAGAGGAGGTAAATCCAACTTGAAAAACTTGTAATAAAATATTTTTTTACGCACGTGAACTGTAAAACTAATATTACCTGATCTTTTCATAATAAATATTACATTTAACATACTGTAAGTACGTAAAAATATGTTTCTCAAGTACGAGGCCGTAGTATATAATACTAGGTAATTGAAAAAAATTATATTTACTGAATAAACGTAACAGGTATCATGTTTATTCCATGATACACATAGTAATCAGTATAGGCAATTTTTCTTAAATATATATTTTAAAATTTAAACCAAAATTTTTATACATGGCTAACAGCATACCAAAAACAATTGTAAAGCTATTTTTGTGTTAAACCCGGTTTTAAGAGATGCATATTTCTGGAATATGGCCGGACAATTAATAATTATCTAACTACCTATTGACTATTAGCAATTTTTTTTTATTTATAAAAAACACTATTAGTTATTGAACATTACTATTATGATTTGAGAGTTAAAATTGCGCAGTTCCTATAAAAAACGTTGACTTCTGAAATATGTTTTTAAAATTAGTATGGCGCACACACCACTCGCCATGACTCTATTTTTAACAAATATTATTTTTTTTTATACAACCTAATATTTTATATATAATTATTATAGCAGCGTTTTTAGAGAAGTAGTCTATACAACCGTTATTTACAAAACTGTTATTTCACCCATAAAGTTAAACCTAAAATAAAAATCATCTAGCAAAAGAATATAATCTATGTTTGATAACTTTTATAATGTTTCTTTTTGGGGGGATAGGTAAGGCTTGAAGAAATTTGGGAGAAAGAGCTAAATAAACCTATTTGCACCACTGTAAGTTGACCTTCGTAAAAAAAACCAATCTAAGTTTTTGTAACTTTTGGCTTATGAGGTTAAAATTTTTTACAAGAATCTGTAATCCCTGTGAGTTTTATTTTATAAAAAAACATAAAAGGTGATTTAATTTGCCTTTTAGTGTTATTTCTAATTTTTGCTAAAAATGAACATATTTTTGTCCTTCTATAGTCTAAAATAAAATTTAAATATAAATATACGTTTTATAAATAAATATAATTGTGTACTTACCAGCAGTATTAATTTTTTTTTGTTTCTTTGTAACATCATTACCTTTCTTTGCATCATTGATTCTAGTTGTACTTTTTTTATCGATCAATTTTTCTTTACTTATATTATCATCAGATATTTTAACATCTCCTTCAATAATCTAGTAACATATTAATTTTAAAAATTTACTTTTTTTAATTCTTTTTTTGGATCAAAAAATTGACAGCAGTTTTATTGAAGCCTTGTCAATGATACTAAATTAACGTACTTATTTTTACATTTTATTTTATGACCTTTAATATACTAAATTAGAATTTTCTGAAAGTTTAAAAAAAATATAACTCACTTCATTTTTAACTCCATTTATGGAGCTCACTTTTTTAAGTTTTTCCAATTCAGCCTGAATCTGTGATTTCAATAACTCCTGTTCTAATTTGAGGCGTTCACACTCAATATTATATCTATTTGCAAGTTCCTGTTTGTGCCATTTCACCTGTTATAAATTCTAAGTTAGCTCAAATTTTATGTTATAATAACATCCAACAAACATTTAATATTATATTGAAATAGTTAGGAGTTTATGAGTATTCAAAAAACAGAGTGAAAATTTATTTTTATTTTTGTATTACATTATACTAAAAGGACACTTTAAAGGACTGGTAATTTATTATAGAAAATTGTCAGCCATATAAGTACCTAGATAGTTATATTAAAAATAAAATTGTGTTTAACAAACTCCAACACTCCACTAAAAGAAAAATATGACGAGTGTAAAATATTAATTAAATACAATTAATATAAAAAAGGTTTGTTATTATAAGTATGTTTATTATTTCAATTTTCAAACAACGTATAGAAAACAATAAAATATTTTTTACAAAAATATAATTGATCTAAACAAAATGGTTCTGCGGTCTACTATAATCTCGTTTATCGTTCACGTAAATAATAAAAAACTTGTAATATACTAATAATAATATAAAAATGTAAGGTACAAAAATGATGACATATTATATGTTTAATAGTTTCAGTATACTCAAATGAACAATTTTTTTTCTTTTATTTATATAAATATAAGTAGGTACACAAATCGATTATATATAAATTTATTAACTAGTTATAATAATTTTAAATTATTGTGTATATAAATATGAAATATATATTATTTCATAAAAACATGTATTTATTGTAATTATTATTTACATACATATAATAATATTAGAGATTCATACATATATATTTATATAATACATAACGTCAAAGTAATGAGCAACGTTGCTGCAGCCACGTACTGATGTTATTAGAATTAGACGTTGTTCCTGTTAGTTTTCTTGTATCACTTCGACTACCTTGTTGTGCTGGTGTTTTCCCTGCATTAGATGCTTCCAATTTACGTTCTGTTTTACCTTTAATATCTCTAGCTAAGGTAGTGAAAGCCTCTTCTACACCTTGGCCAGTACGGGCACTGACTTCCAAAAAGCGAACACCATATTCACAGGCGAGTTGTTCTCCACGTTCTTTACTGACCTGCCTACTATTATCCATCTCACATTTGTTGCCTAGAAGCATTTTTTCCACATCAGCTGATGCATTTTCTTCAATGTTACGCATCCAAGTTCGTACATTGTTAAAGCTCCGTTCACTAGTGACATCATACACAAGCATTATACCCATTGCTCCACGGTAATAAGCTGTTGTTATAGTACGAAATCGTTCTTGGCCCGCAGTATCCCATATCTGTAACTTGATACGACGACCATCCAACTCTACAGTTCGTATCTTGAAATCGATACCAATAGTAGAGATAAAGGTCGTAGCGTTATACGCATCCTCTGCATATCGGAATAAAACACACGTCTTGCCAACTCCCGAGTCTCCAATGAGTAGCAGCTTGAAGAGGTAATCGTAGGTCTTCGCCATAGTTGACGGACAGATCTAAGTATGCGTTGTGGGAATATCCAACAGAACCGTACTAATTGTAAAGCTGCTATGATACGGTATTATGACTGTTGATAGTAGTTTTCCTGTTTATCAAAATGTTTCCTGATAATTTTATCATGAATATCATAAAAACAATAAAGCTGTACGTTTTTGCACTCAGTGTAAGGCCAGTGTAGGCTAGTGAATGTAAAATAATGAGTACACGAACAAAAAGGAAAACTTTAAATTCTGTTATCAGAACGTTCTTATCAAAAATTATAGCTACACATGAATTCTTACACTTTCGTACACCGACGAAAAAAAAAACGAGTATTCATATTGGATTTAAAATTACCACATACGCGATAAGAATTTACCTCGTGATACTGACGAATCAAATCCAATATGAATAATATCTTCCCTACAGCTGCCGTATAAAAATATAGTTTGCTAATCATAACCTTACCTTTTCAACTAAACGAGAATGAATGGCAATTTTCACGGCGTTAAGTTTCGTCACAGCTTCCATTATATTATTATAATGTAAAAAAATATATAATATACTTGAATTGAACTTAAAACTCAACAGAAAACTGAGAATCGTTAATCGTTATTATCGAGTATCGATTGTTGAGAAATTGTTGTTAAGTAACAACGCACACCTATAAACGTGTACGGGTTAATCATGCCACGAAATAAGATACAGCCGAGCCGATGGCCGATACAGATGACTGGATTGGACCTATAGAATGGCTGGCGAGTAGAGGGTAACGGGGACTAGGGAGTGACAACAACACAAGACAACTGACAAGTATCTACATTCTATAGTCTACACGAGATTGAACCGCCATCTAGCAATCAAAACCACAATATTGTTGAGTCTGCAATAATTGTGGTTTATGATGCCAAAAAGAAACAATTATCAACTTTTGAATTTTTATTCTGATCATTAGTTAGCTAAAACCTGCAATTGTTTGTAACGTAAAATATTCAATTAATGCTTAAAACAACTAATTGGGTCTTGTTGCTAAATTCTAAAAAAGGTACTAAAATATTTTTAAAAAATATACAAATAGAAACCTAAGAACAATAAAAGCTAGTAACATTTAAAACAGTCACAGACCAAAAGGAAAATTAGTTTAAAAAAAATTAAGCACTCACAGCACAGACTAAATAAAACTTAAATTTAAATGAGATTTAATCTGTGGCCACAAATATATGTATATAATATACATATTATGTATAACTGTCTGTGGCTCTACTCAACCGCGAATGCCGAATACTATAGTTATGTTAATATTTAAAGTGAATTAAGTGAGTCAATTCATCAAGAAGAGTTGAAATTACCATTTAACACAGACCATAGAGTAATTCTGTAACAACTGTGAATAAGTGTGTAAGTCGATTTCAGTGATTTTACAGGGGAGTGATTTTTAACTCACCAGCTGCCATTAATCAGCATGTAATAATCAGGAACTCACATCTCTCTCTAGATTTTCTTGTAGGTCCAACGAGTTAGACATTTATTCAAGGTGTGCTAGGCGCTTCGGACTACATCCTAGCGTACTAAGTCAATTTTTACCAAAATTCGACTTGCACACTTGTTACAGAATTACTCTATAACACTGGCTATGCATATAAATATTCAATATTCTATATCAATATATCATAAAAACTAAAAAGTGACTATATTCTAAGTATAGGTGTCTAATTCTTATCAATAATTAGAACAATCGATTATTTTAACTTTTAAAAGTTCTATAAAATCGAATGTCGATATGTACTAAAAAAAAAAAAAATTTAATATTTCTCTACCGCGGTTTTCTACAGAAAAATACAATTATTTATTTGTTGTCATTAAAATTAATTATCTAATTTTACCTACTTAAATTTTAATTTTTCATACTACACACCAATTTAGGGGTTCCAGTAAAAATCGATAGTTTGGTTTCAAATTATTTTTCGCTACATAACCTAACATGCACCGAACCGAAATTTAATAGCCACTACTGCAAAACTGTAAGTTACGGTTCGATGTTTAAAAATTAAAATTCTTGTGTACAATACGAATCTGATCTGAATTTAATAGCAATTTCAAAACAATATCAAACATTGAGTTGTCATTTAAAAATGGAAGGTTCTGACGCCGCTGTTTCTAAGAAGTACGTATGTCCCTGTCTATGATATTTGATAATAACAATTTCAAAAAGAAACTATTCTTCGGCGGCAGTCAGCAACAATACCAAAAAATTATTTACTTACAAAAATTGAGAACTGATCTTTTTTCAATCAATTTTTCTTTATAACATTTTTGACTGAGTTTAAAAACTTGATTGCATCAAATGTAAGTTTTACAAATTATAATATACCATTAGACGTAGAAATTCTTTCACACAATGAGTATATTAGTGAGCCGGTGCACTTTGCGCCCTTTAATTTCTTCAAGGTTCATACATATGTCTTACTTGGCTCAAAGGTATAGTAACAGTTCACACAAACACTGGTATCGGAGTGAATGTTACTCAATGTTTTTAAGATAATCGATGTAAAAAAAAAGGAAATAACGTAATGCAATCGAATTAGCAGGGATTTTTCACTGTTGTAATGCTACAGAGTTTTGTTAATAGTATTTAGATTAATTATAAATAATACATTGTTATTATTAATATACAAAAAAAAAAGCACCTAAAAAATGGTACTTTGATATCTTAAAATAAATATAATATTATTTATGATTTTATTCAGTCGGTAGGTATATTGTAATATGAATGCATAACAAATTATTAATCAGTATACTGTTATACAAAATGTTCACGTTCACTCTGGATCCAGCTACTGTTTGTTGTCAGTATTTGTAATAAATGCTAATAAATAATATTTTTTTCAGTGAGCTTAAAAGACGATTGAAAGCTGAACAAAAAGCCAAGGAAAAATTAGAAAAAGAAGCTACTGCTCAAAGTAAACAGCCGACAACTAAGAAAGTTGATGATTTGTCTGCGGCTACTAAAGCTTTAGATATCAGTCCAAATGTTAGTATATATATTATTTTAGACACAAAGTACAAATTTATTAAAGAGCTTAACAATTTTCAGGAATTCTTTAGCTTGCGTTTACAAGCCATTGCTCAGATGAAAAAGGACGGAGAGGAACCTTACCCACATAAGTTTAATGTAACTTTATCTTTAGAAAATTTTATAAATGAGTTTCAGTCATTAAATGAAAGTCAGATTTTGCATGATAAAGAATTCAGTGTTGCAGGTATAATTAGATATTGTGTAATTAAAAGTAGTAATTTATAACAGTAATACTTATAATAGAAATTTAATATTCATAGAACTATTCTACATAAGTATTTGAAATAATTTCAGGACGAGTACATGCGATTCGTGAATCTGGTCCAAAACTAATATTTTATGATTTGCGTGGTGAAGGTGTAAAAATTCAAGTGATGGCCAACGCAAAACAATATTCTTCTGAAGACAGTTTTATTGCAGACACGTCTAAAATACGACGTGGTGACATAATTGGTGTCACCGGTAGTCCTGGCAAAACTAAAAAGGGCGAATTGTCCATTTTTCCCAAACACATTAAATTATTAACTCCTTGCTTACACATGTTGCCTCATTTACATTATGGTCTCAAAGACAAAGAAACTAGATACAGGCAAAGATATTTAGACTTGATCATCAACGAAAATGTGCGTAACAAGTTCATAGTTAGGGCTAAAATTATCTCGTACGTTCGGCGTTTCTTAGACAATTTAGGTTTTCTCGAAATCGAAACTCCAATGATGAACATGATTGCCGGTGGTGCTACAGCAAAACCTTTCATTACCCACCATAATGATTTGAATATGGATTTGTTCATGAGAGTCGCGCCAGAACTTTACCACAAAGTAAAATATTTAATGTTAATAATGTAAGCGAATACTAAATGATTTTGGATTTTCAGTACTAAGTATTTTTAATATTATATTTAAGTAATAATTTAAGCTGTCCTATAATTAACTGCTAAATCATTTTAGTTATGTTCCAGAACTGTTTTGTATTCAGCGCTTAATAAATTAGTATATAATTATTTTTACTTAATATTATTTTTTCCGACAGATGCTTGTTGTCGGGGGTATCGATCGTGTATATGAAATTGGTCGTCAGTTCAGAAACGAAGCAATCGATTTAACTCATAACCCTGAATTTACTACATGCGAGTTTTATATGGCGTACGCAGATTATAATGATCTTATGAAAATCACAGAAGATCTTTTGTCTGGTACGTAGTAACATTATAAATTACTTTCAGTATAAAAAAAAACATTTATATATATATACATTATCATCTAGGCCTTGTAAAAAGTATATATGGATCTTACAAAATAAAGTATCATCCTGACGGTGTGGACTCCAATACTGAACCTGTTGAAGTAGATTTCACTCCACCATTCAAGAGGATGTACATGTTTCCCGCTTTAGAAGAAGTATTATCAGTAAAACTACCTGACCCGACACGACTGTCAACACCTGAAGCAAACAAGTTACTTGATGAATTGTGTTTAAAGCACGATGTAGATTGTCCTCCACCAAGGACTTCGTCTAGACTGCTCGACAAAGTAAAATATTTTAACTTTTGTTTAGTATGTTTTATACAATTTTAAACTTTTGCAGCTTGTGGGAGAGTTTCTTGAAGAAACTTGTATTAATCCTACGTTTATATGCGATCATCCTCAAGTGATGTCACCATTAGCCAAATGGCACCGAGCTACTCCTGGTCTAACTGAAAGATTTGAATTGTTTGTTATGAAAAAAGAAGTTTGTAATGCATATACAGAATTGAATGATCCTATGATTCAAAGAGAACGATTCGAGCAACAAGCAAAGGTAATTTTGTCATACTAAAATTTTGACAATTTAACATTTGTACCATTTTATTTTTGTTCTCAACTAATTAACAGAAAATTTAATTTTAGGATAAAGCTGCCGGAGATGACGAAGCTCAGTTGATAGATGAAAACTTCTGTACATCATTAGAGTATGGTCTGCCTCCAACGGCTGGATGGGGTCTAGGAATTGATCGACTTACTATGTTTTTAACTGACTCAAATAATATTAAAGTATGTTTATTAAGTTTTTAATTATCTGAGTACTCGTACTATTTTATTATTTATTTTTTTTTTTTAGGAAGTACTGTTCTTCCCAGCCATGAAGCCAGATGATCCCAATAAACACAAAGAAGAAAAGATTGAAGAAGAAGAAAAACCCAAAGTCTAAAAATTGTAATATTTTAATACGATTATAATAAATTATAAAAAGAAAAAAATTCAATTTAATATATCTGTATATGTATGTTTACTATATAATGTATGGATCATAACATGAGCCGATACCAATTTTCCCGATTTCCGAAAACATAAGCCAATACTAATAAAAACATTTATCAGCCATTTAAATGCGATATGAATCATATGGTCTTTTTGAAACAAAACTAACCGTACACCTGTTTTGTTTTTACAAACTGGTTTGCAAATTGACAGCCGAGCTGTTAATGGCCAGCTTAGAACATCCATAGCTCTATTAAGAAATAGGTCAATGAGAATATCGTAAAGGAATAATTACGATTTAAGATAGCACCACTTTTTCCGAATTGTATGCGTTACTACACAAAGGATCATTTTTTCCAACGATAAGTTTTTTATCAGAACTTTTTAACTTTACATTTCTATCTTAACTTAAACCTGTAACCTACTCTTAGACTGTAGCCTGCTAACCTAGGATATCTTTAGTATAGCAGAGCAAAGCGACAGCGCCGATCGAGAGAGCACAGATTAGATTGAGTGCCGAGTGCCCAACGCTCGGGCGCCAGTGGGCCCGCGGTGACCTGCCGTCCTTATCAGTTTGAATTCCGCCAACTGATGAGAAACTCGTCAGAAACGTTGGTAATTTGGCAAAAGTGGTAGCAACCAGCTATGTTATAATACTTGATAACAATAATCACTGTAACCACAAGGTAACATCGTGGTCCATCGTGATGTTACAATGATAATAAATTAATTGATATTAAAATTCAAGTGATAAATCTTCAATTCTCGGTACATACTACATTTATCATTTTAGTATTTAACGTTATTGATTATATTTCTACTACTAAGTTAAATGTTGTCTGAAATACTTGACATTCTTTAGTTTTTGCTTTCCGTTTTATTGCGGTAAATTTATAATTTAAGTTTAACAGTAGTCCTAATTAGAATATCAACTAAATATTTTTAATTTTGTTTAGTCTCATATTATCAGTATTCAAATTGGACTACTGATGTACATGAATCAATTGTCTACTGCTGTAAAATTAACTAATTTGACTTTCTGAAGAGCTGGTAACTGGCAACGTTTAACAACTAAATTATTTACCTTTTTTATAAATAATTGAAGTAATTTTCTTAAGTTTAGAAGAGAAGAATGCAGTGAGGATGTCGAACAATAAAATATCATTGTACAAGTTCAAACCTTTTCATTTCACAGTATTAAAAAAAAACCATGATCCATTGCTTCGACCGTTAGCAAGAAGCGGACATCGTGTAGTGTGCAACGATGCTTATTTATTTTCCTATGGCGGGTTTAATCCGGCAACAAGTGTAAGGGTACAGTATAATATATTTTTATTTGCCACATAATACCAATCAATATGTATAATACATACATTATATTTTATGTCATCTTAAAAATTAAATTGAAAATAATAGGCATCAGTGACTCTTCACTTCTAAACTATCAATTTGATATTCTCCCATCAAGCAAGGTTTACATAAAACATAAGTACTCCTCTTTTTTCTGCTTACTGAAATTCTGGGCCATAAGAATGGTATACTAATACTAATAATAATAATATAGAATTATTTACAGGATGCTACCGGTACAAGATTGTCATCAGCCATGCGAGAACTTTGGAAGTATTGTTTTGATTTAGGCGAATGGAAAAGAATATCCTGCAAAAACGTACCTCAAGAATTGGCATCTAGTTCTGTTACATTATCTGGAAATATTATTATTATATATGGTGGTACGGGAGTTCCTTTTGGAGCATTCTGCAGTAACCGAATGTACCTAGGTAAAAAAGTTAAACGATCAATAAGCAATAAAAAAATATCTAATTATATTAATTGAAACTATTAGGAAATTTGGCTAATGAATTTAAGGAAATTGGGATGGAATTTGAAGAATTGCAAGTATCTGGTGAAGTTCCTATGCCACTTTATGGACAAGGTGTTGTAATGGATAGCAAGTATATTTATTCAATTGGCGGCACATCAGGCTACGAGTATGAAATGGATGTTCACCGTCTTGATCTTAGTACTAAAAAGTGGGAATTACTACATAAATCGCGAGGATTGGTTCATGAACCAGAACCCAGATATCGACATGAAGTGGTATTTTACAAAGGACGAATTTATATATTCGGAGGCGGACGTGGAGGTTCATTAAACATCTACTATGGATTTTCGGTTAGTATTAAGAGGACGTCGCACCGGTGATTTTCAGTGGTAAAAACATGGTTACGCCAACTGAAAATAACTCGCTTAATTTTGGTTTTAGAGTAAAAGCACCCATTATAAAATTAAAAGAGAACAATATTCTGGAGAGCACCACAGTGCGTTTCAAAAAAAATTCATTTTTTGAAAAGTCTTTTACAAATGTTATAATAGTCGTTATTTCCAAACTTGGAATAATGAAAAAAACGCACCGTGGTGCCCTCCGGAATATTGTTCTCTTTTAATTTTATAATGGGTGCTTTTACCATAAAAACAAAATTAAGTGAGTTATTTTTGGTCTGCTTAAACATGTAGAGATGGAAAAACATTTTTAAATCACTTTCAAGGATGCTGTGATAGTCCTAGTTATTGAACTAATAATTACACATCACAATTTAACCTTTAAATTAAGATTTTGTAAAAAAGTGCCTATACTTTACTCCATAAAAATGAGCGGTGCGACGCCCTCTTAACGAAAATGAAATATGCTCAATTTGGCGACTACTTACTTATGTTATATTTATTCATATTTTTATTTTGACTAGAAAATTCATGTTTTTGATGTAACTACCAAGGAATGGGAATTCCTCCCTGCGAAACATGACCATAGAGTGCCTCGACCAGGATATCCAGATAACCGAAGCTGCCATAGTTGTGTTCAGTGTCCAGACAAAAAAAATTTAGTTTATATATGTGGTGGTTTTGATGGTTTCCGTTCATTCAGAGATGTCTGGCGGTTTAATTTAGATACTCTCCAATGGGAAAAATTAACCAGGTGTACAATGCCTAAACCCGTGTATTTTCATTCTACTGCAGTTACGCCTTCTGGTCGTATGTGCTGTTATGGAGGTATAGTGTCCGACCAAGCAGATGGCAGTGGTGGCCGTTCAAATGACATCACTAGTGCCTGGATTACTATACCCAAGTTAAGAGTGATTTGTTGGGAGGCGATGATATTCTATTTTAAAGAGCAAATGTTCGAAACCAGTGATCACGATTTAAAACAGATTGGTCTACCACAAGAATTTTATGAAAGGATAATTGACGGAAGGAGAAATCATAGTCTAGCGACCACATGAGACATTTTTTTTTTTATATAACAAACAAATGTAATGTTTTAATTACTATTAAATTCTAAAAAAAAAAAATTAATTGGTTTTTAATTAAATTAATAAGAGGGACAAATATTTCTGCTGACATTGCTGCCAATGTTTTTGTATAAATTTTTGAATTTGTTAATATATTTAAGTGATATAATTTAAAAGTAATAAAATGACTAATTGTTATTTTGTTAAAAAATAATACAAATATACATTTTCATTAGCATAATATACTATATTATTTCGGTAAAATATAAATCTGGAAAATGTGTTGATACACGGTTTATAAGTCAAGGAGAATAAATAAAATAATATTTTGATGTACTCCAATATAAGAAGGAAAAAAATAAAAACAAAATAAAAATGTCATCACAGAAAGTATTTACTATAATAAAATGCCGGTGTTAAGTATTTACAAAATTCGATTATCAATTAAATCATAATTGCGAGTTTTTTTTTCATAAAAATATGAAAATATTTTTACGTCACTCTGGATATGCAGTCTGTAAATCGTTTGTTTAGTTGGCATGATTGTGTTTCAAGATTTTCTATTACAGGTATGGTTGTCGTAGATGATCTGAAATAATTTAAATCAATAATAATTCATTGGCAATTGAATTATCAACATAATAAGTCACAAATTTTAATTCAAATTTTTTAACTAACGACAAAACAAAAACTGATATTTTCACTTAACAAGTATGAAATTTGTATTTACGAGTATGTGCTATGCATGTAGTCATCTATTAAGATTTGTATTATTATAGTAAAGATTTCATATATATTTTTTTTTATTGAACTTATTTTATTGTTTCAGTATTGTTGATTTTGAGTTATTTGATTATGCTAGTTAAAAATAAAATTAAAGTAATTTAAACAGTTGGGGCATAAGTAAAATTTTATTTATAAGGTATTAATTGAAATAAAATAATATACATCATCATTAGTATTATTTGTCAGCCAAAATATCAAATAAAATACAATATAATTTAATTACTTAATTTATTTGTTTGTATTTCCAAATGTATGAAAAATTGTTTAAATCCACTTATTTTATACACATTTTTTTTATTCTTATAGAACAAGCTTTTATTAGTCTCATTAAGAAGCTACTGAGCCTAAAAAATGTTTTTTTTTTTAACTAATTGAATGTTGATGGTATGAGCTACCATTGTTTTCTTTCATTATAAAAGTGTGTTGATTAATTAGGACTCTTAAATGACCAAGTGATCATTTCCTCGTATATCAAAAGCAGGTCATCCACTTATGCATAAACATTTAAAAAAAAACTCTAATAAAATATTGCACTAGTTAATTAAAATCTACTTTAATTTGGCAAATATGTCAAAACATTTAATAAATAGGGCAAAATGATCAAATTTAAAAACAAATATACAGAAGTAATTATACTTTTTAATTTATACTAACGAATGTGATTTATAAAACTCAAGATTAAACATCTATTTATAATATTAGAATTTTATAATGAACTTAATATTTATTTACCGGTTATGTGCCATATGACTGCGTACTAAATGACCGGCTGTCAAAGCAGACATTAACGATAGCTCTCCGGCTAAGACTGTGGCACAAAGAATGCGTGCCAGTCTTTTAGCGTTTTCACCAGGCGTCTCGGAGTGGGGCCCACGCACGCCGAGCATTTCTAAACAAGCGGATTGGCCAGGCAATGATGTACCTCCTCCGACCGTGCCGATTTCAACAGACGGCATCGTGCAGGATACGTAAAGGTCATCACCAAAGGCTTCCATTAGCGTCATGCAGTTACTACTAGCTACGTTTTGTGCTGGATCCTGAAATCAAATGTTTACAACATTAACATGTGTAAGACACAACAACAAATTGTTTACAATTTACCTGTCCAGTAGCTATATAAATCGCCGTAACAATATTGGCCGCGTGAGCATTATTTCCTCCAATACTGCCAGCGATTGCAGATCCCATTAAATTTTTGGTAATATTAACGTCAACCAATGCAGCTACCGAAGTTTTTAACACATCTTTCACAATTCTAGCCGGTACTATAGCTTCACTCACGACGTACTTGCCACGACCTTCGATCCTGTTATGAATAAAACAAGAATGAGTACATTAATAGTGAAAACGTATGAATATAGTATTTTACCAATTAACTGCAGCTGGTTTTTTATCGGAACAAAAATTACCACTTAAACTTAGCACTTCCATGTCTGGGAAGTACTTTCCAATTATTCTCAGAGATTCTTCAGTTCCCTAATTTTCAAATAAAAATTAATGTTAAAATTAATACACACTTACACATATTTTTGAGAAAATAATATTAACGTGAGAATTGAGAATATAAACAATATTGTTGTATCGAGTAAATTTGTACTAACTTTTGATAACATATTCATTCCCATAGCGTCTCCTGTAAACGCAGTAAATCTAATAAACAAATGTCGACCAGCGATTCGGACGAGTATTTTTGTTAGTTTTGCAAATCGGCTAGTAGAATCAAATGAAGACTTAATGATTTTGAAATTCTCCGGATTGTCCATCCACATTTTCGCTTCACTAAAAAGGAGTATGAAAAACCAATTGTAAAAATAAAACACACAAATGACTTGTAAAACATAAAAAAATATAATAATTACGCATACCTAGCGGTAGTGACTGAAGTAAAACGAACAACAGGCCCTCTGGTCATACCATCGTCGACTACTCTCGTTATAACTCCACCACACGATTTTAAAGCATTACACCCTCTATTTGTACTAGCCACCAAGCAGCCTTCGGTCGTAGCCATAGGCACTTGGTAAAGCACATCATCTACGAGTAAAGGACCCGCTACTCCAACCGGTACTGCTACATAGCCTATTACGTTCTCACAATTTGTGCCCAGAACCTAAAAATTATCAAGTTTAATATATTTTTCAAACTTCTGACATACGTTTAAATATATTTATATTCTTACTTTTGAATAATCGTAACCAACATATGGTAACTCAGTTAAAGCTTCATTTAAATCACTTTGTTCGGAAATGACTTTTCTTCTAAGGCCTACTCCACGTTCAGGATTGTTGACACATTTTTCTAACATATAAGGCTTAATATGATTCGACTTGATTAACATCATTACTTCTGTATCGTTTAATGCTTCAGCAGAATTCTAAATGCAAAAATAGATAATAAAGTTTTAGTAATAATATCATAGTGTTTAGAATCTATAATTGTAGATTCTATATTTGATTATACAATTTATGACTAATAGTCGTTTTATGTCTGTTAGACGTCAACCAAAATTGTAAATTATGATCTATGCTCTTACTAAGAAGGGATTTGAGAATATTTTTTCTCAGTTTCGTATGTTTTAGCTTTAATGCAAGCTGAGAAGGTATTAATTTTTTTTTTTTTATATAACCACTACTTGGCAGAGAATGTACAAATAGTTTCCAATAAGTAATTTTTGTTATTACATTGTAGTAAAATTAATAAATCTAAATATTAAAAAAATGTGATTTTTATGTAAATTAAATGTGGAACCAACAGTGACTGGATTTAATACAGAAAAACTGGACCCAGAATCACAATTTTTTTTTTCTTTGTAATTGAAGGGCTTGGAACAACAACCAGATAAATCCACTTTTTAAAATTGTTCAAGACCGCCAAAAGAAAATCCAATAATCCCGTTTATCACTATAGGCGGGGGAAAATGCATATTATTGTAGGTATTAGTCCAATTTTACTGTTTGTTCCACCAAAATGTAGATAAATTTTTCGTGAACATTTTCCCATGGAATACAAATTTTGAAGAAAAAAAAAAAGGATTTATCTGGTTGTTGTTCCAAGCCCTTCAATTGTGAAAATACAATTCAATTCAGATAATAAAATAAGAGAAAAATCAGAATAGAAAATATGTATTTGAAGAAAGATTAACTGTTTTAATCAAAAAGAAAACGACTTTTTGTGAACAGTTATAGATTGGGTGTGCATGGGTAATCTTATTATTTTTTCTGTGTCTCATATTGACCTATCTGAAATGTTTAATTTGTCTCTTATTAACTAGTATATAGTATTCTAATTTTTAGTAAATATGGTGATAACAAAAATAGTCATTTGAATTTAAGTATCCCTTTTAAAAAACTGGAATGTGGCCTCACCCCTCAGTAATTGAATAGACCCTTAGTAATTTTTGCGGACTGGGCCTTTACCTTTAAATCCGTCATTGTGAATAGTAGAGGTGTATTTATTTTTGGTGTTTTTTAACAAACAAAATATTACCTGCGTTTTATATATTGTTAAACATTCGTCAAATGATCTTTGTGTATTTGGTTGATCATTTTTTGCAATAATGTTTTCAACATCAGTTTGAACCATTTTATCTGAAGACACTGTATGTTCATTATGATTATCAGTCTGGCTTTCAGTGTGTTGAGTAACTTTGAGTAGTTCTCGTAAACGCACATTACCTAAATGACAAATAAATAAAGTTAGTTTACTGTTTATAAGTTGACATTTGTTTTTAAACTATCATAAATACCTGTTTGATTAAATAGTAATGGATGGTTAACCGATGCTAGGTGGCTAGCTAATTCATCTCGATCACCGAAAAACCAGAACCACACAATCATCGACATTAATAATATTAATATAACTATGTGATCAGCTCCACTAGCCATCCAACTGTTAAAAAAAAAAAACTTATTAAAAATTAATTTACCAAAAATTTAACTGATAATAATATGTTAGTATTACTATTATAGTAAATTATACTAATAGTAGATTATAATACATTAATACAATCACATGTACGTACTGCACGATAGAACTTTGAACTGAACGATGGTTGTTTTCTTCAGTTTCGTTGAAAACTGCAAACTTGGTTACTTGTATTCCTAACATATTATCGGCTTCCGATTCCATTCCACTCAGCGCCCATCGACTAAAAGGAAGTAAACACGTAAGTTGTTATTAATTTAAGAAGAAAAACCGGATGTAACCCCTACTAGGTTTAAAATAGAAAAACACGTTATAAGAATACATTCGCTATTGTATTATGATCTTTGTTTAAATTGTACTGCTCTTAGACGTAAACAGTATTTCTAAGGATAAGTAATTCAAAAAAAGTAAAGCAGAGAATGTATACAAATACGGATCATTGAAGGATTAGAGAAGATAGATAGTATATTTCTTATGCAAATCCTAAATACTATTTTTAGAGCTATGAATAAAGCCTTTACCTCTGTGCATGAACAATCATTACTCCGACTGACATTATCACCTTAACGCGTTGTGTTATCGGATCAGTTTTATGATCATTACAAATAGCGGTTATTTGAGACCTGTCTCCCCAGAACGGCATACCGTTTTCATCTCCACCTCTCAAAAGCTGTCAAACAATACAACATTCATTCATAACAATTATATTTCAACAACGACAATGACAATTAATAAATATTAAAATACTTACATCCAATACAAGAGACAAACATGCTGGATAGAAGCTCATCATCACCACATAATTGACTATGAACGACATACATGTAAACATGCACAGTGTTTCCAAACGTTGAACACCCGATAGCATACCGACACTGATTACCAGACTACATACAATCGAGTCCAGCGAAAAAGATGGACCCAACAGTGACATTCCTTTAGATATATTATTAATCACTTCAGTCTGTGAACAACCGCTTAGCGCAAACTGTGCTAATAGACTAGCTTTCTTTAAGTTAACAAGTAAAACTAATAGGAACAGGAACATTGCATCTCTAAAAAAAAATAAAAGGAGTCAAACATAAGTTAATAAAAATTAGATTTATAACAAACAAAATTAAGCATACTTTAAGTCTCCGTTTAAGTAATGTATTACTATAGTGCTAAAAACAAGAGTGGAAAATACTGTAAACATCGCGGCTATTCCTAAAAAAAAAAATGTAATTAGTATAATACTTAATAAAACATATTTGTAATTTGAATTTTAAACCCAAAAATTTGTAAAAATATAATATTTCCAATGGTTTAAAAAATGTTTTTTTATTAAACTTATTTATTTAGAAAATATATATTTAAAAAAAATTATAAACTGAATTAATAACTTACATATTACACAAAAGGGACAAGTTTTTTTTTTACTAGAAATATTTATAACTGAAAAAAATAAATTAATACCTACCTATACTACTACAAGAAATTATTTGTGAGCCAATTAACTAGATTCTAATTAAAATTAATGTTAAAAAGTATTCAATGTCTAAAATGTCAATATATTATGTACCTACACTAATTTAAAATTGTAAAATAACGTAAACAACTGAGACATACTCATACGGTTTATAAAAGTTCCTTGAGAGTCAATAAAATAATTTTCACACTTATGAGACAAAAGAATATATGTTGAGTTTTTGATAAAAACAAATTTTTAGTCCCTTCAGAATGAATTGAAGGAAGGCTATATCAATCAGGGAATCATAATCTTATAGCAGCAAAACAAACCAAGGAATAAAAAGCTTGAAACAGTAGTTGACACTATACGATTAATTACTTAATATTTTACCATTGACCTTGTTTATAAAAATTAGCAATCAGACTTAGTAATCAATATCATTCTTTGTTTTTTGTTTTTATTTATATTAAAAAGGTCGTACATAGTTTATATAGGCTCACAATTTTGACAGTTTTCTGTAACTATCACATTCAAATTTGCAACCATATATGTATAATGGTAGAATTTTTCCACTAACCAATACCATACTTAATTTTACGTTTTACAAAAACTCCCTATTATTATTGTCTTACCTAAAACATATTTAGATTCCAGCTGTCTGAGATTATTGAATTGATAATAACAGTATAATACTGCTATGCATCTTATAAGAGTCATGAAGATAACGTCTATGGCATGGGTTTCGTCCTAACATAGTTTAAAACAAATTTATTAGATCTGATTTTGGTGCATATTGTGTTAACATAGTCTAAGAACGGATGATCACTTACAACAATTTTGGAACTGTGTGGAGGTATGTTTGGCACAGCTGACATCATAGGATCGGCTGTCTTGTCCATGGAAAGCATACATGCTGTAACGGTCAGAACACCTACTATTACCTCCCATGGATGACTAGCACAGCCTTTCCCAATGCCACCAAAAATGTTATCGAACATATTGATGATTCCTGTAAAAAAATTAAAAATTAATATAAGTAACGATAACACTTTATTATTTACCTAACAATTGCTAACTAATACCTATATCAAATAAAAATAAAAATTTGAATTCAATTAATTTTTTTAATGTTTTTTTAGTATACAGGAACAATCAATTAATTTGTTTGAGTATTTTCTTTACCATACAATTTATATCATATATTATTTGAATTTATTAAATACCAACAATAAATTGTAAATTTTAACACAAGAGATAAATTTAGATTTTTATTAGAAAGCCTATAAGTAATCCGAAAACTATAAGTAGGTACTATATAGTCTTCAAAATGTAGTTTATCACCTTAATTGAAGGGCTTGAAGCCAGAATCAGATATATATATTTTTAAAATTGTTTAGGACGAGCAGAAGAAAATGTATTAGCCCATTATTACAATAGGCAGGATAAAATGAATGTTGTAATGTGTTATTTATATAATAGTCCGATATTACTGTTTGTTACACTAAAATTAAGATATTTTTTTTCCATAAACGTTTTCCACAAACAAATTTTCTGTGATAGACTTATTTGGCTGTTGCGCATTCAAATGACCCAATAAATGTTGTTTGAACAAATTTAAACAAATTGTACTGAATTGTAACCAGTTATTTCAAAAAAATTAATCTATTGAAAATATAACAATCAAAATAAAAAAAGCCAGTGCTGTGGGGTCGGAGCAAAGTGGGGGAACAGAGCATGTGGGGCGGAGGAAGTCACAGGTCTACAGGAATAATTATAACTAAACCTGTTAAAATTACTTTCAAATAAACGCTTGCTATGAATCTATGGATGGTGGAAATACAAATATCGATAAAAATGTAATTTCGCCTTTTTTTTAATTTTCCTTAATAAAAAAAAAAGATTTTACATGTTATAGCCCCTCTCTAATTTTATCTTCCATTTAATTTTCAGACCATAAGTCCTAAAACTACACATCAAAAAGTTAAATAAAGAAAAAGTTTCCACCTCTTCGAAAGGAAAGGCTTTTGATATTTTTTTTAATTTGTCAACATTTATTGATAGTACTGCCTAAAAAATATAATATCTCATATAAATTTTGGAATTAATTTGATATTTTAAAAAAAGGTATAAAGCAGTGCCGTATTTGTAAATTAAAAAATAAGGGCAGTTTTTGGGTATTTTTCTTAATTTTAAAGAGGAAAAGGTAAACTTTTTTAATATTTTGACCCAATAAAGTACATTTTAGGAATCATTGGAGGAGGAAAGCATATATCTATTTTATATAAATTACAACAACTTTTATTTAGAACAAAAATTGTTTAAACATCTTGTTTACCAATTGTACTTAATACTTATGACCAAAAAAGCAAAGTTGGACAAATTCCGGGACTTTCTGGATTTTGACCCGAATCCCACAATCCATAAATGAATTTAGGGGCCCCAATTGACTAGTCACCTCTAACCCAAAAATAACTAATAAATTTGGCAAGTGAAAACTGTAATCACATTCACAACAGTTAAATAATAATAATTTATAACAATACAAATTCATTAAATTTTAAGACAAATTGGCTGGGTCATAGTTAACTAATCACTAGGTAAGTAGAAATCAGTATCTATAAAAAGACTTTGAAGCATGTATACACAAATATTATACAATATTAAAGATTCAGACATGTCGATAGGAGATTGAGCAACGCGGAGAACTTGTATACGGCAGAAACTTGACCCTCAGAGTATCCTAAAACTTAACCAGGCCAAGTACATTAGACTGCCCGCCCTAGTTTCAACTAGTGGACGGATATTAGTACATTGCTAAGCATCGGCGCATAATAAATAATTGAAAACGGCACAACCATTGATTTTAGAATATACAGATAAGCGGTTCTATACAAAAAAACGGCAACTGATTTTTTGTGAGATTGTCGTTGGCAACTGAAGTACCTTCGTCATAGTTTATAGACAGGGGGATGGTAAACTATGACGAGGGCACCTCTGTTGCCAGTGGGAATCCTACATAAAATCGGTCGTCGTTTTTATGTACAGCACGGCGTATCTGTATAATCTAAAATTAATGGCCCAACCAAGTTCTGGTCACTTATAGTCAGACATATCATAATATTACATATAATACAGTATGTTAAAGGTACATTAGACGGCCATAAAATAGTAAAAGAAAATCACGTGGAAATCATAATGATATAACAGGAAACCCGTGTTTGAATACAAAAGGGTTAAAACATATTCTTGGCAACAATATTGGAAATAATATTATATTTCCGTTTAATGTTTGGTGAGAATGAAAAGATAAAAAAAATGTTTTTAACGGTACTGCTTCTAGAACGTAATATCAGTGTGCATTAAATACTATATAATGAGAGAGAGAAAGAGAGAGAGGGAGAGAGAAAGTGAAAGTAGTTTACCTTGGTACCACACAGCGACCTCCTAGGATTTATGTGGTTTCTGATTGCACTTAATATCACTATGTATACGTATATTTCAAACGGATGGAATAACTTTCGTAGAGACGAAGTAAGTTTGTATTATAATGTAAATAACTAAACACTATAACGGTATTCCGTGTTTCATTCACACGAGCAGTCGACCAGTAAACATAAAACTAATGAAAACAAACCTCTTAAGTACGGAAGAAATTGAGATTACTCGTTACACATTTATACAATTAAAATAATTATAAAGAGAACGCATGTAAATATACTTTAATACCGATAAAAAGTTAATTTTGCTAGACATGATTCACAACAATCAAATGAAATCTGATATTAGTATATGTCTCATAACGGCGATATCGTGGATGTGTAATCATTAATATTTCTCAAATATTTTAAAACAACAATTTTTTTTTTAATCTAATTGGAGAAAATAAAATTTTAAATTGTTTTGAATGCAAGTATGCGGTACTTATGAAGTATTCAATAGTAAATTGCTAATATTATAATTAAATCTTTTTTTAAATAGCGACATTATATCAAGTATAATAAGCTGATATTGAATAAATAGGTACTAATATTGACAGCAAACCATGGTGTGCCAAGGATCTTGGTCATAAAACGCCACTAAGAAGTGACGAAATAATAATACAAACAAATTCTTCGCTCATGTTGTAGATTTTGTTTAACAAACATTGAGTCAAATATAGGTGTAATACAATAACATACCAAAAAAAAAACTACTGCAAAATCAATACTTAACGTCATAAGGAAGATACTTAAAAAGTTGCTCATAAAACTGTAGAAACATGAAATTTTTCAAGTATAGTCCCTTGAAAATCGAGGAGAGCAAGCTTAAACCTATCAAATTGAGCAGTAGAGGCTTTCTCCTCTACTACTTTTTAGAATAATTAAATTCTAAGTACCAGCTTTACTTTTAAGTAGTTAGTTTAAACAGACAATAGACATTTCTTGATTTTTTTTTAAAACCATAGTCATATTATATTTAAAATTAACTAATTTTAACCATTTATTTTTAGTGTAATTAAAACTCAAATAATATGAATATTAAAATAGAAAAATAAATAATTTGGTATAACGGTCGAGCCATAATCAGTTGGGCTGCACGTGCGACAATATGTCTTACTATGTGCATCACAACTTAAAATAGTTCTATGATTTTTATAAAAACATTGTTATGTTACAACTTTATTTTTGAATACTACTTAATAGAGTCAATGTCGTTAAGTATTAAAATTGATTTTAATAATATAAAAGTGTAAATTATATGATATTCGACAACTAGATATGATAATTAAATGTAATGTTTGTATTAATTGGTTTAGCTGTTCTAAACGATAAAACGGTGTAATGATTTAGATTGTAAGTGTTAAAATATCCGTCACGATATTAAAGAATATTTGTTAGTCAAATTGTATGTATTAAACAGGGAAAAAGCACTAAGAACTTAAAATGATTTCCGTCTTCGTCAAATAACATCAAAAGCGGTAATTAAAAAAGCTAAAATATTATATAGCTCGGTGGAATACCAAGTAAGGTAACTGCAACTCAATAGCTATGGGTATATAATACAAGATTTCTAAAAAGAACCACATGCGACCGATTTCTATTCACACTTTTACTGTAATAACTCAATACAACAATTAGTGAAATATGAATAATGGCTACTACAGGTATTAAGAAGAATAAAAATCACATTTCACAGAAACATAAAATGAAACCAATGTGGACAAAATCACCTGAAAGACAATAATTTACTATTTGTGTATACATATTATTTGATTATTATAATTTATAAAACAATTAATACATTTTTTATGCAAACCGTGTAAATCAAACGTATAACAAGTGAAAAAAATAATTATTCATTACCGAGGAAACCGAACGTATGTTTTTTTAAAGCCAAGTTAATGATTGTACTATTTTTAATAGAATAGGTATGTAGTTTGAAAATGTACATTTATAATAGCCGAAAAAAAAGATGAACATTTCAAAATATTTATGAATAATATCATCATAAGCTTCGCGCTGCTACGGGAACAAAACTATTTTTAAATAATCTTTGTTGTGTCTCAAATGAGAAGAAAAACACACACACCTCCCCCCATAAAAAAAACATATACCTATTTTATAGTAATATGGTTATGCAAATCCATCAAACCTTGTCGTCCGTCGTTCATAATCATATCGCAAATTATCTACCTGTTGTATTTTATATTTCGAGTGGGTTTGACAGTTTACTAGGCGTTTAGGCATTATACAGGTATTAGGTGTACACTTTTGACCTAAGATTACAACATGTTCTATGCGAAATTTCGAAGAGTCATGTTTCATAACTAATGTAAATATCTGGTTTGTGCTAAAAATCGTTTCAACTAAATAACAACAATTATTATGCTATGAGTATTGGCTAGGTTATACATAATAAGGGTCGGCCGTTTACGCGCACCTTGAACTACCTCTAACGGCTATGACTGTACTACAAGTATAGTTATTATTATCCACAGTTAATTAAATAAAAAAGTAAATACCCATTTAATTGTCTTCATTTGTATAATTATACATTTTTCGTATACTAACTGGACTGAGTTTTTTGCACAACAGTCATACATTTTCATATTTACTTCCTGTGTCTTTAATATAATACATTGGTCACGTGTGGTTGTTAAATATAAATTTTAAAAAAATCAGTGGAAGTCAAGTTTAAACAAATATTGTTAAGGCATTTTATTTCCCGTGAACTACATAAGCTCATTTGAATGCCACCGGCATGTTTTTTTTTACATTCTACTTTAGGGGAAAATAACATCACGAAAAATACCTTCATAACCTTATTGTTTTAAAAACATGTCACTTTTCACTAGTAATTTAAATGCCTTTACAAGTTACAACACGGTTTTCAAAGTTTCCACCAGAATTATATTAGACAAACATTTAAATATACTAAGAGTAATACAAAATGTAATAAAATGAAAAAATGACATGTATTTTTTAATATTCCCATTATTAACCGTTTAACCATTGAAAAATGTTCTAATAGATAAAGATAAAGCAGCTTATATTATAGAAGTAATAACAATATATTATGTTATATTATATATTAAATAGTGTTACATAATAAAATGCGTATCGATTACATTTATTTTAGAACAACTATAATAATGATTGTGAGACACGAGCAAAAAAATGTAAATTGTTAATTTAATATTCACCGATCGTACATTATGGTTTCAGTTGTATTAATTTTAATGGGTTTCATTTAAAAGCGTTACAAGCAGATATTATACTTTAACTTTTTCTTGATAAGATTTTTTTACGTTTAAATTCACAATTATAATTTTAATAATTACTTTTTACTCCATACATAGTTCAAAAGTAAGTACCTATGTTATAGTCTCTCAGACTCTAGATAAAGAATATCTGCATATTGATAGTTCAAGGTCACTATTTTGGATGTAAAAAAATAGTGTTACTGTCAACGAGTTGAATCTTATAAAGGTAATATATTACAAAGTTATCTGTACTTTAGGTTTGAAAGGGCGACAGTAATAGTCTAGTATCGATAGTTGATAAAAAAGAAAGGTATTTCAATTTTCTTCGTTTATTTACAATTTCCGCAATTTACTCTACATTATAATATATTTTGGTCTATCCGTTAACATTTTTGGTATTTCGTTTTTGTCTATATCACCTGCGTTAAAGCTTATACTCATAAACATTACTATACATTCCTGCACAATGCAGTGTTCACAGTTAACATTGTCCATAGTATTAACAATAAAATACGGTTTCCCCTTTTTTAATGGAATTTATACACTAGCGAATACCTGACGATGACCTCAAATGTACTGAAAAATACTACCTACTTTAAAATGATATTAGCCAATAAAAATATACCACTCGGATATTTCTTAATCCACTGTATAGCCTACTGATGGTTTATAAAATGTGATTTTTTCGAGTACCATAACAATAACAAAGCATTTGCGATAGAATTTCTGCTTAAGAAGGTAATTATGTGCGAGCACGTCGGTTGTTATTTATTAAGGGCACTGCGGTTTACAAATCTAAAATGAAGTTAAAAAAAATATGTATGTGTTTGACATACTCACAACATTTGTCGAATGAGTAATGACTGATCAAATAACGGAGCAATTAATTTTTGTACGGAAAATTGATATTAATTACATTCCGACAAAGTGTACCAAGTTTTCAAATTTTGAACTGGAATTTAGGTTGAAAAAACTATGCATCATATTATTGAATAAACCTCATTAATCAACCATAAATATCTATTGAATACTGTAAAAACGATCATACTCGTTTAATAACAGAAAAAATACAATAAAATAAATTGAAAATCGATAATTTTTCAACTGTTATGAAATCAAATATCATTTAAAATATATATTATCTAAAGACTATAATATAATATAGGTAAAGGCTGAAGGAATAAGAATAATGGACCAGCTCACATTTATTCATTAACGTTTAACACTATAGACACGGTCAACTACTTTATAAATACAATTACCTACCGTATACTTCAATCACATTATAGCAAACGGTACATTTTTAATTTATATGGACTATTTTGGCCACTAGCCATTGGTCATTATAATACGAGGACTTTCTATTTACATTACAGTGATGATACACTGATACAATTACCTATGAGTAATGTAATTTTATAATGAAATAAAGCACACAATTGTAGACAAACAAGGACAATTAATGTGCGTATATGTAATTTGATTTTAATATAAAGGTTATCAGTATTGTTCTTAATTTATTAAAATTGTTCTATGAAATGATCATATTTCATTAATCAGTTTTAACCATATCACAGATTAAAATAACATTTGTTGGTTCAATTTATACAACTGTTATACACACACGACCCCTGTATAATATTTAGAGCTTTTGTAAAAATCAAAAATAACATATGCATTTGTTAAAAGAATATATTTATTTAGTCGTTTAATATTGGAACGATCATTCTGGTATTTATAATATTAAATTAATTAGAAATTAAAAACTTGAATGACCACATAATTCAGTTAGATCAGTAATCGTTGTTTTATTACTATTATTGTATATTGTTATTATATTTGATTCAAGATTATATCTTTACCTCGTAGTGTTAGTATTTTTTTTTTCTAATAACGTCAATGGAAGTTATCTTCGACTAAACCGCACGTGCACAACGCAGGCTACGTTAGAGCGTCGAGGCTAAACGTTTCGTTAGTCATAGTCGGCGGTAATAATATAATAATATAAATCAAACGGACTGTGCGAGGAAAGTGTATTTTTCAAATTGCGCGCAAAACGAACAGAAAGCGAAAGACTTATAAGAACCCAACACACGACACATAGGTCTGGACATGAGCCATACGTTCAGTGAACTGAAAGGAAAATGTACCGCATCGTTATTCGGTGGTCTGATGGCCGGAGAGCACACACTAGGCCAGAGTAGGAGTAAAATAATGCTGTTATACCGACGATTGCACAACTCGCTTGGAGCTGGGTCACCCATAGCCATCTGCATAAACACACATAGTGCATACCTATAATGCTCACACATACATATATGCATAAATTCCTTTACAGTTTGAAAGCTAGGAAATCATAATGGATTAGGGTATAATTATAAGGATGTCCTTTATTTTGGACTCTTTCGAATTGTTATGCTCCCAAAGTCTCAAACTTCTCTACTGCGGGTAAAAAAAGGCTCTCTAAATTTTACTGCTCTAGAGTCTAGATCGTGCTTGTGTAGTTAAGTTTCCTACATAAATAGCACGCAATTATCGAATTTTTTTCAATATTTTCGAATTATATTAAAAAAATGGGACCAACGGAAATCCCTTGTGTATAGAAGGTTCTTTAAACGAACAAATCGAAGATTAATTAGTCGGCTATTTTGTACATGTGCAGGGTCGAAGATCTCTAGTTTTCCCCAAAAATGTCGTGTTTATTCATATAATTTTTTTACGGCATATTATAAAGGCAGGTTTATCAGCTGCTCGGTATTAGCCATTAGATACCAAACTAATTATTTTTTTTAAACTAGTTACTTTTTTCATCATAGCAAAAGTATATTGCTACATTTCATAAAACAAGGAAACAAAGTCCAGAGGAACATAGGAAGTCCGAATATATAATCTTTTAGAAGAAATACAAATCGAATTATATGGATTTTCTCCATACAAGCTATACGTTTTTTAATATTGTTATGTTTTATTGTAATTCATGCTGTTTTTCCCCATTCATTAATTACTTGTTTAAGATAAAGCCCCAAGTTAGAAATTATATAATACAGCCTACAGGCAATTAATGATGGGTAAAAATATGCTTAAAAATGTAAATACAATTTTGAATAAATATATGTAGAGACAAAAAATGTGGATATTTGAGATGAGTATTTATTTCAAGTTAGATATATAATCGATATAGTTTTCCGTGTTATTGGTTTTTATTTTTTCTATAAACAGTGGTAGCCATTGGTATGTGTAATTTATTACACATACCAATGGTAATTTAATATCCTTAAATCGTTTTAACTCAATTCTAGTTTAACACTTTTTATTTTTTAAATATGTAAAATTATTGTCCAATTCTAAAAAAACATGTAGTTTTGTGTATTAAATACTGGTATATTTAATCTATAGTATTATGAATTACAATATTCACGTTAATATAATATATGAAATCGTATTTTTTTATCGAAAAGACTCAAATTAATGATATACGTGTTTTATGGCGTTAATCCGTTGTATGGCTAATAGAATCTTAATAATAAACTAATATTTTAGTTTTAAGTATTTCTGATATTCTTTATACTTTTGTAAAATTGCTTTAAAACTTGTTTTCATATTTTTATGGTAACTCTTTATCTACGCCATGAGCATATGCTTTATGGAAGATAGAAAATTAACTTGTATAATATTTGGATTTATAATAATAAGAAATATTGATGACCTTCATTGATGACGTAAGATTCTTGTGTAGCTTTTGTTTTAAGGTATTATACTGACAAACAAAACCTACATCATTTGGCGAAAACCGGGTTTTTTAATTGTAATTTTATAATACGATTTTATATATTTTATTAACAATACGTATTATGATCAATAATACGGTCGATCGCTACATCGGCAAATATCTCGTGTTATTTATGTGGAAAACTTTACTATCATATGCACGATCTAGAGCAGTGAAACTTAAAGAGCATTTTTTTATCCAATAGAGTAGTTTTGTGACCTTGGAGCATAACAATTCGAAAAAGTCCAAAATAATAGACACCTTCGTGTATATATATATATATATAAATATAAAAGAAAGCTATAACAGTTTATTGAAAATTAATGAACTTATAAATGCAAGAAAGACAAACGTCACATTTAACGACATCGTTTTCATTTTCGATAAAGATATGTAGAGTAGTGGACCGTGACAACTTTTAATGAGGATAATTTTAGCTTCGATGTTTTTTTAGTTTTATATTTTTCGAGAACTACAATTTTTGGAAAGTACACCATTACGATATTTATGACATTTATTTCATCATTACACTAATACGATCAGTTGAAGTGAAGAGTAACGTCGACGGATATTGATACTAAAATAAATAAATAATTAAAGCGTTTACTCATTAACGTTTGCACTTCATACAACTATAATATGTTTATTATTGTAATCATTAAATATAATGGTTGTAGTAGTATAGTACCAATGTGTATTAACAATTTGGACTTAGTCAGTATAACATAACTGATATTTACTGATACCATTTACAACTAATTTACTCTGATTTCCTAAGCTGTGAGTATAATACAAATTCAAAATATTACAAACTCGTTTTCTCAAATACCAAATTATTTATTTTTATTTTTCTAGCTTCGAATCAATTTTAACGATTAATAATTTCATAAAGATATGATAAACCAAGATTTTTATACATTTTTAAGGATATTTTTACCATATACCATATGAAATATGCTTTGACATATTTCAGTTCTTTATCAGTAATAAATTATTGAAAAATGAGCATTTTATTTTTTGAAAGTCGTTTAATTTCCTATTTAATCTATACTTATAAACGATTTTTTTTATTCGTTTTCTTAAAAACTGCAACTAAAAAAATCATACTTTAAAAATAACTATTAACTTGTCGTTAATAACAGTTCGCATGTTCTGTTTTAGGCAGGCCCCGGATAATGATAAAATCAACACGGAACAGATACTTATCACACAAAAACATGCCGGCCATCTTAAAACTACACCACTGTAATATTATATCGATACATTATTATTATTCGTAATGTATAGATATTATGTATAACATAAAATAATACTCAATATATCGTTAAAAATGATCTTAACTTTATGTTTACATTGTGACCCTTCTGCTTTCATCTATTCAGAATAGACCATTCTATGTTATAACCTCTTAAATGTACCAACCTTTTTTTTTATCATAAGAAAACAAATGATACATAATTATTATCTAACATAAAACAAGTGTTGGTATCACCACAAAGGAAGTTTAAAAAAAATTACATGGTTTTTATGAGCCGCCGAAAGAGGCAGCTTCCATAATTTGTTTGCGGCTGGGAGCCAGGGTATTATATATGGACTATAGATAATTCCAGGAAAAAGCATAATTTTACATAATCCGCAAAAACAAAATGTCGGCCTAGGTTTTTCTTCTGGTTATTCTATGGTGATACTAGTACTTGTTTTATGTTTGATAATTGTTAAACCCGCTTGGCGCTTACACCAAAAGTCAAAACTCAAAACAAATAATACATTCATCGATTTTTCAAAAACTATCAAAGTTAAAATAATGTAAGGTTAGACAAATATATCCCATAAGGGCTATAAGGTTTTGATATAAGTAACACTAAAAAATACACGACTATGTTGTTTGCAAAAGTACAGTAACAGTTGTTTGACAGTTATGTCAACGATAATAATGATTAACCGTTATAAAAAAATACAATAGTCAATACTGATACAATGGCGTTTGAGACACCACGCATGAGTTTAGAGTTATGTCCACGAGTTATTTTTACTGCACTTACATGCATTTATTTATGTACCTATACTAAATATTATTATGATTATCGATTTAAAAAAATGATTGATTAATTAAAAGTTCACAATAAAAAAAAAACAAAAAGGTCTTTATTTTTTCAATGTTCTACGTTTGTTGCGAAAGTTGTGGCTTTCATTATTATTTGTTTATAGCTTCCTAGTAATATATTATATTGTTTTACTATGCATATTATTTACTAGATGGTTTCATTAAATTTATCACGATCTTAAATATTTTGAATGAAGGGTAGGACAAAAAACTAAAAAAAACAACGCAATTTACCTAACCTAACCGCGCCCGTGAGTGCTACGGAAAGGAACGCGACCGGATGAAGGTTAAATAAAACTATATAATCTAATATCCATTCTTGGTCACAATATCATCAAAACATAAGACGTAAGTGCAAATTTACTTTATTTAAGGGCCCTACATTTGCCTCATAATTAGGAGACAATACAAAGGCAATAACAAACCGGCAACACAAATATAAAAAAATATCAACTTAACTGAAAAAAATCTATAATAGTAAAAAATTATACAATTAATATTATGGTTGTGCGAAAAACGCTTGTGATTTATTTAACAATTTTAATAAGTTTTTATGGATAATTTGTATAAATAAAAGGTTATTCTTACTTAGAAAGTAAACTACTTAGTAAATATTTTGTAAAATTCATGCCCTGAAGTTCAGTAATATTGAAAATTATACACTATCTTGGAAAATAAATGAGCGGAAACAATGTGGCGATTTCAAAAGCATTTTATCACGCCTTGGAAGAAAACACAATTCTTTGTTTGTTATTATTATTATTTTAGTTACAATGTCGAGAACGGAGAATGCATTATAGGTATCTACTTTCATACGAGCATAAATTGTTTTATACATAAAAAGTAGTGCTAAAACGATACATAAATACACAGTTATATGAACAAAACCCAAGTTAAAATATATAGCTAGAAAAAATTACTATATATAATATAATATTTTTAAAATTGCTAATCGTTACTTTAGGTATAATTTAAACAGAATTGACGATTTTTAGATACAGTTTATTAATGTAGTTTATTTAAAAACTAAACTAACCATTAATAATGTTATTATCAATAATTGTTATTTAATTCGATTTTATCAAACTGTTGTATTTCAAAACTATTTATGTGATTACTTATTATGTATATTCTATACATTAAACTACAGGGTGATCCACTTAAAATAGTATAGCATATAGTATTTAGCAGTTTAATGTGGGCTAAAGGCCAAAGATCCATTAATAGAGTCCACTCTTTTTTGTATTTAAATTGTATAATATTATATTCTAGTCTTGTCATCAATAAACGGTGCCGAGAACACAGGGGACGTAATACTGTAAGGTGACCCCCTTTGTGTTCTTATGGACTTGTAATAAAAAATAAAAAATAAAGGGCGATCCACTTATCGTGAATTACTTATAATCTCATAAGGGTTTAATAGGAAATTAAAATTTTTTTTTTCATATTTTTTTTAAACAATGTGATCTCAATTTTTCACAATTTGTTTTGTTTTTATCCCCCTCCCAACTTAGTTTTTTTTTTGATAGCAACTATTGAAACTTAAATGGTAACATACATATTTTATTAACTTTTTAAATTAAAAATAATGTACTAACGATTTTGACTGGTCAGTAACCAGTTTCGGATAACTATTTTTAAAGTTATAAGAGTTGTAAAGTTGGAATGGGAGGGAATTGCAGTGGGGAAATGCGCGCAGATAAAAATACTACTACACTCCACCTTTCCTTCTATAGTATTCCTAACCCTTTAAAGTTAAGTGAGAGTTTTATATTAATAACAGTAAAACAGCATCAATACTAGACAATTTGTTAGAACCAACTTTCTTAAACATCACAACAATTCACATTTAAAAATAAAAAATCAAGTATCAATAGGATAGTACCTAATTTAAGTACCTATATACTATATAAAGGGTGTCCCAAAAATAGTTAAATACCAAATTTAGAACAAAACTATCAAAATAAATTATAAAAACTACTAATAAGAATCATTCATTAGTTTTAGTTTCATAGACTTTATCCTACTATAATATTATGCACATTTTCTAATGTTATTAAGTAACATTTAAGAGTAAGAAAACACAATTCCATTACGACGAAATATTGATTGTATACTCTTTCAAATACATAGTTAAATTTGTAGTTTAATGTATTTAATTTTATCTATTGAGCTATTTAAAACAATCACATAAACCTATTTTATTATTGAGGTTGATTCAAATACTTGAAACAACTTTAAGTCAATAAATAATAATAAAAAAAATATTACTATTTATTTAACTAATAGAAATAATTGTAAAAAAATGGTTTAAAATTTTGTTATCTATTTTACTAAGAAAAACTTCACATTACATCATAAAAATTACACTTCATAATGGCTAAGCCATTTTAATGTTGCATCATCGTTTAGGATATATAAAATAAAAAAATAGGTGTATATAAATATACACACAAAAGAAGCTAATAAATATCAATAAATATGATTTGTTAGATAACAAAAATAATTAATGTAATGTTTACATCAGATTGTTATAATACTAGATTTTCACAATATAAAACAGTTCTGATACTGAGCACAGAGTCCGCATACTACACAAAATTAATATAATAGTCATCATAACCCAAAAGACATTTAATTAAAACTTGAATACTTTATAAGACTAATGGCAAATTTCATTGTACAATTATTATTTTTTTAATTATAATTTTTATTTATTAACTACTACATACTGACTAGGTGTAAAGTAATATGTCAGTATAGAATATGTTTATACATTAGTTTTTTTAAAACAAATTAGAATTATTATTAAAAAAAACTTACTGTTCCGTGTTGTGATGAATGCAATTGTGCAAAAATGACATAACTTTACTAAGCATACTTTGATTTCATTACAAATTAAGTACAATATTATATTTTATTATTAGTTTAGGTAACGAATCAAAAGCACGTATATTCCTTTTTAGTTCATGAGTACTAGTAACGTTAAACTATAATAATACATGAGAAAAAAGTAAGGCTTGAAATATTATCAATATAATTTCTTTAACATAATATTAAATAATGAAAATGTATCAACCATGCCACACCAATAATATTGCAGTCTGCACAATTTTTTTATCAGGTGATATTGTTGTTATCACATCACGGATCACCGTTTAAGCTTACTTAAAGTCACCTCTTGATAACATGCCGTTAGGGTTGTATTCTTGGGTTGCTACCGTAGACCTATAAAGATATGGACTGCACCTCCCACACACCCCGCCTATACTGCCGCGTTATCAACAACGTTAGAAAGAGATAGACAGAGTTGTTAGGTTTCCCATGGAATAAAAATTGAAATGACATGGAATAATAAAATTATATATATATATGACGATACACACACATGAAAATATATAATAATTAAATAATATTTATTATTTATAATTGTGTTATTCGAAATTGTTAAAGCATTTAAGGATATATATTTCATTATTTTGTCGGGTATCCAATATTTTCGTATGATGTATTGTTTTAAATAAATATGTATAGTATATCGGTAATAAATACTTAAAAAACATTACAATTTCATTTAGATTTTATCAATGAACATTCTGTTTTACTTTTTATAAAACGTATAAGTATGTTTTGAAAAACAGTTTTTCTTTACAAACTCTACAGACAATTTATTGTTGGTAAATTATTATTACACTAAAATATTGTTAATATTGTTTTACATACTATTAGTATGTATAGGATAGTACCAATGCGAATTTCAAAAAAGGAAATTGACAATAGATCAGCTATCGGTGATTGGGCAGATTATAGAAAAAAAGTTTGAATACAAACAAAATGTGTGGCAGATATTTGTCGACTTCAAAAAAGAATATAATGGTTCGGGCACATAATGAGAAGGTCAAACACAGATTACCTAAAAACGGCCGTCGAGCTCCAAAAAATACAGTATGCACACAATAATATACGCTCCTACATTAGATAATATTAATTATAAAGAAGTGTAATCAATAAAAATAACATGACACTAGTCACGTGATTATATCCAGCCTAACTAGGTTCGGTAGAATTTCATAGTGGGTACTTATTTAAATAAAATAAAATATTTATAATTAACAACATGAAGTTTGTTTAAAATATTTATCTGAAGTAGGTACTAAAGTGATTAGAAAATTGTTTAATTAAAACTAAATACCTTAACTACACAATGTTGTAAAATATCATATTTTTATAGTAGTAGGTATCAGATTCTTTAATTAGAAATAATTATGCAAAGAATGATAGAATGGAGTGTTGATTTTAAAAACTAACAATGGCACGTTATATGTTGACTTACCCTAAACGAATATGCCCCTGTTACATATTCTGATTTGCATATTAATTATTTATAATTATATTAATGTAGAATTCTTGTCGCGGACCTTAAAATTATAACTTGAACATAATTGTAGGATATCTGTCGCTAGCATCAAATACCCATAGTATAAGATTTCAGGTGTCACTATGATTCTATTTCAAATTTTCGAAAACACCTCTCATGTAGGATTAATAAAAAACGGCTTCCAACGACAAATAAAAGTCGCTTTATCTAGGCAACTCTCCTCATTATGACTATGGCCTATATCACAGACTTCCATGTATTCTGTGGCTAATAGCTATATAAGTCTTTGATAGTAGGTTTCAGGGCGTTTGATCTTTTCAGTTAGAGTATTGACAACTCCACGTCATTATGTTGTGTGATTTTTTATAAGTGTTTAACAAATAATTCAGATGCTAGTTGGGAGTTTTTAAAAAAATCTAATTCAACATTGGCACACTACGCCCTAATAAATAATAAGTAATAACTTAAAATATAAAAGGTAATCTTTTTAGTTATCCAAAAAAAACCATACCGAGCTGATGTTTACTTCATATCATATTATGTAACATATAAATACATACTGTATTCTCATGAAAACTATTGCTCAAACATTATAAAAACCGAAATGTTAAATGATGCCACTGGCCATATTAGAGACATTATTGTTTTTTGTTTTTAGCTTCGATACGGAGCTGAGAAGGTATTAAATATACAATGATGTGTGTTTTTATTGTCTGTTGACACAATAACTTTTTTCCTCTGGATCGATTTACTCAATTAGCACCTTCTATATATCCGAAATTTTATGTAATTGGTATTTTGATTGATCAAAACTTGAAAATGTCGACTTCTTAACCCCCAAAATTATCAGCTAATCTTAGGCCGATAATAATATTTGTTATATATTTAAAAGGTTAAATTATGAAATGAGTTTTACCTGGAATCTCATAGATGAATAAATAAACAATGGCTTATAGGGAAAATAGTAAACACAGCTTATTTTTTTGAGAAATAGATAAGATATGTAATAGAAAGAAAGATTAAAAGGTTAAAAAGATGTAATGAAAAAACGTATAGAATCTGTGAAGAAAAAAAAAGTTATTTAAAATATAATTTTCATAACACATCATATAATTTTATAATAATAATATATAATATTAAATAGTTAACATTTAATAGTTAATAACATTGAGTGTAGTAAAATATTTAAAAACAAATTAGTAACGTTTAGATAAAATTTAAAAATAATTCAATATAACAATAATATTATAATTTATGTTATATCACATTTTCTTGTCATTATTAAATTAACTAATAGCTTTATTAGTAATATTTTAGTCTTCGGGTGTTTAATGCGATTTTCCTAATATTTGCTAAACACCCTGCAGAAGCTTCTTGTACATCCGGATCCCTTGACGAAATTGTTTCCATTAAAAACTGCCGAAAACAACAAAATAAGAACGAATTTTGTACTAATAATAATACATTGTAACATAATAATGTGCTATCCCATGTTTTAATCTGTCAATTGACTTTACAACGAAAAAATGTCATTTATATGCTTACAGTATTCTTGGTAATTTATAGGGACCATATTTGGTGAGAAAATAAATTATATGTTAACGCCGTATTAGAGCAATTGGTGACATGACGATGATGAATGTGGATAAAATCAAGAGCTCCATCTGGAGGTAAGCAGGGCAAGTATTGGCTCCTCTTTTTAACATGGATATATTTTTTGTTGGGACACTAGAAAGTGAAAATGAAAGTAAAAGAAGGGTAGGGGATGGAAGGGAAGAAAGCCCTTTTGTATTCTAATCTTAAAAGCATATGATTCTATGTTTTTCCGTGTAGTGGAGACTGGAGAACATTTTTTTTCAACATAGATGGTTTTTGGGCTAGGGTCTATCTGGAATCAGTGTCATGGCGACACCGGAAAATGAAAGAATAGAATAGATTAAAGCAGAAGGGTCACTTGACAATGTAAACAAAAAAGTGACGGCCATGTTCCAAATATGCTATAATCATAATAAATTATATCTATATACAACTAAATAATAATAATGTATAGATATAATTTATTATAGCATTACATATTTAGAAGATGGCCGACTCGTTTTTGTTTGATAAGTATCTTTACCGTGTTAATTTTTATCATAGTAGGTTGGCTTTGGTGAAAGTAAGTGAGGGAGAGATGATGGGAGGAAGGGAAGAATGCTAACTTGTTCTCTAAGCGTAAAAACATACTCATGATTCTGTGTTTTTACGTGTAGCTTAGAAAATTCTGTGCTTAATGGGCACACCAATATTTCTCAACTATAAAGTTGTATAATATGATATTTCTATTTTCGATAAATAAGATAAAATTATAAAACCACAAAAAATGAAACACCCTGTTCGGATTTCGACCTCCATAATAAAAAACTAAAATTTTTCTTTTTATTGAGAAACACCAAACAAGCAAAGTTTAAGATAATACGTTGACATTGCTATAAGGAACCCTTGTAAGTATACAAATTGTGGAGGGCCATTTATAGCTGAAGGTTATTTAGGAACTTGGCCCTATGGTGGCTAACCCCAAATAGTTAGAAGTGTAGAGATGAGGAGGAATACTAATAATTTTCGAATATTTTTTCTCACAAGTTTTAGCATAGATTAAAACTAGTGCCTGTGATTTTAAACGTGTAATTTAAATACACGTGTACACGAAACCCGTGTAATTAACATATACGTGTATATACACGTGTAATTATAAATACACGTGTATTTAAAAAAATTTATTTTGTCAAAAACGTTAGTTTGAGTTAACGTATTTACACAATTATACTTGTGTTTGAGTTCGTATAGTTAAATAGACGTGATATTAAACGTACGAGTAAAACTAAAATTAATAACAAAAATATTTTTTTTTGAATACACGTGTATATACAAGTGTATGTTAATTACACGTGTATATACAAGTGTATGTTAATTACACGTGTTTCACGTGTATGGTAATTACACGTGTAATAGGGACCTCTAATTAAAACATGTACTATAGGCAACAGGCTGTTATAACCCCATTTCTGAATTTCACAGTGGTAAAATTATTATGAAATCCAAAAAATTAGTGTGATATCTACATACCTTTTTATTACCTAACTAATTTACATACTTTTTAAAGCCTCTATATTTATAATAAATATAAGTATAAAAAATCTACAGTTTTCAAAATAAGTAGCTATACATTAATATTGTATGAATAATAAAACAAATATTTATGTTACCGGAACCACTCCGCATAATTCCATAGTTACACAATTTGCTGCATCTCCAGATAGGCCATATAATGCAAAAGTAACATTTTCTTTGACAATGTTAGAATCTGAGTGTATATACTTGGAAATGGGCAATACGACATCAAATTTTCCAAACGTATGACAGTTGCGGTTCAACAGACAACACGAACCTATAGCTCGAGACAAGTGAGCCTGGAGTTCCATATTGTCCTAAACGATTAAAAATTATTAACAGCTTTGAGTTAAGCGTTTGTGATGTATTGAAAATGTTACCGTATGCACCAAGCTGGAAAGTCGTGGTACAATATCGTAGTCGGTAAGAATTGCTAAGTTCTCGGGTTCCTTTGCTAAAATTCCAATGACGGCACATGCCGCAGCCAACACCTTGGTATCCAGTGATTTCAGTAAATCGACCAACATAACCAACCCAGTCACTAAAGAACGCATGATGTCGCCAGAATCCTGTAAAAATTACTCCACACGTGACCATTTACCCGTTACCGAATATATACAATATAAACAATTAAAACATATTTTTCACCTTAGTCCATACAAAAGTAGTCGGCTGAAGGCCATCCTCATCATCTGTCCCCACACTTCTATATCCAAATCATTATCCATCTACTTCACTCAGTGAAGTAGATAGTTCACTCTTCCTCTTTTCTATCTTCAAATTTATCTACTCCAATTCCCATGACTATCTTACTATTTCGTTTCTCTTCCCTCTTTCAACATGTCCAACCTTATAAATATATTATATTTACTGCTATTAACTAAACTCAATTCCCAATCTACCTCGTATATATTCAGTCTTATCCGTCTTAACTATTTATATTTCCCTTTCATTACTTGTATACAAAGTTTTACACTCACATCCATATAGAATAGCAGGTCTCACTAAATTATATATTATTTTCTTTTCACCCAAAAATCAAAGTGATACCTAACCTTACCTAACTTTTTTAATTCACAACATGCCTGATGTCTTTTTCTATCTCATTCAACTACTACACAGTACACAGCCCACACTATGTACTCTCACTACATAACTGATGTTAAATACTTGTATGTATTTTTAACTCCTTTTATAACTTGTTCTCCAACTTTCAAGCATAATAATTTTTGTATAGGTATTCTAAAATTTTAAATTAATAAAAACTTAATACTTAAGATAAACTTTAAATTATATTTAGAAATGATAAAACATACAATTTTCATTTGTATTAAAAATAAATAGTGCAGCAAAGTGGGGTCAAAGCGGTCACTGGTTTGAAGATAATAGTTTTAAAACTGATTTAATCATTGTGAAATAAGTATCAAACTACTTATAAAATTAACATAATAAGAAATAAGTTATCCAAAAATCGAACATACTACTCTCCAGCGGTTAAAGAAGACAAAAATGTGTGTTTTTCATTCTAAACAACAAAATACTTTGTCTAATATTACATTATTATATTGGTTATTAATATATACAAATTATTGTTAAATCAACTTTGTACCTTTCTAGTGCAGGATGCAGCATAAATATTATTGAATGCCCTTGAGTAATTTAAACGTGTATCAAATTATATAATAAATATTAACAATAATAAATTACTAATAACTAAATACTAATAGAGACAGTTGAAAAATGCAATAAAACAGAATCGTTCGATTATCAGTCAGTACTCGTACATTTTTAATAATTTGAAAAGTAAATGTCTTGACTCTTGACCCAAAGAGTTTTTAGAAGCCGCTTTATGTGTTAAACATAAAGAGGTAATACATGATAAATATAATTAAGTATATCAGATACGCTCATCACACGAACAATGGTCGGCTAAAATGATAGAAAATAGTATAATAGGTTAATATTTATAAAAACGGTTACTATAATGTGGCTATTATTAACAATATATTAATGATAAATTAAACCATTATGTAATACATCATTATCGTTGGTAATATTATTCATAAATATTCGTTAATAATTAGTTAAGCTTTTAAATAGAACGGAAAGAACAGAATTTTATACAAACAAAGGCAAAGTCCAAGTTTCTAGGATGTTTATCGAAGCAATTTCAAACTCTTTTTTTTGTTATAAAGTTTTGTGTGGACTAAAAGTTCGATTTCTTATTTTTATTTTCGAAATGGTATATAATACGTTTACATTTTTATAATTTTTTTTATAAACCACCTAATTTTTAAATAACAAAATATAAATATAAACCTTTTAACCCATTATTAAGTTTTCCATTAAAAACAAAAAATGTAAGCCCTTCCAGGTTGTATGACAGACATTGAGAAATGTATACTTACTTTAGTGTTCTTAAGTAGAGTGACCAGCGTATGCCCAGCCGTGGATTGAACTCGAGTGGAATCGAACTTCATCATGGACCACACTAAACGTATGCCGTCATTGTTCATCACTTGTTCAATACATTGTGGTTCGGTGGCACAATTGTCAATTACTCTGCAAACATTTATTAAGATCCGTTCGTGGCTGGAATCTTGCAATAACTTAATTATGGGCACTAATCCGTCGGCGGTTTTCAATGCAATTTTATTTCTTACAATTTTCGTGCATTCCGCCATCGACGCTACCGTGTTGGCTATAACCTTAAACATGATAAATGTATTCAAATCAAGCAGATTTATTAACTATATTACAGTTTTTGTATTTATGTATAAAAATATTAATGTTTGCATATGTATGCTAGTAAATTACGATAGCTTAAGATTTATGGATTGAAAACGCTGGATCATGTCTATCATCGAATACTCAAGAAAATGTTACAACAATATTCAGTGACGTCAAATGGAGGAAGTTCTTAAGAGGATACATTGAACTTGGTTGAGTATTTATTGTTAGGGTTATGTGTATAGTTATTAATTTATTAATTAGGGCTCTTTTTTGGTATTTTATTTATTTTTCGAACTATTATAGCATCCTTGACAGCAATATTAAATATTTTTTCATCTAAACATAGCTACGCAGAATACGTTTACTAGGTGCATAGTTGTTTTAGAGCAAAATCAACTATTATGAAATCAAACGGTAACAACATTTTGGAGACACATTTGAGAACATTTTGAAATGTCATAACCGATTTTAAAAATAATATAGTGAAAAACAGTTATACATATTTAAAAAAAAAGCAATCAGTTGAGACGAGGCATAGTGGGAACGGAGCATGTTGAGGTGAGGGAGGTCATACGATAATAGGAATTATTGCAAAGGAAAGTGGTAAAATCACTATTAAATCAGGTATTTTCAAATACGCGTTGACTATTGATTTACTTATACATAGCAACCTAGAAATTGACTTTGGGAAGTGTAATTTTCCTTCTTTTTTTAAATAATTTTTTTGGGGTGATTTTTTTCAATTTTTAGCTCAATAATGTTCCTTTTAGATACGGTATCTGATCTTTACTTTACACTTCTACACGAAGAAATCGGCTCAGTGGTTTAGAAGTTATCGTGCGTCCAGAAACCAAAAGAAAAAAAACACATCATTGCAAAAACAATACTTTTTTAGACATGCATCAAAGCTAAAATTAAAAAAAACTGCGATTTTAAATGTTAAATATTAAGTTAAATATATTAGGTTTGTTAAAAAAAAGTTATGAAATTGTCTCCAAAATCTTGTCATCATTCATTTTCCTTATAGATATCTTTGATATTTATAAATTATGTTAAACTTTTAAGGTTTAAAAACTGTAATAATATCTTAAAAAAATTGCGAAATTAAATTTTTAGTCTCGAGATCACGAAGTATGAATACATTAAGTTTATAATTTTAATTTGACCGTTCTTTAGATATGGAGCCCTCTAGCATGGTTTTGACGGTTCTCGAATTAATTCTTCTTCTTAATTAATCCTTAATGAGGTCCAGTAGTATGAGTCTAGTACATATTCAGAACTAATCAATAAAATAAATATTGTTTGCTCACTTCGTCGCTCTCCGAATCCAGTAATTTTACTAAAACGTGGATGCCGTTAATATCTTCCAACCGTTTCACGTTATCTGAGTTCATTAAGCATTTCCATATAGCACCAGTAGCAGCTTCCATTAATTTTATGTCTGACCTATGTGACTCGATTTTAACGATGTTCACTAACGAGTTTAAGCCACCTTGTTCTTTAATCATTTTCCGACTTTCGGGATCTTCGGCACACTGAACAAAACAAACAACAATAGTACACAGAACGCATTACTTTGTTGGTATAGGGGTAATATTGTCATAGTTTCATGTACTAACGTTGAATGTAATTTCAGCAGCATTTTTCAACATCGTCAAGTCGGGACTCTTTAGAAGTTTTAAAATATCTACCAGCATGCCTTGTTCTTTGATGGCCGTTCGGAAAATGCACTAAAACATCGATACCCTTAAAGGAGTTCATGTTTTTGAAAAATTCAAGTACATTTATTGACCTACTTGTGTGGCACAATTAACGATAATTCCCATAATGGAGCCGACCGCGTCTTCGTGCGACGAAGTCAACAATTTTGCCATTACCGGTATAATGCCGGAACGTCTCATCACGTCTTTATTTTTATCCGACTTTGACATGTACCAAAGAGCTTGTGAACATTTACACAGCAAACTCAGCGATTTCTGTTGCGCGGGCTGGAGCAGATCGTTTTCGGTTTTCAAAATTTGCTGAGGTACGTCCATGTAATTTACCTGCGACGATAAAATAATATTTCACAACGCTGTACACAAGTGTTTCCTACACACCGATTGTATCTGCTATTATAACCATTAACTCTATACCGCCGGCTTTTCGAATGAACTTCCGACCTTTTCTTATCGTCGCAACATTAGCTAACGTCTGGGCCGCGAGAGTTTGCATATCGATTGATCTTTCCGACAATAGTTTCACCAAAATGGGTATTGCGCCCAAATTCGTTAGATTCCTTCTCGTGCCCAACATAAACGACATTTCATGCAGTATTGCCAAGGCGCCGTGCTAAAAAATTAAGCTTTTCCAGTTAGACATTTTTTACTCACAGATCCTCCTAAAGTTATTAAAGGATAAGTCCTATGTTGTTAACTCGCGATTCGTTAACGGTACTTAAAGGTAAACGGAAAATAAATACAGAAATATTAGTAAAAACTGTTGGTCCTAAATCTTATAACTGGATAATAGTATAATTAATTGCATTACAATTTAACACTTTTATAGATACGGAATCAGAATGAATCCGGTTGTACCCGAGCCTACCTAAAAATGTTCAACTCGTCATTTTGAATTTTTTTTTATGTATCCAATTCCCTGGTTATTGTAATAAATAAATATTAGAACTTTGCATCGAATTTCGGTGGATGGGGGAGGAGTGTTGTAATTTAAAATTCTGGTCTACCCAAGATCTTCTTTGTACTTTGAAATATTCATAAAAACTTATATGGCCATAATATTATTACAATTGTCATTTCCGTGATACGATATAATAAGGCGCATTGTATAGGCAATTTGCGAATAAACAACATTAAGATACAGTTTGTTAATTTCCTATATTGATACAAATCAAAAGGTTATCTATTTTGATCTTTCATTTTTTTCTACACCTATAACGCATACGGCTTATTTTTGTACAAAACATATGCTTGCCACAATACGTTTCTAAAAACTCTAATTAAAGTTTTGATTAAACATATCAATTTTTTATAACATTTACAAGGCATCAACCGTGGGCCGTGGCACAATTTTAAAATTATTTTTTTAGTTGATTATTTGTTTCAATTTGAAAAATTGTAATTTTTTATAATGATATTGTTAACTATAATCGATACTTGTAAAATAATCAAGATTGAGAATCACATGAATTGTTCAATAGAATTAACATTAAGAATGTATCTTTGGTCTCCAACATCCAAATGTTTAGCTGAGAAATCTTTTTCTGCACTGAAGAAAAATAAATATTTGTAAAGGTCGAGACTGACAAAATTATTAATGTATTTTCAAAACAAAATGCACATAGAAAATAATAATTTCTGTTTGAGTTTAAATTTTTCAATTTACATATTACATTATATACATCTGTATTAAAAATATTTTGTAAGACTACCCCTTCCTCAGTTCACAGTTGTTGTTATGCAAGGGTACTAGAGAAACAGTGCCCCAGGTCATTCGAAATGTAAATATATGTAACTATAAAGTAGTTTTCAAAAATAAAATATCAGTATTTTAGCCCCCATAAAGTCAAAATTTATCCCAAAAACAAAATGTTTGTAATCGGCTTGGTAGACAATTTGAAAAGTGATTGAGTTTTAGTCTTTCTTTAAAGAGATGTTGGCTCCTTCTGTGAGATAATATTCATGCAATTTATTATGCTATTAAAACCTGTATAAAATGTTTTATACATTTTTTTAAACTAATTAATCATATAAACAAATTTTAATTTTCAAGACAAACGTTTAATGCAAACCGTTATTACATACTCGGCATTCATTGTGATCAGTTTCTAATAGGTTGATCAAAAGTTCTGTACCACCAGCGTTGATCACAATGCTCTGAGTAGATTCATTACGAAGATCATAGTCCGCCAAGGCTGCCAGAGCAATCGTCGTGGCAGTTTGGTTGCCTACCTGCAATGACAAGGCGTACATATATCCTGCCAACATGACTAACTCGTTTATAAATATATATATATATATATACATATATATATAAACTATATTGTTATACATGTATATCGTTATTACTCTTATATATTTAATTAATCTTTGAATATTCTCTAGTTCGGTTACGTCATCAGCCAATGAAGACGGGTTGTACCATCGATCTTCTTCAAATTCACTAAGGGTCATGCTATAACTTGAGCTGTCGTCCGATGGTGCCGGTTCTTCCACCAAAATCGAGTGCAAAGATCCTCCAGGAACCTATACTAATACACAACTTGAAGTTTAACTTAAAAATTAAAAGACAGATTTGATTTATAAAAACACCACTCCGCTCCACAAGAAATCATCGACATGTTTTAACGTTTCGGTTTCATATAAATATCACGATTAAATGAGCAAACAGATTATAGAGTAAATTAAATAATAATAATATTATTATAATAACTAAGTTAAAATGACGCGGAAATGGCCACGGAAATTTTTAGATTGATCTCACAGGCTAAAAACATTTTATATATATATATATATATTTATATATATTATTTTTTGGTTTTTAGAACTCTTATACTTATATATATACTTATATATATATATATACTTTTTCCATAATACAAATATATCAATTTTGGATACCACTAGGGGTTTTTAGAAAAGAAGCTGTGTTTTAGAACTCTTATAACTGAGTACAATAGGATAACGTTTGTGAAAAATAGTAAAACACATTTTTTGTTAATTTTTATGTTAACATTTTTATTTTTATCGATGCCGTACACAATGGATGAATTTAGTTTTGTTATCATAATTTGATAAAGTGTTTTTGTTATGCTGAAGGGAACAATTATTCAAACAAATATTTTTCTATGTGAAGAAGAACGAATTATTAAAATAAATAATATGAATATTAAGACTTCAAAAATATATTAGGAAAAGAAATGTGTAGAGTTATAATTCTAAATAACTACTCTCGAATGTTTGTTAGGGTTTCCTAAAAAATAGTCAAAATTGACATCTCCGTTGACACATAATCTAACACTTTTTCAATAACACTCTGATGCCATTTATCCCCTCATCAATACAAACTATTACTATTTTTGAAGACTTCACAATTTTGTCTGACTTTTTTTAAACTGGACATAGGTGGACAATAGGGTCTTAGAACCTTTTTTTCTTGGAACTTTTGTCCAGGATTCAGGTATAACCTTAACTACAACCGAATAAACAAAATAAATACTAAAACATTTATGAATATCACGGTAAGTATTATAATGATACATTCATACATTTTTCAATATTTAATTTTTATAATATTTATTATCTAAAACACCACGTTAAATCAGAGTTTTTAACTTAACAAGCTTTTCAGGTTTTTATGGTTGATAGACTTAAAAAACGACTATGAATAACGTGTTTCAAACAAAACTGACAATACATTGAACCATTTTAAATAGTATAATATGACGTGTTTTTTTTATTACTTTTATTATAATATTTTGATCCATAAAATTATTAATATGCGGGGTCAGATTAATAATGGCGTGGACCTAAAATTATACCAAAAAAAGTTTTTACCAATCTATCAATATTGTTAGTCGTTAGAGATCAAAAAATAAACAAACATTTTTTCTTAATAAGATTGTTTCATAAGCTAAATAATAAATCCAATTTCTTTTTTTATAATTTTTAAAAGATATTACAAAAATAATCATAAACAAAAAAGTATAAGCAAAGAAAAAATTAAAACAAATTTTACCTTGCTTTAGTGGCAGCAAAATTAGTTACACAGTCTGGTATAGTAGTCCAATCAAACTTAAAATTTAAATTCCTTAGGGTTTCCCTGGTATATAGTATACCATTTGAAGGAATTTCAATTCTTTTAAAAGCAGAAATCATCATTATATTTTGTATGTAAGTAATACCAAAATATTTTCTATACACAAACTGCTAAAACTTTAAAAATAACTAATATAATGGATTAAAACTACCACAATATAGCACATATGGCATTAAAGCTTGTAGTGTCTATCTTATATTTTAATCCAATAAGTTATTCAGGCCCGACTAATATCTGTATAATTCAACTTACCTCTTTTGGCACGTTAACGTCTGAATCTTCGTCTCCGCCATCTTGCTGGTGTTCATTGACGGAACTTTCTCCTGTGATTTTGTTATAGTTTTGAATATCGCTCATTTGAGTTTGTTGTTTTACCTTCAAACATGAGTAAACCTTATAATGTGTAGATTTTTATTGAAGAGAATGCATTTGAAAAAACAAACAATTTACAACGAAACGCAAAATTCAAACTAGGGCGAATATCGATCAAACGTGCTAGGCCTTAACCGTCATCGTTAATTTCGCCCTCTATGTTTATTGTTGTAACGTTCTTGCATAGCTCGCAGTGATATTTTGTCGAGTAAAACTCTTTGTAAAATAGCTTTGAATTTGTTTGCATTGCAAGTCAAGTTTAAGTAGAAAAATAAATCGAGCAACTTTAAACAATTAACATGACGTTGTAATGTGAGTTAAATCAATTTTAACAACTTATCATAGTTATCACCATCCACATTTTTTCCTTTGACAGATTTCATCCAAATATTAAGAAGTCACATCTGAGTCATTTGGTTTTCACATACTGAAATAACTTTCTACATACAGTGTCTCGATTTTAAACTACTTAACCTATGATAATAATATTATTATTTCAAAAGCTTTTTGTATTGGCGATCACCTTGCATTATAAGCTTAAAAGCTCTTCTTTGATAATTCGTCTGAAAACTTAACCTATCCTACATTTTGATAAAAACAAATATCTATTGTTCCAAAACAAAAACCTAAAAATTAATTATATTTCATTAATAAAATCAGTATTTAGTATTCCATTTTAAATGTAGTAAGATATAAGCTAAAGTATAATATGCACTACAAATAAACATTTTTTCTAAAAATAATTTCTTGATTGCTAAAACTAGAAATCATAAATGTATTACAACTGTCTGAACGTCAGTACAACACAAAAATACAAAATACTTTTAAATCATACAACTGACAGCATACTATATTTTTCATCCAGACGGCAGACCCATAGTTTAAAGTGGTTGGTTATCTTTTATTAAATTATGAAAATTATATATATTTATGGGGGACGTTTTAACGTTGAATATTTAAAAAAAATGTGCTAATTTTGTTTTTTATCTGAATTTTTTTTTGGAATTAAATATCAGAAACGGTTCACTAAAATTATTAGAGTGTATAATATAATATATATGTATACATACATACATTGGATAATTAGAAATTAATGCATTGTTATTTTTTTTTAATTTCCTGTCCTGTACACAGCCAAGCTGTTGTGTCGTCACAATGACGATCATAATACCTATGACTATTACTACCTCTTCAAATCGTTTCAAACGATCACTAGCCGCTGACAGCAGTAAATCTAAAACTAGTCATACACGTACAACACCTGATGGTAGGATATTGTACATCGCATGTACTAGTAGTTCGAATTGGCTATACCTTGTTGATACACACACACACACACACACACACAAGAGTTATTTTTTCCATTAAAAATTGTCTGTTGTGTACGTAAAACGTTTATCGACCGAAATAATTTTAGAATTTATTTATAACAACAATATTTACTTGGATATTTTTTTTGTTAAGTGCTCTCGTTGTGTTGTGCTTATGTCACGTCTATTGGATTTAACGTATCGACGATAATTTCGAGTTTTCACTCACAGGTAAAAATATATTAATAATTATTAAATTGAATAAAAAAATATTTAGATCTGTGTAATTCAACTTTAACTGGAAGTAGGAAGGCTATTAAAATATTGAATTAAAATAATGATTATAAATTTATACATGTATTAAGAATATGTATTTTAAAACTTATTATGATAATAATCAAAATATACAAAACAGGAGAATGAAAAAACTTGAATCTATGAGTAGACTAGATAAGATAGTTAAAAGGGAAGTGGAGATCAGAATGATCATTTATTTTACTACGCAATCTCTTGTGATCGGTTGGGTACTATGCTATCTAACGGATATTTAATTATTGGTGACTTTGGGATGAAATAAGTAAGTTTAATTCAATAAATGAGTGGTTCTGTTTTTTCGAGAGAGAGTTCAATGCAATTAAATAACTTACCGTGGACCGATAAACGGGAGTATTTGTGATATTGCAAATGTATTTTACTATGACTTATGATATATGCGGTAAAGTCGCAACGAATTGTATCAATATCAGTTATAATATCGTGAATGAGCTATAACCCTTATGTTCACGTATAAATATGTATTTACCCCTTCTTATATGCAAAATCTCCAGAAAATGTCCTACGCAGTGTCGCTTAGCGTGCATTTAAGGGTTAATATTACAATTACATCATTTTAATGACAGACTTGTACAACAATATTTAACAATACATTATCGATCGACAAATAGGTATTTCCAATGAACCAATCAATCAAAAAAATACTATATCAAACCAATATTATGAAATCCTTATTAACCATAATCATATTTTAAAAACTTTATTGTAGCACGAAATTATATAGGTGATTGTAAATGTTAGATTTAATTACTTAATTTTAGTATAATTATTAAAAACTAATAATAATAATATTATTTATAGTTATCATTTAAAAAGTACAATAATTATTACTAATGTTAGATTTTAAATCTTTCAACATTTTTTAAGTCTTTATCGGTCTTGAGGCCTGTTTTTTATATCACTACAGATCTTTAAATATATATGAACAACAGTAATAATAATGTTGTTCATGTAACTGTGTGGTGTTCGAAAAAAACGTTCAAAATAATTGCGAATTGGCGAATCATACGTATAAACCAAGTCCATAATTTTTGGTTAATATTTTATTTAAGTCTAAAGTCAATATAGTTGAAAAATATTAACAGTACAGTACTAGTACCTGGCTGAAAGCGCAATCGTTTTTTAAGTAGTATATTTTAAATATTATATTGACTATTATTATGTAATTTCCATTTTAACGTTTTATGCAAAAAAAAAAAACTATTAAAACTATTTTTAGAAATTATAGTTTTACTGCTTAAAACTCATTACATTCTTTAACCATGTATCGTTTGAAAAAACAATTTGCAAAATATTTTAACAGTAGTCGGAATCGAAATAACATTTTTTAACAATATCAAATATTACACATAGAACATTCAGTAGCAATGTAGCATGTTAAATTTGATACGGTAAACTCGAAAACTAGTAAAACCTGCATAATAACATTTTATGATAAATATACCATGTAGCTTACGTCTTAAGTCATTCGACTTAAGTTTTAATGGGCCTTGAAGGCGCAGCGCTGTCATTATAAGATGGTTTCTAGACGAATTCGCTATCCAATTATCCGAATTATTATAAATACAATTATTAATTGATAAAACTGCTTGATTTTTTACTATTGTTGTGTTTATTTTGAGGCAAAATTATCATGATAGATTAAATAGCATAAAAATAAAACACCATTTTGAAATCTGTATATTAAATAATATCAAACTAACTTATTTTAATGTTATTGTTTCACTAAAATAACTTTGTCTTAAAATATGTTTACTTAAAAAGTGGTCATAGTTGATTGCTAACAAAATCGAGAACAAAAATAATGGAACAGAATTAGACGTAGGTATAAGTACTCGTAATTCGAAACCAAATTAAAACATTAATTTATGAATGCTTGCGATTGTTATAAATTCCACATAAACATCATTCATATTATACCTATAGGTTCTGACTGCACACCGTGACAACCATGATCAAGCTTCAAAGTCTTAACACGGGCTTATAGGATAAAGTTACATTCTTTTGTTTCATAACAATATTGATATTAAATTCTGACCCTCTATTGTATAGAATTTTCACAAATCAAATAACATCTCATATTGTAAATAATGTACGTATCCTGATATACTGGTATTCATACTTCAATTGCTTAAAAAAAAAATTGGTGCTATTTATCTGGACCTTGGTCATGAAAGCCTACATGTGTATACTTCAGCCAGTGTGTATTCAACATTTCGTCAGAATGATGAGTTGTTTTTTAAATGAAAACGTTTGTAATGAAGTTTAAATGGATACTTATATAGGAACACTCGTAATTATTAATTAGTAGGTATATTATTTTTAATGAAATTCCGTTTTTAAAATACAGTTTACCAACGATTTAACCTTGAGATTGGGTACGTTTCGTGTAATATTCCAGCAAATAAAAAACTAGTTTGTGTTACGATGTAGGCTTAAACTTACAATATTATTATTGTTTTATTTTGTCAGAGTATACAATTTGAAAGAGTTAAGGAGTTTAATTTGATCATTTCATAATATAAGTCCTACAATTATAAGTATACATACATCTTATATATGTGTATATAAATGATGATATAACACATATATACGTCCGGGTATAGTAAGTACATTTAAAAGATTTTGGAAAAACAAATAACGGATAATCTATAGAATATATAAAGCGCAATTTTAACAATTGTCGCTATAATGTTCGCGACAACTACAGTGTATAATATATTTTACAGCACATTCATTAATTCATAAAATCAAAAAAGTTTGAGTTTTACGATAAATAAACGAACTTATTATGACTGTTTTTCTGTCTTAAAATGACCTAATGGTTATATTGTTCTCGATGTGACATTATAATATTCAAAAACAACGTTAGATCGGTTATGCGGATACTGAAGTATGTCACGTAACTAACAAACGTTACAGTTTGAATTTTATCCATTCTTTTTAAACAATGTTAATTACCTTTAGAAAATAGTATTGTCACAGTTGAAATCACGTCGTATAGTCATAATAATATTATTATTGACGCCATTAACCAATTGAGTTCAATAGTCGACAATTTTCTTAAGATTTATATCCTTGTAGTAATTAGTTATTTAAAATAAACATTACAAACAAATAACGGTTTATATTTTTATCATTTAAAGTTATTGGTTTTGGGTTGGACTGGTGTAAGGGAGTTACGAAGTACCTGTTAAACCATTTTAAATACATTAAATTTTTTTACTTTTTTTTAAACAATATAATACTTATAATATTTCTTAGTATAATAGAAGAAGGATAGAACGAGAAAGTGGATGCATGATTATTATCGATTTGTATACTATTTAGGTGCCTAAAATTGAATACCTTGGGGCAACAACAAAACATGTCCTTTTTTTTAATTTTTTTTTTTTTCAAAATGTTTTTAAACCCAAAAAAATTTTTTCAAAATATTCTAAACAATTTTTTTTTTAGAATTTGAAAAAAAAAAAAATAAATTAAAAAAAAGGACATGTCTTGTTGTTGCCCCAAGGTCTTCAATTATTAGTTTCGCGTTCATATTCTTGAACTCGAATTTTTTTTTAAATTTTAAATCAACACTTAAGTAATTGTTAATAACACTTAATTAACTGTTTTTAAAACCTTGTTTAAAACAATCTATTAAAAAAAATACAATTCTGGATGGCGTTGTAGGCAATCTGTAATACGTATACCGACCGTAATTGCACGGTTGACTCGCTAAATTAAGTTTAACATGATACACATATTATGTAACTTAATGTATAACAAATGATGTAATCACTAGTCAACCATATCTCTGGATTACATAATTAGCTGTTGTTGTGGTTATGATTGCTCATGCGTTATAAGCGGAACAGTTAGCAAATTTTCGCCGAAAGTCGTGGGTTATTTAATTGCAATATTGACTCCCTCGAGAGTAAAAAAACGAAACCATGTCGTTCTAAATAACAATTTAAGGACGACATAGAGTATTACTCCACCGATAAATATTTTGACCGTGAGATCCTATCGCTAAAACCCCCCAAAAAAAACCGCAACGCATCGTATCGATCATTGGCATTCTTATCCTTCAACGTTTGGGCGCGACGCAAAGGAGATTGGACTATTGCATTTAAGTTTTTAGTTCAGCAGACAACAATAATTATACTACTTTTTTTTATACATTTTGTGAAAAAAAACTGGATTATTAGTAGACCTTGGTTTAAGATTTTTTGTACGAAATACACAGTTGAAGGTCGGCCGTGTATGCATATTACAGCTGGATAGAAAAAACAAAGTGCAAAATAACGTATTTAAAGGGCAGGTGAGAGTGTATGTAAACATTGCAAGCTGTGTAAATTGGCAATAACAATTTTTTTTTTATACTAAATTCATTTAATTTTAATATTTTTTTAGAACTTCACTTTAATGTGAATAAGTTTCCACCTTTCATTCTGACCTCTTAATTGAAAAATCAAATTCGTGTCCTTTACTAAAATTGTAAATTAAGATTATATTACTACCTGAGTACGGGAGGGGTTAAAAGTTCAGTTACTTTATTAATTGTTGAAAGGCGTTTTAGAAAATTAATTATAGTAAAAGTGATTATAATTTTAACCCCCTAACTCACCCCCTCGCTTACCTACGCCACTGTTCATGACAATCAAATTAAAGTTAGATCTGCAAAAATGATGTACTTTAAGCTTTTGAAGATCCAGGACTTATTTCCACCAATTATTTAGTACAATTTTAAAACGCTATTTTTTAAGAACATAAAATGTTTTTTAAGTCAAATAATACACATTTCAACCTACTCATAGGCATAATAATCCTTTTTTTGCAATAACTAAATAATTTGTAACTCTTAGAAAGTAAGTTGCTAGAATTGATTTTTATTCCTTAAAAGTAGGTACTTAAATTTTTTCTTTTGGAAAATAATTAAAAAGATTTTAATCCAAAAGAAAAAATGTTCTAAAATAATTAGAATATAAAAATAATTAAAAAGATACGGGTACGGTGTGGCGCAGCGGATACCGCAGCTGCCACAAGGCGCCTGAGGTTAAGCTGCGACCGGTACCGCTTGATCCCGGATGGGTGACCACCCGGGTTTTTAGCGTCAAACCACACCAATAGGCCGACCGGTGAGGACCAAGTTAGCTATATAATCCCGGTCAATAAGTCCACACGACATTATTATTATTATTAAAAAGATGTAGTTTTTCTTTTCGAGAAAATATTCATTTATGCAGTGTTTACAATATTATTAAATTAGAAAATATTTTCCTTTTTAAGAACATTATAGAGTGTTATCAATCTATAAAGCTTAAAAAGGAAAGTATATTTCAACTAAATTTTTAAAATGAAAATAATTTTATGAAAATGTTGACTGGTGGATAACCAGTTTTCAACAATTACTTAGTTTTTAGAGTTTTGAATAATTACTTTTATAGTTATTAAAGTTTAAAGTTTAGGTCGGCAGAAAGGGCGGAGTAAAATATTATTTTTACCTGTAAGCACACAACCGCAACCCACTTAATGTCCTACATTTTAAGACATATAGATTTTCCATCTCATTTTTTTTTTGCTGTTAAGAATAAGCAAATTTACAACCTGCAACAGCGAAAAAACAAAAAGTAAATTTCGTGTCAAAAATAGACGACGTGACGAAGGGGGGTCAGTGACACAATTTCAACAACGTCCCCCATTTAATTTTCAAAAGTCAATAGCACTCTAGAAACTACTAAAAAAAGTAAATATTTGGTAATTTAATAGTAAATTACAATAACATAAATCAATTTAAAAAAAAAACTTAGTTAATTTTCGAGAAAATTACTGTTGCGTTAAATTAATCACCCTGTATAGTTACAATGGTGTGTTAGATGATTTGTTGTTAAAACTTTGAAAACTGTAAATGTAATGTTTCATATTCTTCGACCTTGTCAGTGCCTCATCAGAGTCAAACGGTTTGCAATCCCCACTCTCGTTTATTTTTTTATTTATATATATATATTTCATAGAATGATGATATTAATATAAAAATGATTGTATGTACAAATATAGCTCTAAAACAATTGTTTAAATCGGCAAAAGCTCAGCAGAAAATATTGTATTTGTGAGTCATTTGACATGATCATTTGTCATTGACGAGTTCTCATAGACAGTTTGAATGTTTCGTATTCCTTCAATACATAATTGTATAATCTTTTTTAAATTATTATACTTTAGTTTTACCTTCAATCAGTCGTGTCATTTGTGTTTACTTGTCTGCTGACATTTCGCGGGCTTGGAGTACATATTTTTGGCAGTGTTCAATTTTCATGTACCTACTAAAACATAGCTCCCATCTGTAACCACAGTAAAAAAATAATTGTTTATGATAACCTTGTTTGTATTATTATACTATTGATAGAGGATAGTATACAGTTTAGTAAACAAATTAAGTGTAATTTGTACACCTAAAAATACACCATTTGTTCCCCCTAAAAACAACACTTGTAGGCGTCATTTATCTTTTCTTTGTTTATAACATTAATTTAATTTGTTCTCTATGCTATATAAATAACTTAATAAACTTCATACAACGCAATTTGACTTAATTCCTACTATGTATTGTAATTAGTACAACTTAACGTTAAATTAATTTGGAAACCAATTTTTATTTTTTATAGTTTTCAAACGGGAAAATGTCTAAACTTATTAAACGATAAACAATTTGATAACATGAAATTTAAGTGAGTATATTTCATTCAATAGTGTGATACATCTTACAATTTTGTAAAGGGTTCTCCTACGCGGCGTACTTGCTATAGGTAATGGTTAGTCCGTGGTATTTAATAAAACGGTTTAAAGCCTCGTGTAATAATATTAAACAATTATTTACGCAGGAATGTAAAATAAAAACTAAAAATTGTTAAATAGTAAAAATGAATAATGTACTTTAAGGTAGACTAGGAGGTTAGGTTAGAGGCTATTTGTTTAAAACTTAATTTTGGTGTACATTCTAAAATTATTTTGACTGACCAAAGTCAATAATAGTAATAATAAAATAACTTATAAATGATTTTATTAGTTTAATAAATCTAAATCCAAAAGCCAGCTTTAAGAAAAAAATAAACTATAGTGTAGTTTACGGTCAGCTATTTAAAAAAATAGGTACGCGGGTATAAAATAAAATGAATTTTGAATTGATTACACCCAAGACCGCATAAAAAAAACAACCACAAACCAACGTCTTATAGAAGAATGTAATGTGATTCGTTCTAAGACAATATATATAAATTGTACAATTGTATCTATTGTTTGAGTCCTTGGTACGCTATAATACCTCATTATACTATGTATGTATAAAGTGACCAAAATATATTTTCAAGGATTAAAATGATCATAAAATTTAAGTTCTAAAAAAATACTTAAAAGCCAAAAGTCAGTAATAGAAAAAAAAGGTAAGAAATTAATTTTAAGAAACTGTGATGCATACATTATACAAGTCGACGTTCTAAAAACGATGAATAGGAAATATTAATACTTAATATTTTCTTTTTAATTAATTAATTAAAAACTTGCACAACTATTACGAGTCACATTATTTAAGGTTAATTTTTTTTATATATTTATGTTTAAAAAAAACTGTATTAGACTGTACCAAATTACTTTTGTGCGAAGGATTACTACAAAACCGCTCTATTCTCCGACTTTAGATACTTATATTTTGTCTGTTAATTTACTAATTTGTTTCTCTCCAATTGAATTTAACTTTTAATTAAAATAATGTATAGTTAAATTGAATGAATAACATGTTCATTTTTCGTCGACTATTTCAGCACATAATTGAATCGTTTGTTGTTTTCGCCTAAACATCAAGAGAAACATAATCGACTATTTTGTCTTTATACTGTTACTTTGGAAATAGACGCGCTGATTACAACAGAAAACCAATTGATGGCTAGTTATCGGGCTTAAAAAGTTTCTGAAATAAACGCTTCAATTTAATGCCATTATGACAATATACAAAATAACTTATTATTTCATTACTCGTTAGAATTCGTTTTTTTCCAAAGAAATATAATATATTTTTTTAATATAATTTTCCAAAATGTAGTTTATTAATAATTACATTCTGAAACTCAAATTTTATATGAAATATGACTATCTGTAACTTATAGATTTTATCAAACAATGACGGTTATTGTAATTTGCAATATTTCTTTTTTTTTTCCATAGTCAATTTGTACAAACATGTAAAACTATTTATTCATGCATCTACGTCATAATATACCATTACGCGTTTATGTTATTGTTTTTTGTACATTGTAAATAGTCGGTACAGCATAGTTCGAAATAAATGTGGCACGTGTAGTTACATAATTTGCAAAACGAAACCTTAGTACCTACACAAAAATACACTAATATTGTATTACTACTTACATTGCGTATAAGTGTTGGTTATTAATTTGGTTATGGATTGGTATAATACATAAATGTAGTGCATATTAAATATAGTAAATTGAATTTGTCAGTCGCGTGCTAGGCAATACATCTTGATAATTACCTACTGTTTTAACATATATCATAATATTATGTCAAAATATTTTTTTAATATTATATATCTATGGGGTCATTAATACCGTTGATTTGCATAGTAGAAAACCAAAGTCCTCGAGGGCAATAAACAATAATTATACTACGGCAAGAATGTTTTGTTGTTGGTAATTACTAGTCCCGAACAAGACTTCCGAACAATAATAACAAAAAAAAAAAACAAAAACAAATTGGCTTTTCATCAATTTAATGCTATCCTAATACACCTCGATGGTTATACATATTGTAACCACAACGAAACAATATATAAGGGGGTGTCCTTCCTCTGTGCCATTTTTTCACTCGGCCTTCGGTGTCTACTAGTTTCCGTATCAAAAAAATATAATGTCCGTTAAAAGGTGAGTAGATACTCTATAAATACCTACCGATCAGTAAATAAAGAAAACATTCCCTCTTACTTTTCTGCAGTACAACAACGTTAGTTATGGGTCAATATTTATTGTACTACATATCATAGCAAACTCAAATTGATCCTAATGGTATAGATGATAAAAACTAGACATTAGCTTGTAGTATTTTTCTTACAGAAATGTATGAAAATATTATGTACGCTATTTATTTATTTTTTAATGGTTTGAACTGTCATTATTGGTTGGTAAAAGTGGAAAATGAGAATACAAAATATATACGATTTAGTATTATAAACCGTTATTTTCTCATGCATTGGTATCTCATAGAGCAATCGGTTTTCGCCGCAACTCTCGCAAGTCGCCTCTTAGGCAACTAAGTATGCACACTCTCTTCTGAAATGAGAAATATCAAAGTAAACAGAAAAATCATAATAACAATAATGTATTCATTTCACTTTGCTATACTTTATGTATATTTTATACAGATCATAGATGTAGTCGTTAAACAGCCGTAAGAATAAAGTAGGGTGACTTAATGTTTCCTAAAATCTTATAAATGTCGATCCTAATGGTATATTTCAGGAATTTCTATTAGCCTAGGGTATCATTATTCTGTTTAAAAGTATAAAATCATTTTTATGAATTATAGCCGCTTTGAGATAAAATGGCACGAATGGCGATATTACAGCTCACTTAAGTCCAAGATCTCCAATTTTTTATATAAATTTAAAAAAAAAACAATGAAAATTTAATAATAAAAAAAAAAAATTTAATCTTTTTTACAACACATAGGAATTTAATTTTTGAAAAACGGAGGTATACAAATTTCAAATAATCTTCTTTTTTCAAACAAAAGATATTAAAAATCAGATGACATGACTATATTTTTATCATAATATATACAAAATTATTATGTTTTTAATATTTATACGCTTATAGTAATTGCAGGTGCTGGTATACGTTTGCTAATTAGGTATGGAAATTTGTGGCATGATCGACGTCAAGGTGCCGTCTAAGGGCAGAAAATTCGGATCCTGGAAAGTATGAACGATTTTACCTTAAATAATTTTTATTTTTCATGAATTGTTAATAACATATATATTTTAATACTAAATTCTAATTGAAACTTTATAACTACAATGCATATATATTTGTTGTTTAAGGCGTGGAACTGTCAGTGGTGTGAGATATTATATAAAAATGAAAACAGAGTTGTCATAAATATGGGACACAACAAAAGCAGTATATTATCTTGTTTAGCTGTACCGAATGACGCTGTTCTTTACAGAATAAAATCCAGGTTAATTGCTATGATATATTACCGTACAGTCTTTTGTTCTAGAGTTTTATACAGCCAAACACAAATGTAGTTCTGTACTCCAATAAATGAACCGAATAGGAAGTTTTTTTTAATAGGTTCAAATTCAACGTTATGTCATGACAAAAGCATAACTTTAACATTTTTTTGTTTTTGCAGGACAAAAGCATACGGGTTTGGAATATTCTATACAAAAGAAAAACAGCAATATCCATTGATATTCCTAGCAGCAAAATCAGAAACCGAGTCTCAAAAATGGATGAAATTTATTAGAGACATGTTAAAACCTCCTAAGTACTCAAGTATGTGACTACATCATTAATAAATTAACCAACCTACATATTTAATTATTTTGTTTATTCATAAATGTTCTAATAAAAATAATAACCGATCAATTAGAACATTATTAGAACATTCTTCTATAAACACAACAATTTTGATAGATAAATATAAAGTAGTCTCAGTCTACCGAAAAATATAGAATTGTAAAAGAAATTTAATGGCTCATAAACTCCACGGTAAGCGAATCACCCTGAATACAAATTCCATTTAGTACATTTAAATATCGTCTTGATAACTTTGCCTATAATACTAGCATGTTTTTAACGGGTGTAAGTAACTACACTGTGTTTACTTGCTGTACTACAAACACAGAACATATCACATTTGTATGTTTTCCTAACTAAGTTTTCATATGTCGTCAACAATGTTCATGTTTCGCATTTGTCAAGATAACCGCATGGTCTATGTAGCAACTCCCCTAAAATCTCGCGTGTACTAGCTAGTATGTTTTTGTTACAGCTAGTTTGTCTGCTACTGGTAAAATTAATTTAATTTAATACATTGTCACAGTCCATTAAAAAAAATATCCAATACCCTGCGCCTGGACAAATTTAAAAGCCTTGAATAAACTCCAAATTCGTTACGCGCAATAAATGTTTACTATAATCATAGCGGATTATAAACAGCAAAACAGCCTAACATAAGTTACACGTATATAAACTGATGTCTACAGAGTACAATATGTAAATTCGATATGTTTAGTTAACATACAATGAACACCACAATATTAGACAAAATTCTACGCGCATATAAAATAGATCACATATTATATGAAGGTACGCTTGCATGCGATTCTCGCTATTCGGCGCATTGATCCCAGTTTTGTCAACAAAACCAAATGTGTTTGTTCAAACAACAATTATTTGGTCGATTAAATTGAAATTATTGTTAATTTAAAAACAAAAGAACGGTTAAACTGTCACATTAATAACTGACATTCCGATAATCAATTTTTAATCAAATCAACTAATTTAATAGCTGTTATTACAAGAATGCACAGCAGTAATGTATCCCCAAATATTTTTCGGAAAGTTACAAATTACAAACATTTAATTAAACTACATAATATATAATTACAAAACGGCCGACTATCAGTATCTACTACAGGTATGAGGATAAAGACACTCACTTTATTTGAAAATAATTCAAATTTATTTTAAAATTTTTTGTCCTTAACCTTTTTAGTAATTTTTATAACTTCATTAACTTTTGGAATTTAAAAATATTTTAACAACTAAATATTTGAAAAAATATGGTACTCTGTTCCAAGAACTATGGAGGAAACGATGACTAATGAACTAGATATGAAAATGAGTACGAAAAAGACTAAAATTCTTGTATGCAGTAGGAACCATTATACTAGAGTAAAAATATATTTACAAGGAAATGAAGAAATAGAAAAAGTAAATGATTTTACTTATTTAGGTAGTACTAAAGTGCGGATGGAAGAAGTAAAAAAGAACAAAACGTCAAGCTAGAATAGCATTTAATCAATAGAAGGGCTTTTTTACATCAAGAAAGATAAAACAAAATGTTCTAAGAACATAAGTTTGATATTAATGGATTGGCCACGTTTTAAGGTGGTAGGAAATAGGAAAACCCCATAGAGGAAGACCGCGTTTAGAGTACATCCAACAAATGTTAAAGGACCTAGGATGAAATTCATTTAAAGAAATCATGAGAAAAGCGAAGAATAGAGAATTGCTGCAAACCAATCTTAGGATTTAATACAAAAAAAAAAGAAATAATTTTAATACTTATTGTATCAAGAATAATTTGCTAAATAAAATACTAGACGACACATCTAAATGACAAAACCCATGTATAAAAAAAGTACATTTAACTGCAATTTTACCTCTAATAAAGTTGTAAAGAAATAATTAGCAAAAAATTTGAAAATATGCTATTATTTGATTACTTAATAAGTAAAATATTATTATTTATATTCAAATTCTACATGAGTATAGACTGAGGCCTGAGGGGTAATTAGTTTTACAATTTATGATTTGGTATTGGTGTGGTCAGTGAGGAGGTGTGGGTTTTATTAACTTACTTTTATAAATGAGTAAATATAAGTAATAATAATACCTAAAAAAAAAATTGTTCGTGATTTTTACTGTGAATATTACAAATGTGTCCAACAGAAGGTGAAAACGAGTACGCCGTGTCTGTAATCGACAACGAACACTCTAAGGCAGCTAACCTCACAGGCCTATACGGCACACTATCCGTGAAGACTGAAGAGATATTAGTGACGGATCCATACACGGGCAAGATCAAGGTGACACTACATTGGACACAAATGCAATGCAGCTATTTGCCCCTTCCAGCTACTTCGGAAGACTTGCATAGAGTATGCACGATACGCACGAACAGGTTTTTAAATACACACATACATAATAATAATAATAATATATTCTTAGCTTACTTGCAATAATACTTAACAGAATGGCCACACCATTACATATAAAAATAATTACAGAGTACATGTATAAGTTCACGTTTTTCGAATTTAATTAATTATTGTATAATTAACTAAATGACGTCAATCCGTTTTTCTCTACTATTATATGAATTATCAATCTATACAGTCATTTCCGTTGTAAAGACAACATAATAAATATTCTTAAACATTTTATGGTATGTATGATATATAATTAAACAAGTATAAACAAATATATAGTATATATCACAATATGTGGTACAGATTAGATTATGTACCTACATAAGTCCAACCCAAACCTAAATCTGAAAGTACTTACCTTATTCACTAACTGCGTATAATACAGCATAGCCCAAAAATATAATATTAGCTATTATCAGTTAAAAACTATATCAATGAGCACAACAAAATAAGCTATACAAAAGAAAGGCGACCGATAAATGCGGTTCCCGTCGTCGAATTTGGCGCAAAAGGGAGGTGGGGTGTGCTTAACGGCCCGTTTTGAAATTAGCTCCCCAAAATTGTTTGTATTTCATACTATAAGTAGTGAGGAGATGGGGGTTTTCTAATATTTCCAGTGATTAATCTTCTCCCCTTATTTGATGGATATTTCGCTCACGACCAAAAGGAATTTGCTACTACTTAACGCATGTCAAAGATATTTTCGAGGGCAAGGAAATCCCAAAATAAAGGTCTTTGTGTTTGTGCATAACAATGCTTATTTGCATATTTTCAAGTCAATGACAATTCCCATGATTTAATTTGTTTTACTATTGACTAAAGCACCTTGATACTTTTGAGTAGATCGGTGTACCTACTACCTACAATGTATGAAGGCTAAAGCGATAAGAACCAAAAGTGCAACAGTAGGGGAACTTGGAGGCATAGTGGCCCGTTAAACAAAAATATAATATCCGCATCCTATAAAAAATAGTAATAAGAAACACATTTACACTTTTTTCATTATACACACAAAATGTATACATACAAACTATGTGCGTTTAAAACATTGTTTATAACTGATTAAGATACCTATCATCGAATAATAATAATCATCCATAATAGAGTGGTAATATCTTCTATATTTATTATTTTGTTTAACTCATCAACTTAAAATACATAGACCTTTTTTGTTTAATATAATAATAATCATTACCAATGTACAAAATACAATAATTATAAAGATGGACGGGTGTTCTACCAGGAGTAACCGCCCTTTGTCCAAGAAAGTTGGGTATGATTTCTTTTAAAAATCCAGTGTTTTGTGCATATATGGGAAGGGGGAGCGGGTTTAAACGATGCTCGCTTGGAGTATCAATACTTCACGCGGCCATTGATCGCACCCATAGGCATAAATTAACTCTGAAATTTGAAACGCGTTCTAAAATATAACTTATATGTATTTCTAGTAAATTCAAAGCGGGCGAAGGTGACTTGGAAATGTACTGTACCGATGCGGATAAGCTACACATGGAATTGTCGACGTGTCCACGTCCCCTGCCCAGAATCGCTACCACTCCGCTGCCGCCTACCCCTAGAGAAAAAACGAGATTCAACGATTCGTGGGAAAACTCGCCGGCAACAACCCCGCCTAGATGTTTGTTGGAATCCAGAAGAATGAGTAGAAGTGAAGGAGACTTGCAAAAATTTATCACTCAACAGCCTCTTCTGAGAGCGTCCGGCGGTTCGCAGCAACATCTGATTTTTTTACCACAGAACAACCTGAGAAACAAAGTAAGTAGGTGCCTCCGACCTGATCTTCTTCTTCAACAGCTTAACGGTCCATTAAGGACCTGCGCTGCCACTAGTAAGCCACTCCATTTTTCTCTGTCCAAAGTCCAGTCTAACGTTGCATTCCCATCTATCAGTCTCATATCCTTTTCTACGGTGTCTTTCCATCTTATTCTTGGTCTTCCAAGTGGACGTTTTTTTATTTATTTTTCCCATCAGAACATTCTTTAATACATCTCCATCAGCTCTCCACACATGTCCCAGCCACTCTAGACGGTTACATCGTATACATGTAAGCATATTGGGATAGTTAACCTGATAGTTAACCAAAAATTATTTGTCGACATGTTGTCGAAAGACACGGAGGTTGTTCCTCATTATCACTTCCCCAATAAAATATGTTGTACAAACGTTTTTCCAGAGTTCTTCTCATTTCCTACTGACCAGCGTCGGGTTGCTTTTGACCACGCCAGGATACAGCGAACCGAATTCCATGCAGGACCTGCAAACCCTCGACCACCAGCATTTGGGCAAACGCCTTCAAGATATAGCGGATGACGATTATGCAGATATTCGAGAGAGGAGCGACGATGAGGACTACGAAGAGATACTGTCCGACGATAAAAGTCCAACCATGAACGATTTACCTCCGCCGTTACCACCGAGAAAGCCCAAGTAAGTTACGAACCGTACCACCAGTTGTATAATATAAATTTACCCGACTGTATCTAATTTAAAATAATTTCTATTTCTATGATACTTAGGACAGAAGAAAAAGTCGACTTTGACGACACTTATTTGCCCATGAACGCGTCTCAAATGTATGTGACTATGGCCAACATTAGCGGAAACAGCAAGCTTTACGTATCCGGACCAGTGCCCATATAATATATTCTAGAGATGCGACATTCTTGTCTCGACGATTACCTTTACTTCCTAGAAGGTTGTTTGTGATATATTTTTCATCAAATATTTTGTTAACTGTATTTATTTTCATATTATCGGCAAAGTATTAAAAGTAATAGCTATAGAAATTGGCTATTGTCAGTGAATAAGGATGCGTTTTTGTTATAAATCAACAGATCTATTGATCAAGCCAACAAGTCACAAATTATGCTTACGTAATAAATATTGACGATTTGATTAATTTATCGATACTGTTTGAAATATTAATTACAATGTATTATAAAAGTAGGTTACTTAAAATATTGAATTTGTCGTAAAACTATTATACTATAACTTTACCCAAATTTTGTTTTTTACCTTATTACTTTTGTACATGTCGGCTAATTTATTTATAAGCAAATACCACTTATCAGGAATTTTAACATGTATGTTTTCATCGACTTGTTTTTTATTTTATTTTTACTGTTCCTTAAAACAGGTGATTGGGAATAATCTATAATAAGCAATGAATATTTCTTTACTATTTATACAAATTGTTTATATTATATTAGTTATGTACGTGTTAATTAATATGGTTATTAGTATGAACTTTTGTCGAGCTGTCGTTTTGTATGTTTTCATTTGTATTAATAAAAAAAAATTGGTTAGTATGAACCCTAACGAAACCACATTAATGTATGCTATGAAAACGTATAAATAAATATTGTAAATAAAAAAATAAAATTACTACAAAATAAATATATTTATTTATAATTAATGTTTGAAATATTTACATAATAACAAACTATCATTTAAATACCGACAACAGTGTACATAGACGGACGTCATTTAAGTGAATATTTCTTTTAAATAAATGATACGATAAAAATTAGTATAATATAGGACTAAACAAAAATTAAAAATTAAATATCTTACATAAAATAACATTAGGACACATTTTTTAGTTTCCAAATGATACAATGGAATGAAAATTAATATTAGAGGTCCTGTTGTAGAACCAAAAAACTCATGATACAATAACTGTTTAAAATGAGGATTTAGTTCAATTTTAATAGACAGTGTTGACAATTAAAATTAAAAAAATAAACAATACAGTTGCACACTAGTTATGCAGTTTTTCATTACATTTAAGTTAAAACTTTACACACAATGCTTTGTCTAAAATTTTAATTTTTTCTTTTAACTATAATTACTTATAAACAATTCCTGTCAACATGACGATACTTTAGGCACACATTTAACAGTTTATAATTATAATAATTTAATAAGTAAACTACACCTACATTAGATGCAATAAATGCAAATGTATGTAAATGATTTGAACATTTTTGACAAAAAAAAACCCCCTGGGTAAAGTTAACTGTGATTAGGTATTATTAGTGATTATTATATATTATAAAACAAAAATAATGATTAGAATAATATTTAATTAGTTTTAGGGGCCGACCTGTCGTTGACCGTTATTGTTCTCCTCAATGTCATTCCCTTTTTTATTTGTTCCATCAATGAATCATGGCATATCGCCGGGTCGACAACCGAGTGCCTTGAAGGCGCGTTCCATCGTCTTGTTGATTTTGGTGATCCAGTTCCCGTCGTTTTGGGCTGCTGCAGTAGCCTAGATCCTAAAGCCGCTATAAATCCACTGACAGGTTCAGACGACCGGCTAGTGCAACGGTCTGCACTTGTAGACCGATTGCTGGGTGAACGACGCAACATAATAGGACTGGCGGGTGTATGGTTTAACTGAGTGAGATTACGAACAGTTTCTGCGACGTTACCACCTGAAGGTTTACGCTGGTGTGTCATAGGTTCAGCATAAACTTTTTCGGACGACAAGGACATTTGTGACCGACTATGTTGACGTTGCTCAGCAGACGTGTCGAGCAAAAATGGTGGTGGAGGAGGCAAATTTTGTATAGAGTTATTAATGATGGACGGTGTACGACGAATTGGAGGTGGTGGTTTGTTATTTTGCATGGATGAACGACGACATAATGTTCCACTTCTCAAACTCGAATAACCTACAAATTCAATTAAGTACTATTATTACACTGACCAAACCACTAATTATTGTATTTGAAAACAAAACAAAATGGCTTTATAAGTATACAACTATTATGCCTGGCTAAGTCTAAGTGTCATGACTAGAGGAAAAAAGCGAGTTAGCTACAAAAGATGTGTACAATGGGTTTTTTACAATTTTTTTTTTCAAGTTAAGACACTTTTGCTTAGCAGTGTAGAATAATAATTGTGGTCTATAATTTTATAAGCTTAGTATAATAATGCATACCATACATAGACAATAAAACAACGTTTAAATACTTCTATTAATTTTATAAAAAATATTAATTGTATACCAATAGCTAGAGCTACTAAAGTTTTAAAATATATAATATTATATAAGTATATAAAACCAATTTGTATTATATATATTTAATTTTAAATTAAGATAATACTATAGTACTAAATAAACTATACTTAAATAAAATATTTTTTGAAATTATCAAAAATAAATTATTTAAAAGACTAAACAAAATTGTATTTCAAATAACTTACTATTTAAAAAAAAATTGTTTAAATAAAAATTGGCCAGGTTTTAATTCAACTGAGTTTTTAACTTAGTGTGTTGACTTTTACAGTATACACTGTAACTATTTTTTTGAAATATTTTATACAAAACGTATCATATTTTGAGTAAAGATATTGTTTGTACTACTAAAACAGTATCGATACATCATAGTCATAGAGCATAAGCTCAGTCTATGTAGGGCTGCTATCATTTCTGCCTCTATGGATGAGATTTCTAAACAAAATTACTATCTTGAGACATGTGAGGTTAGTTAATTGCTGGAGTTGGGGGATGGCAGCTTTCTTATTTGCCAATTTTTCACACAACCACAGGAGTCGCCTGTGGCAGTATGTATGAGCTAAAAACTAACACATTAACTACTGGTACCCTAGCCCTCTTCAATTGTCAATATTTTCGAAAATTTAATATGACTAGCATTTATTTCAAGTAGAGTTGATGTTATACATTTAAGAGACTAAGCAATTTTGCCAGAATGTATCATTTAAAAATATCGGCACATAAAACATGGACTCATAAATGTGATATTGTGAGAGGCGTAGAATGCACGGTAGGATACAAAAAAAAAAAATGTTCTTTTTTATACCTCATTTCTGTTGTGGACCCTACTATTTCTTTTCCAATGTAAGCATTGCCTAATAATTTTGTTTTTAAATAATATTAATGATTTAAAAATGATACTAGTTAATTGCATAGTATACATTTAGACAACATTGGTTCTGAGAACCTGTAGATGAGGTCAAGCCATTTGGATTAAATATATCTCTCTTAATCTATCTTAATCCAAATGGCTTGAATTTAGATTAAGAGAGATTACATTTGATAACAAGAGTAAAAAAATAATGTCCAATTAGAACAGACTATTATTTCAGTTTAATAATAATTTCTGGCATAAACAATTACTAGCAACAAAAATTTGAAAAGCATTATTGAGATAGGGCTATGCAATTTTTTCAATTAATCAAAACTCATATAAGTGATTATTTTGATCAATTTTTCAAATTAAGAAAAGTGTATTAATCTAAAGTTCGATTAATCGAAAATTCTTTGACTAATTACCTAGTATTTATATCTATATCTAGATAAAAACTACAATAATAAATATGTCTTTCAAATAATTTAAAAATAATTAGTCGATCATTTAATAAATTTGAGAATACTCAAATTTATTTTTTGTACAAAAAATACTTGGTATTATAAAGTATATTACTATAAAATATACTATTAATTATTAAGGTGAGATAAAGTTATCTATTTGTGCAATGTAATTACATACCCACTGTCGAAGCAGGTCGTATACGTTCCTTGACTAGTGTGCTATTTCGGTTATCCAATGTGCGATATTTCAAAAGAGCGTTTGCCACCTCTATATACAAACAAGAACAAAAACACACACAAGCATGCATAGTAGAGTTATTTATAAATAAAAAAGGTGCTAGCAGTTGCATGTGGACTTAAAAGCTGTTTACACAGAATGAAAGCAGTATTAAAGTTTTAATAATTTTCGACTAGGATTATTACTTCGCTTTAAACAAATTAAAGTAAAATAATAACTATCATAATCTATTTATAATTGATAACATTATTTACCTTCATCGGGAGTACCACTGAAAATTCCCGTTTGGCTGCTGTAACCGCTCGATGACTCAAGAGAACTTTCACTGGTGCTTTCTTTCTTGTCTGAATCATTCTATAAATATAATAGAAAAGTATAAAAATAATTTATAAACTAAAGTATTTTTTTCTTAAGCATGAGGTAAATTGTTAAATGATTTTTAATGATTTTAAAACTTACTTTTACATTAAAACTTGAAGAAGAATCGTTTTGCTGGGCATTCATTTCTTGAGCTTTATTTGCTGCCATACTGGCTAGCTCGTGCATATTGACATATGCTGGCTGGATATACTCTAAAACAAATATTTATATTTTCAATTAAAGTGTAAACTAAAACATGTGGATATAATACATGGCATGTTAAATGCAATTATCAATCACCAACCCCTAATGCATCTAATAATTAAGCACACACACATACAGTTAAAGTAGAGCTCAAAATAGAAGATATTTTAATTTTGAATGCATTTTTATTGGATTGTGTCCTCAAAATTGAGATTTCAATTATAATATAACTATATAAATTAATAAAGATAATCAGATATAGTATACAAAATAAAAATTATTATTCTAAATTTATTTTCAACAATGTTGTACGATACGTCGTTTAAACACACATTAAAAGACACATAAAAAAAAACAGCAAACGTTGAGAATTCATTTATGGTACTCTATGGGTGGTAACAAACATACATAATGGAAGAAAACATTTAGTAATATTTGAAAATATTTTGCATACCGATAGACTTTGGCAAAGATGGTTTATACCCTTTGTGTAAATCTCTGGAGGGTACATCGGGGACATGGGCATAGTCATCCTGTGGAGAGACTACTGGTGTTTTATCGACAGACGAGTCTTGTTGAAATGTGTATTCGCTAAGAGCCGGACGATGATGATGAGCACCGCCAGATATTGTGTGCGGCCTTGCGTCATTCATGATGGCTGATGCAGCACGTTCAAATTGTAATGTTTCTTGAGCATTAGGCCAAGTTCCACAACCTCCTTCAGAACTGGCAAAAGGTGTGGATGGTGTACTGCTCCCGGCACTGCTACTATTTGAATCCGAAGAATTTGGAGCCTAACAAAATTATAAATCCGTATTAAGAAAAACAATAATTAAAAGAAAATATGTCATTCTACTTCGATTTCTAACAGTTGTTAGTGGTAGTAACTCTGTTTTAACATTTTTATACTTACTTTTGGATACGACTGCCTTTTAGTGTATATAGTGTCTTGGGAGGTAAAACCCGAGTCATGAGATGAAGCACTGCACAATCTACTGGGAGGCAATGGTCCTTTATAACGCAATTCGTTGGATGCAGGCTACATATGCACAACACACACACAAAAACATGCTACAATAACTTAATGTCTATTTAAGTATTTATCTACAAAGTGTAAAGTGTATGCCATTATTTCATATCAATAGAAACAACTCAAATTCGCATTTTGAAAGAAACTACAGAGATTTTTATTCAACAAATATTTCTATTAAAGTCAGAATACTCATATGGTACCTCATGCTTGTTATGAGAGGAGACTAAAATGAGGTTGCGTCAGGTGTTATGAGAATGTGAAAAAGAAATGAAAAGTGTACTTTGAAAGGCTATGAGGAATTTCCAAGGGGAAGAAAGAGAGCAGGCAACGTAAAATTTAGGTATGGTGAACTTAATTAGGGAAGAGCAAGTGCAAAAATGTAATAAAAATTATTGTCTGTTATTGCAATTGATTTTATAATATTACAGCTATAATATGATAATAATGCATTTGATTGAGATATAAATAGGAATAAGGGTTAAATGCACATTAAAAATACCCCCTTGAATCCATGTTTGCCAGTATTATTAATTATTGAAAATGTGTAGGTAATCTGTATACTATAAAATCCATCTTGTTTTTATAAAAAAAAATATTATTAAAAACAATATTTTTCAGCTGACCGTACATTCATTTTTTATTGGTACGATTTTAATTTTAAAAAATATTGTATCATATATGAGGCGCCTAGATCACAAGGGGTTTAAGTGACATTTTTACAAAATTTGAGTTAAGTGCACAGCTAAACTACAAATTGTCCATTTTATTTTGTGGCAAAGATAAATAAGTGAATTATTCATTGTTTGCTGCGATCTGGTAGCAAATCACCCCAAACAAAAACGCAATATGGATGTAACTTTGAGCTTGATTTTTTTGAAATCAATAAAATGTCACTTAGACCCCTTGTGTTCTAGGCGCCTCATATGCAATCTACTATCATACTTGAAATAAATAATACATTATACTGCTTTAATATAAGCTCAACAGTGAATACAAAATTTTCAATTTTTTTTTAAATTATTAACTACCCTCCAAAATGTTATGTTAAATAATTACTTATACATTTTCAGAGATATTGAAATGTAATCAATTAGTTTATTCGTCAATAATAAAATTATATCACTTGCCACGTGGAGATGAAAAAAAAATGTTATTTTTCAAATGTCATTCTCTGGTATTTTTTCGGGTTTAGCCAAATCACTAGTGATGTGCAATAATATAATGATGTAAATATCTATAATCTCAGATTGTTGTTGCAAGCTACTACACTACTACAATGACGATGCTATACACTTGTTACCTACGAATACACCTTGGATAATAGGGAAATTTCCGTTCGGGTTTGTACTACAACAACAGTGCAATGTAATTATGCGAATCAAACAATGGATTGTACTTATTTAAGAAAAAACACATGCTATTGTTTCCGCACAGATCAATGTCCGTCGATAAATACATACCTGCAGCAACGTGCGACTCCAGTACTGATGGCTTGGCGAATGTGTACTACCGCTAGACCAACTGTTCGTCGAGTTGATGGAACACATACTAGACTTCCGCGAGCCCAACGAACTGGGACTGCTCGGTGGCGTCTGGTGTGTCCAAGACATATCGCTGCCTTTGTAGTCGACCAGTACCTAGAGCAAGTCACAGTACATTTTTACTATTTGTCGGAATGTCGCGAGCAGTTGCAGAGATGGGGAGGTGTTTGAACGTGTTATAAAGATTGAGACGAGAGACATCAGGTGATCGGGCGGCGTCGGAAATTAATATAAAAGAAAAAAACCGGAGGAAGGTCAGAAAAGAGTCGTGACCGACTAGGGCGGCAGACCTTCCTCCTACTGTTTATATAAGAATAATTTCTGAAAAAAAAAATTAGAAACAGTAAATAAATGTTGAAGTTTATTTGTCATGCATTAATTAGGAAAACTTAGTATTATAATAATCGAGTTAGTTTCCGTATTTGTCTGTGTATTAAATTACATTATTTTAATTTGTATCAGTAACTTAATTAACGTAGTCTATTACTTTTCACTTGGGATTTTGGTTTATCTTGCTAGTACAGAACAGAGCAAGCCGGGTAAGGCCTATCACTAATGGCTTACTGCCTTTTTCAGTCTTTTATACTGAAAAAGTCAGTCCTGGGTACGACATTAAGTGATCGAAATTCAACTGATTATTATACGAGCAAGTATGACGACTTGCCTGCCGGCCTATCACCGACTTTTAAGTTTAAATCCTTTTATAATTCGCTCATGTATTTATTATTGTATATTGTATTAATTATTATAATATATATTGTACAGCGATATATGACTGAATGTCGCTGAACGCTATCAATCTAAAAACTCTGCCACTTTATTAGGTAATTAATTTAATAGTTTTACCTGTTCGCTGGCGGGTGGCAATGAGTACGGGTCAGACGTATGCGACTCCAACTTGTCCATTACCTCTTGCAAATGCGACAGTTCAGTCAGCATGGCGACTTCTTCGTCCTAACAAAATGGAATCGAAGATGAGCGTCGCCGTTGTCAAGGGCGGATCAAAAATATTCGACTACATAAAGCAACCGTATACAATCATGTAGAGATGAGGTAGCAATACTCACAATCACCGGTTTCAAAAACGTCACAAAAATGCAATAACGACTGCGCTCTTCGACTAACGCTTCACGGACGGCTCTTTTTTCGGTTTCTTCTAACACGGCTTTCCTGTCGGAAACGTCCTGCAACGCTTTGTGCAGTTCGTTCATTTTGGTGCCTTTGCGCGCCTTTTTCTGCAGGCGCAGAGTGTCGGTCGACCGTTTTTTTAACTCTGCTCTGGCTTTTTTATATTCTGGAAAAACAATTACCTTTTATTAAACAACCATAAAACTTAATAACACATTACATTTATAAACGTGCTAAGCTTAATTTTCGGAACATAGGTATGCATACTGCAGGCATATTAAAATGGGTCCACCCCTAAACAATAATTATTATTGTTACCTTATAAAATATAAGGTTATATTTTACGTGAAAAATATAAACATTCGTATGGAGTGTGTACAATCGACAATAATTAAAATTTATAAATACGACAGTTCATTAATCCTTTTAAAGGACAGGGTCTTGACAGTAACCTTGACAATTATACATATAAACAGAGAAGCAAAATTGTTAAACACTATGTATAACAAATTAGGAATAGGACTTACAAAATCCAGGTTTACCAAAAACGTTAGACGCTAGTTATAAGCCTTAAAAAAATACAACATAAAACAAATGTTGTGTATATTAAAAATGTTTATATGATTTAATTATAAAAAGTCTTAAATTAATATCATATTTAATTAATTAAATATTTACAAATTATTTTTTTATGCAAATTATTACTGTTAAGTTGTTAATTACTCATAATTTTTTTAGAGATAACAAAATAATACATTTTTTCTGTATATCGTTTAATCGGCCACAACAAAATAACTTTAAATACAAATGTTATTATGTCAAGTTCTTTACAACGACCGACCCCTGCAATAATAACATGGTAAACGGCTTTGATACAAAGACAGTAGACTTAGTAATTCGAACTACAATATAGGATTGCTGAATATCTTGATAACTCTAGCTAGTATAGATTTAATATTACGAGGATTTTACATCGGTACATCTACATAGGCAGCTTATATAAAAGAAAATTTGATTTGCCGTTGTAATGTGCCTCGAGATAACAAAGCCAAACAGCTAGGCGCATAGGTATGTAATACAATAATAATTAATTAATTTTTTAGATATGCAATAATCATTATTGTTGGTCCAATAGCATGCGCAATTCCACGTGATCTTATTAGGTGTCTATTGTTTTTGAAATTTGTATATTATTTATATTTTTTTGTAGCTTTTGTGGCGCAGGTGGGCTGGAAACTCACGACCAAATGTGAATCACGTACACAAAGAATAAAATCTAGGTACTTGATTTCTCGCAGAAATATATATAACATTATAGCTATTATATTGTTGCTGTTATAGACACCGATTAAACGAGACATTTGACATTGAACACATCGAAGGAGGAAAATCTATATAGTTAATAGTTAGAAACTATAGTCCTAACCCCGAAACCACATTTAGGCGTGGAGTGTGCCTAATGCACTCTCAGAGTGTGATTAAATTGATAGTCGAAAATAGCGGTTGTTTTTCTTTGTAATAAAAATATAATAATCATTCAGTCATTAGTAGCCAAATTGCAGGGAGATAGGTTTTTTTTTTAATTTTGCTTTTTCTAAAACAAGAAATTCAAGAGTGTAAAACCAAAATTCTTGTCCAAAAGCGCGAAAAGTACACATTTGTAATGATATTTATACTTGGTTTAACTGAGAATAGGTGACATAAGTGAAGATACAAAATTGAAGACATCAGAATAACGAGGAAATAAAAATTGCTTAGTACACACGTGTGGAAGTATATTTCAGGAAAAAACTACAAGTTTTCAACGCTTTGCAAATTATAATAGTTTGAATTTTGTTTTTTAATATTTAACACATCACATTTACACCAATAATCTTTATCCCGTAGAAAAATTATTATTTCATATTAGATATTAGCATTTGCTTTAGTTTTGTCTATTATAGTTTAAGCAAATAAGTTTTTTTATTAAGCATATTTTTAACAAAGCACATATATTATATATATTATATAATTTTTTTTTTATAAAAATAACAAAAAAAAACAATTTTACTGGTCTTTGATAACCACATTAGTTAATTTATTGGAATAGGGTGATTAAATGTTTGACAATGATTAATGAGAGAATAATGGTTGTACAGAGCAAACGACGTTATATTAATTACATATAATGATGTGCGAAAAAAAAATTTTAATGTTTATGTTTATCTTTTATTTTAATAGAAAACTTTAGAAATCAGTTCGAACGGTGTGAAACAATAACTAGCCAATCGTTAACAATAACCAGTTGTAAATAAATACTTTTTTAGTTTTATACTTGGGAGAAGTGTTAGTCTGTAAACATGTTTTATCATTGTATAATAGAAACACGGTGCAAGCGGTAAGAAGTTAAATGATTGTTACGCAACATATATTAGTAGGCACTGATTTTCATTTTTATATATTTATATATTTTTAATTTCATTTGTTTAATTTTTTCTTTCATTTTTATATTTCAGCAACCATGCCTTAATTTAGATAGTTTAAAAGTTTAGGTCTGTCACACAACATATTTTAGTTTTATTTAAAATTTATCTAGTCATATTTACATAATATGATTATAAAGTATTTTCGAGTTTGCAATTGCACTTGTTTATTAAGCCCGGAACGCTATATTACAATATAATATTATATACAATTATTATATTATAGTATACAGGTCAAACCGCCGAGGTTGACTACGCGTGATCTATTGCGTGGATTATGCATTAACTAAACGTTCGAACCTTACCACAGAAAAATGAAATATTATAAAAATCATGACCAATATTTGAAAATATGTGTTGTTTTTTTTTCCTCAATAGATGGGTCATAGTTGACAAAGTAATTTATTAAGCCTGAGAACCGCGACCGGCAGAAAATTGAGTGGTTTGCAGTAGAAACGATTACCCACACTTCTTTCACAATACGTATTCTTTTTTGTCAGTTCGTACATTTCGGCCGAGATTTATTATATAACGTTTTCGTGAAAAAATAAAATCACAATGCAATGCGAATCGAGAGCAGCTCGCGAAAACAAATAAAACTCGTGTGATATTTCTAGGTAAAAAAAAAAACGAATTAATAATTGTAACCCTTCTTCGCCTTAATAATCGTGACGTAAACAAAGTCACTGCAATAACCTTGGACTTTATTCTTTCCGTCGTAAAGTGAAAGTTCATGATTCGCTGACGAGGTTATACGAGAGGGGGTGGGAAGGGGGGGAATCGACCACGGGCTACGTAATAGATGTGGGTTAAATGAAATTAAATTTGTTTAACGTTCTTCCTCTGCTGAGCAGCCAAAAATACTAACGATTACAAATCAACACAAAATAGTATAATAGGTACTCGCAGTATAATTAAAATTATATGTGTGCGATTATGCAAGTGTCAAATAATTTATCAACAAATTTAATTGATTAATTAAATTAAAAAATAGCTTAATTATTTAAAACTGACAATAACTCGAGTTATTTATTCAATTCAATTTACGAAATAAAAACAAAAATTGAATAAATAATAAAAAAACATTTTTTTTTTGTTTTTCCAGAAACTTGAATTATATATTATGTATTGAGACTAAATTTACAACGTTTTTTCAATCTTGTATTTTGTAATCTGGTTCCATATTGACATAATATCTGATATTATATTAAGGTACAGATGTTTGGGTTTATAAATAAATAAAATCAAACCTCTAAAAGGCTCAAAACTTATTTATTATTATTAAATAATTATTTAATTATTACTTTACTACCTTATTTGTAAAATGTATACGTTTTAGTTAATATTTCAAAACATATGTATTCCAATATAAATAATGACTTCAAATTATAATTAGGCATAACTTTTAAAGTCAACATAGACTCGTCTATTTTTATCATTCGATAGATAAATAAGGTGCTTACTCACAAATTATTCAACTATGATTATTCATTCGACCAAATCAATAAATTATTCATGAATAATCGAATTATTAGCATTTTTCAAGTTATTCAAAAGATCAATTATTTAATTAATTTTCCGAGTTGAATACTTTATTCAATTCAGTTCAATTTTACATTATTCGCACACAACTAATTTAAATCTAGCATTGAATATATAATATTATTTAGATGATACATAATATATAGTCACGGAAATAAACGTAAACATTTATTTTTTTTGATTTGGTATAGCTTGTTATAACCGTAAAATGGCTGTCAGGTTTCTCAAGTGGCCGCTTAGATCACTTTACATTCAAAATGGATAAAATCATACTATATCACCTAAAAGTCCAATACAATTACTTTTATGCAATCGTATAGAAATAAACTTCAGTATGAACAATGTTAAACTGTATAACGTTGCTCGTAATATTACATTATGTCGTGTTAGGAAAAACTCAATTCAATGAGGTTTTAAGTATTAGTGATCCAAACCGTTTTATACTCACACAATTAATATACTAAAAATATTACACTTCTAGTTCCAAATAAACGTCGAAATGCAATAAAAATGTTTATTTTGCCATACAACAGAGCAGAGTAAATAATGTAATAATATTTATGGTCGCATGATAAAGCCGCTGTAAATTACAATAAACACCCATAATTATTGCAAAATATCGTTTATGTATATTAGATTCTATAACCAGATATAAACAATATTCGTCGGTCTTTATAATTATTCAAGCATAAATCGCTTGAACTTTGATCGGATAAGCTTGGCTTCGTAACATCAGATCGGGGTTAATTATAATGATTTAGATTACTTCGCATTAATAAACACAGGCCACGTTTTTTATTTAAAACTCACCTCCTCTAGGAATGAGATAAAAATTATATCGAATCAGCGTTTTAGGTAAGTTATCGGGTATTTTTTCATCATTAAAAAAACAAGCACCTTCAAGGTCGTATGTTTTGCTGAGTGAAACTTATACGTTTTACTCAGCTAAAAAAAATTATAAATTATATATTTATCAAATACTATGAAATAATAAATTGTTATAACTACTTATATTTATTCTCTAGTGATACTGCATAAAATAATGAACCTCACGCAGTTTTACATAATTTTTTATACATGTAGGACAAAAAAAAAATACAATAATTAATTCCATAATCGACGACTACGCTGATAGTAAAATGGTATACGTATAATTGAAATA